ACTACTGCATTCCGTACCACTACTTGGTTCGGATTCCGTGCGGGCAGTAAAGGGCATATACTTTGCCAACAGTTATCTCGACCACATCGTAGACATCTCTTTTCTGTACGGCGACGTTGGAGTTCTTCTTTCTCGACCCATTTTGCACGTTTTCCCACGAGATGTTGATCCTCTTTACGAACCTGTCCCTTTTCGTTCACGAATCGGGACGAATTCGTCTGTGTGGTGTTCGTGTTTACTGTTGGAGTCCAGTCCATCCTATCCTCTGTGGCTATGGTTGATTGATCTCTTTGGATTCGCTGGCGAGTGGATAACTGGCGTCTGCCTAATGCGATATTCAGTGTCTCGCTATCAGTGTCGATTTCGTGGAGCCGTGTGATAAGACCTATAAAATCATAGGGAACACCACGATTCATAAGCGAATTCGTCATATCTTCGTTAAGAGCGTTTAGTAAGAGTTGTCGTTTTGCTTCGTCGTGCCATTTGGTTGCACCAGCATCTGCGAGCTCTCTTTCTAACTGGGGAAGGAATCGTGAAAAAGGCTGGTCGGGCTTCTGTTTAAGCTGATGTAGACGCCGAGCTGCTCGTGATCGAGCGTTAGGGTCTCCATATATCCTCTCAAGATATTCCAGAAGCATATACGGGTTGCCTTCGCTTCGTTGTGTCTTCATAAACGTTCCGGTGTTCTTGGCGGCCATTTTCTCTAGGCGGGAAAATGTATAGAGGAATTGCTCTTGTGGGGTACCGATGGCAGCTCCGTCTACTAGCAATTTGTTCTCTATCGAGATTCTCCAGGTTGGCCAATCAGAGATGTTTCCTGCATACATCGCGGGGTCGGGGAGACGAGGGCGAGGTCGTCGACTCTGGTTATTATCGCTGGTTGATTCGATTGGTATCCCTTGTGGTTCCGTGGGTGGTTCGGGAGCGGCCCGCTCCTGGGACCGAACCACTAATTCTTCGAGTCTTCTAATTCTCTCATCGGTACTAATACTTGTCTGACTGATGTGCTGCATCAACGTCCTGGCCCACTCGGGTGGGCTCGACGGTTCGCTTGCAGCCATGATGATGAAGATATTCGTTTTCTTCTCGTGTTTGAATCGGATGCTTTCCGTCTTCAATTCGTTTGTAGGATGCTCAACTAGATACTTTCTAAGAGCTTTTCGTATTCGTTGGTATGCTCGATCGGATTCTTTCCGAGAGCGATTCGTTCGTCTGTCGTATGTGGCTCGATCAGATACTTTCTGAGAGCGCTTTTCTTATCGTCGGTCGTGGGTTTTACTCTCGTTAGAGGAAGGATTTTGTATGTGAAGGGCTAAAGCTAATCTTAAATTCAGAACTAGCTAGGCACATGCTGTTTACAAAATCCTTGAAGAACGTGAACAATTCGGGGTGGAATCGTGAGGTATGCGGTTGGTGGGTCACGTGGTACAACCACGTGATAGTTCACCAGGATTCAACCTGTTATCTGTGTCATGTGCACACCCGACTCGTTTTTTACGAGTCGGGTGTGCTTCACCGGTTCTGCCAATTTTTTTTTTTTCACCGGTTCTTCCAATTCCACATTCCATTCTATTTTACCCAATATCTCCCACCCACCATGCCTAAAACCTTTGAATCGACTAAGGCCCATCTCTCTAAGGCCTTTGATGCGCCAAACGCGAAAAAAACCCAAATATCTCTAAGATTGCGCGCGAATTTGGTGTCAATCGACGTACTCTCCATAACCGCGTTAAAACCAATGCGACCGCGAAAACTCAACAAAAACCAGTCAATAAGGTTTTTACCGATATCCAGGAGGAGATTTTAGTACGCTAAATTACCCAGCTAACTGATTGGCGTATGCCACCAACACCAAAACAGGTTGAGATGTGGGCAAATCGCCTACTTCAAGATTCTAGTTCTGAAGATACTAAGGATACTAGAACTGTTGGGCCAAATTGGGTATATCGCTTTACTAAGCGTCTTCCTAAAGGTCTAAAACTAGGTCCTTAGAAGCAGAAAGTCAAGGATTCTAAGCGAATGATGGCTAAAAATCCAGCTAAGATAGGTCATTGGTATGATCTGCTTCGTGGTATGCCTTCGCGGTTAATCTATAACTTTGATGAGTGTGGTTTTCAACCTAGTGAGGTGTCATAGGTTAAGAACACCTGACAAATGATGTTTAGTGTAGGATCAAGAGTGGCACTATACAAGTAGAGCCTAAGTATGATTTCGTGAGAGCGAAATCATTATAGTCTTTTAGCTCAGTAGAATGGACGTGAACATAGGCACGATCCCATAACAATATGGTTTATAGGTCCTCTTCGTCAACACAATGATGAACGCACACCATCTCTACCACTCTCTTCCTCTAGTATTGAATATACTCCGCCAAAAACCTTAGTACGACTTCAGATGAACCAAGAGAAGATTATCAAGCATATTGATATAGACCTCCTCAAACTAAGGGTTTAAAGGGGTCTTAAATATCTTACTCGCCATTCCCAATTGATCCAAGAAGAGTATCGAAATCTTAAGATTACGGTTGAGAATATTAGGGTTGCGCAAGAACCAATTCGGCGCTCTAAAACCAAACGACAGCTTAACCAACCACCCCTCCAGCAGACTGGTGTATTAAACCTACACCATATAAAACGCTTTGTGAAAATCAGGAAAACCAAGGAGGAGTTACAACTAGAAAAAAAATTACAAAACAGGCCCAAGAAGCTCTCTAAAAGCTCAAAAACAGGCCGAGGAGCAGGTTCAAGAGCAGGTTCAGGAGCAGGTTCAGGAGCAGATTCAGGAGACAATTCAGGGGGAAATGGCCAAATATTGGAGGCGATGGAAAGGGATATACTATATTTTAAACAGATGCAGCAGAATTGTATTTAAAGCAGAATTGATAGAGAGAGAGTAAAATAATATTTTAAATTGGCAGAACCGGTGAAATTGGCAGAACCGGTGAAGCACACCCGACTCGTAAAAAACGAGTCGGGTGTGCACATGACACAGATACAGGGGGTATTATAACAGGTTGAATCCTGGTGAACTATCACGTGGTTGTACCACGTGACCCACCAACCGCATACCTCACGATTCCACCCCGAATTGTTCACGTTCTTCAAGGATTTTGTAAATAGCATGTGCCTAGCTAGTTCTGAATTCAAGATTAGCTTTAGCCCTTCACAGCAGCCATCCGAGGGTATTCCTTCTTATGCACCTTCCACCAATCACACAGCTAGTTTTGATCCTCCATATCACTTACTTCAGCCCGAGCGCCATCAAAATACCGATCAATATCAGAAAACCGAGGGCTATCTTGAGGTTGTAGTCTTTATAACATCCGGCTACCTACTTTTTGCTTCTTATGACTAGGCTCATATAGCTCTATCATACCCAGTGATTCAGTGGTCCCAGGATATTTGCGGTGAAGGTCATCACGGAGAGTTTGAAGAATGTTTCTCCCAGCGTTCTCTTCACCCAACTCATTTAGGAGGAGAGCTCCTTTCACACGAGGATCCAAGACCAGTGTAGTATAGTATAGATCAGAGGCATCTATAAAAGTATAGTACTTGATATATTTCTTGATACTCCCACCAACAGCACTTGCAATGTCCTTAGTAAGATCTGCAAAATCTTCCTTGCGCTCAGCCACATCATGGAGTAAATCGTGGAGCTCGTAGTATATTAGCAAAACGAGACTGATCTGTGGTCTTTTCTCTAAGACAAATAATGTAAACTCATTGAATCTCGAGAGAACATTATAGATATAGGAAAGCTATATCCATTCATCTGATGAGAAGGAAAGGAAGCTAGTCTCATAGTAGATGAACGTCTTAAGCTATCGCCTTGACTATAGAGAGTATTAGTATTAAGCATATATATAGAACGAAGGACCTTGCCTTTAACGCATCCCCTAACATGCGAAAGGTTGAATTCCACCGTGTATCGACATCATACTCGATAAACTTGTTGGATAAGTTCATCCGGTTGCAAGTATCGTTCCATGATTACCTTCGTTGTGGACTCTGTTGAATCCAGAGAGCTAAGATCTGTAGCTTTATAAGTGGTTTAATAGCCTGAAATTCAAATGACTGGTGTTCTCCTTTATCAAGGTTATTATAGATAGAAGCAGCTTCTTCTATATTACCGGACTTCAGAGCCAGTAGAATATCCTTCACAATGAGGTTGATGATATAGGCCAAGCATCTTATATAACTATCTAAACCACAGAATAAGGAATTGGTCCTAAACGCTTTTTGCAGGTTATCGTGTAGTTCTGATGCCATTCGCTCATTATTACTAGCATTATCCCCAGTAATTGAAAGCAGCTTACGCTTAAGATCCAGTTCAACAAGTAGAGCTTGAATAGCTGCAGCCAAGTTCTCTCCACTATGGGGACCATGGAGCTCTTTGAATTCAAGGACTTTCTCTCGATAGTCAAATTCTTCTGTAAGCCAATGGCTAATGACACCCAGAATTGGGATATGGTTCTTGCTGGTCCATACATCAAGGGATAGAGCGATTGTTTGGCATGTAGTCGCAAGCTCTTCTTTCAACTTAGCACGTTATAAGTTGAAGTCTTCCAGAAGACGCTATCGAAGTGTATATCGAGAGGTAAATGGGAGTGAAATCCCTGGTATATCCTTGAATAATTGCTGAAATTCTGGGGACTCAATGACTGTGAATGGTTGTTTGCTGCTAATAACCTAACGAAGAAGATTATTCTCAAGAAGTTGTTGAGCTGTAATCTTTCCCTTCTTTCCCCAGAGACTAATAAGATTAGGCTTCGGAGCTGGATCAGGGATGGAAACAGTAGGTGGTAGAACACCATGCTTCTCTTTCAAATGATGCCGAATGTTGGTGGTAGAGCCATGCCGTTTGGAGTCCGTTATAGACCAGTTGCATTATGTCCTATCTTTATTGGTGATAGCACAACAAATCTCTCGATCAGTGACCTTTTTCCTTTGACTCCTCTTCTCGATCCATTCGTTCGGAATATTTCTTATCAAGAAATGTCTCTACATCCAATCATTCTTTTGGCGTGGATTCGAGCTTAGCGAACTCGTGGCTGGTTGCTGGGAGGCGGATTCTGAAGGTAAAACTTCATCGAAAGATTCAAGAAGAGAATCGATCTTGGTACCGATTGCTGATTGACTATCGCCAAAGGGTGGGGAGGATGGGACCGGCTCTTCCTGGCTAGAAATCCAGTCTTCAGGTCCATCATTTAAAGCGAAGTAGTCTAGACGGTTCCCACGGGTTTGCATGGTTGAAGTATGAGGGATAGAAAGGGTGAAGTTGGAACTCATTACCTATACTAATGATGATATTTAGAAAAGTCTGCCTACTAGTCCTAATTTGGTTAATTTCAAATGACATGTGATAGTCTGCCGATAATTATCGTATCGACGAATATTCGCGAATACGATATTCGCAACTCAAAAACCTCGCCGATAATTATCGGATATCGTATCGACAACTCAAAAGCCTTGCCGATATTTATCGGCAGCGATAAGATAACCGATAATATCGGCAATTTCGAATATTCGCAACAGCCCTAACGAATATGGTGGTGATCACAGATCGTTTAGGAAAAGGAGTTATGGTTGATGGGTTACCTGATATTACTACGGAGACGCTCGTAATGTAACAGGTTGAATCCTGGTGAACTATCACGTGGTTGTACCACGTGACCCACCAACCGCATACCTCACGATTCCACCCCGAATTGTTCACGTTCTTCAAGGATTTTGTAAATAGCATGTGCCTAGCTAGTTCTGAATTCAAGATTAGCTTTAGCCCTTCACACGTAAAATGGTTTATAAGAGTCTACTACCGCCAACACCACCTCCCATATGCTATCGTCTCTAATAGAGGCCCATAATTCGTAGGGAAGCTCTAGACAAGGGTATGCTAGTTACTAGGCATCGTACGACGCCTATCCATAGCTTTCCATCCCGAAACTGATGGGTCTACGGAGCGAATGAACCAGACAATCGAGACCTACCTAAATATGTTTATGGACTACATATAGGACAACTAGAACGAATTACTGCCCTCGGCCGAGATTGCTATTAATGGTAGAGACGCAGCCGCGACTGGTGTGAGCTCATTCTTCCTATCCCATGGCTACCATATACGACCTCTGGACCTCCATCATAACCTAACAGAAAACATAAGCCACTACTCTCCAATCTCATAGGCAGACGCCATCGTACGACAGCTAAAACAAGCTAGAGAGTAGGCCTAAATGTCGATGGTATCAGCTCAACAGCGGATGGAAGAAACAATAAACCGCCACCGCCAATAGTCCCCAAATTTCCGTGTAGGAGATAAAGTATGGCTGAACCTCAAGAATATACGCACCAATAGGCCGACAAAGAAATTAGACGCTAGACACACCAAGTTCATAGTGATAAAGGTAATAGGATCTCACTCGTATAAGCTGAATACACCACCTAGGATCCATAATATGTTCCATAGCCAACTACTACGCCTAGCGTCAGACGACCCTCTACCAAGTCAACAGCGAGACGACTCTCAACCCCCGCCGAAGTTGGTCGGGAATGACAGACAGGAGGAAGAATACGAGGTCGACTACATTATGAAGGAGAAACTTGTACAAGGCAGGAGAAAAGTGCTGGTGAAGTGGACAGGGTATAAACGGCCGACATGGGAACCCGAGGACGCCTTCGCGGACACTAAAGCGCTACGCATATGGAATAGTAACGCGGAACAACGACAACCCCCGGCACGTCGTACGAGACGCCGGAGAGGAGGAGGGGAGTAATGTAACGGGTTGATACCCGATGAAATGCTCAGTCTCTGGAGAGACTGCGCTCTTGGCATCTATGCGGAGCCGAACGAGCTATAAGAACACCCGGTCCCCAGGACCCATTTCCCCCCTTAGTTAATTCTTCTTGTTTACCAATCGGATCTTTACAGCGTACAAATTCCTGCATTCATCCCGTAACAGTAGGTGGGTTTGCAGGACTCTAATCTCCCTCTGGAGGACGTCGTCAGCCTCTTCTTCAGTCAGGATAACTGGCTCAGGACCAGCAAAAACAGGCATCTCCACCAGCTTATGTGGTACAAAATCAGCTATATATCGCCTATTCTCGTCGAAAAAGACGTCTCTGACTGGCCTGACTTGACCACCCCTTGAATCTGGAAACCAGATTCTCCAGACATTAGATGCCATATATCCAACAAGGAATCCAATCTCTGCCCTTCTCAGCATCTTGTCTGATTTCGGAATCTTTTGGATTCTGCAGTAAGCTAGACTGCCGTATAGACGTATGTTCGCGAGATTCGACTTAGGCAGTGTCGTTCGTTTATCCTGTAGGTCTGAATTGGCGTATTTGCGCGCCTCTTCCCAGGGCACTATCCAGGAACCATTTGCGTTCGTTGGCGTACGATTTAGGATGTAAACCGTAGCCTTTACCGCCTCTGGCCATAGGCTGATGGGGAGCTTTCCTTCCTCTAGGAGGGCCCTGGCGCGTGTAATTATGATGCCGCCTGCCCGTTCAATTGGGCCATTCATCTCAGGATGTCCTGGAATTGAATGCGTCACTATAATACCTTGATCTGCCAGAAACCGCTCTGTAGTGATGCCTGCTGTTACGGGATGAATGCAGGAATTTGTACGCTGTAAAGATCCGATTGGTAAACAAGAACTAGGAAAGGAGATAGATACAGCAGTATGGTCTCACAGTAGACCATACAATCTAAACCGGGCTCGACCCGTTACACCTATCGCATGCGCTGAGCCACAGCAAGCAAGCTTGATACCACCACCAGGGTAGTTGCAGTCATACCAGGTTCTCTTAGATAGGCTAGTATCATTAGCAAAGGCACCATAATAGCTCTGTAGAGCCTCCTCATCGTTTAACGACGTGTCGAGTATGTAGAGTGTGAAATCAATGCCGGTCAGATTATCCGTATAGTTCCCCATTTCGAAGAGTGTAACATCAGACTAATTGCTTAAAGGCTGCGCAAGAGCACCCGGGAAGAACATTTTCAGTAGTACAAAGCATATAGTCATAACAATGAACCCCAAGACATTTTTGACAACAAAAGCCCGAAATTGTTCGCCTTGGTCACGGCGCCTTGTACCACACTTCTCGCACACATTGGAGTCGCCCATCTTGGAGTCGCCCATGATGTTGTTGGGATTCGGTAGGTTTTCCTTTATTATTTGATGAAAGGAGAAAAGTATAAAAGATGGGCTGGGTCAAACTTGCAATGGTGTCTAATAGAAACTTAGGGATCTGTGTTTATATATTCAGATTCTTACCTAGGTAGTAAACAAAAGAAGAGAGGAGTGGATAATATCGCGTCTCGTAATAGTTACTATTTCTGTGGCAGTTGGCCCACCTGATAGGTGGATCGGCCAGCGAAAGACCCGAAAAGGACCTTGACGCCAGAAGATAAACGGCGAAGCCTAGTTCCGCTTCATTCAATTCTTACGCACGACCCAGAATCCGGTCGGATGTATCTCATCCCCCGTTATCGCCCCATGTGTGGATGACTACTCCACCATCATACAAGGTTTGATCGTGCTGGCTATCAAGCAAATCCGTAAGCTGAATGCGTATAAAGGAAAGAAAAACCAAGTAAAAGAGGTCTTATTTTATTAGAGCCAAAGCTCCTACCTATTTAGATATGAGCAATAGGATGGGATGGGATGGGATAAGATTCCTATCCTATCCCAGTTTTCGGCCTTGCTCCGGTCCAATTAGGTGCGAGACGATTAAACCAATATTATTGGTCCAATTCACACGGCTCCACTCGCATTGAATGCTTTTATCACAGGGCCGATTCCTAATCAGGCTTAGTGCATAATTATCAGATTCCTTGGTTGCCATTTACTATTAATTGAATTACACACAACATTCTTGAATACTCTGTTCCTATTTACTCGCACGAATCCACTATTCAGTCTCATTTGACAGATCCTTACACTACCAACATTTAGTGCGCATGCATCTACTTGATTCGTAAAATATATGGTTGCAATGTTGTAAGAGGTGTTGTTCAAAACTATAACTGAATCAAACTAAGAAGTACTCCACAGCCCCACTTAGGGCTGCATCAGTCCAATAGGAATCCTCACTATATCAACAGAATTGTACTTTGTACTATGACATCAGTTGATTATTATTGAATAGTAGCGTATCGTGGATCCAGCTAAGCTTACGGTAATACCCGTAGACCTAATCTATAACTAATTTGTACTAGTCACCTATTTCCTTCCTCCTTTTCACTTCCAAAGCTCGGCGACTAGACATTTTTTGGAAGTCAATCCGATGCTAACAGTTCCTCTTCTCCTCACTCGTCTATTCTATTCACAATTTTGTCCAAATCTTGATTTATCTTATCTATAGAGACATATCGATCTCAAGGAACGTACCGAGGTTCGCTTTCGAGGTCCTGATAGTCGCTATAATCTTCCATCAGAGAACGCGCGCCAATATCATTGTATCGATGAAGAGACTGGTTACGTGGAACAAATTCGACGTGCTCGAGATCGATGAATATAACTTTGGTATTGTCCCACTCTTCATTATCGCAGCAGATCATGACATTTTCCAGTTGTTGGTCTAAATAGACTACGTCGTGCTCAGAAAAGAGTTGGAACGCTTGGTAAAGTTGGATTTGTAGGGTTATCACCAGGATCGGGTAGTTTCTCTCGGCAAGATCAAGCAATATATCTCCAATTACTTCAGAGAGAATAAGCGCCGGGTGACCCTTGAAGTGGCCTATTCCAAAAAAGTGAGGAATAAGTATCCCTTGAAGATCTTTCAGCCTTTCATAAGCTATGGCCTCTTGTTTAAAATACTTCTACCGATCAATGTTTAGATATCGTTGCTTAACGATGATATTTCGAGGACGATTGCCAGCAGGTTCAATCGTTACTCGATATACTTTCTGTTCTGGACATAGTCGAGTGATATTTGTTATAGTGATACGTTTGCCATATAGATATAGAGCCTAGTGCCAAACCAAACCGATTAGGCCGTATCTGTGTCATGTGCACACCCGACTCGTAAAAAACGAGTCGGGTGTGCTTCACCGGTTCTGCCAATTTAAAATATTATTTTACTCTCTCTCTATCAATTCTGCTTTAAATACAATTCTGCTGCATCTGTTTAAAATATAGTATATCCCTTTCCATCACCTCCAATATTTGGCCATTTCCCCCCTGAATTGGCTCCTGAATCTGCTCCTGAACCTGCTCCTGAACCTGCTCTTGAACCTGCTCCTCGGCCTGTTTTTGAGCTTTTAGAGCTTTTTGGGCCTATTTTTGTAATTTTTTTTCTAGTTGTAACTCCTCCTTGGTTTTCCTGATTTTCATAGCGCGTTTTGCATGGTGTAGGTTTAATACACCAGTCTGCTGGAGGGGTGGTTGGTTAAGCTGTCGTTTGGTCTTAGAGCGCTGAATTGGTTCTTGCGCAACCCTAATATTCTCAACTGTAATCTTAAGATTTTGACGCTCTTCTTGGATTAATTGGGAATGACGAGTAAGATATTTAAGTCCCCTTTGAACCCTTGGTTTAAGGAGGTCTATATCAATATGTTTGACAATCTTCTCTTGGTTCATCTGAAGTCGTGCTAAGGTTTTTGGCGGAATATATTTGTCGATCAACTACGTTGAAAGGACAGGGTTCACACGTTGCACTATATATACTGGAAAAGGGTATGGTTCGTCCTAGGTTCTTAGTATATACGTTGTGCAAAGTGGTGTGAAATGTGTTCGATTCATGTAGCTACTTGAGTTCCTAATATAGTTGTTCCCCCGTGACTCGGGGGTCTGTTTGTTCCGTTCCGGATTTATGGTATTGCATGATTGCAATATCCATGTTCCGACAGATGTTGAATAGAAAGGCGGAGGGTTCGATCAAGTAAGGATGGCTGTATAATAAGCTTACTTCCACAAGGATATCGCTCTATACGGCGGCCATCTATCTGCTTTTCAACCTCTACATTAGATTGATAGCTTTGGATATGTGCTTTATCTTGACAACAATGATATCCATATCGATGATATTGGGAATCAGTTGAGGTATGTCGGAATCGGAATCCACCTTCGTGCCAGATCAAATCTGAAAGACTATGCATCGCTATTCTCATCTCCTCTTTATCAAACTCAGAGCCAAATTTGATAGGTAAAGCATCAAGATCAAATTCAAAGTCATGATCAAGAGGCTGAGGCTAGGAGAGAAGCGTAGTAGGGCATGGACGACGCGATCCGTAAACATTCCAATGCCAAGACGCTAAGCCTGATATATCTATCACATGATCGAGGTTTTCCTCAGTTGATTCCCCCCATCCAGGATTCAGCCTGTTACATATAGTGCATCGTGTGGATGTCTTTTTGACCGTAGGTCAATCGACACTAAACAGTCCTTATAAATAGATATGTATGAAAGTGTAAAGAATAAGAATATCGACATAGATTAAAGTTGAACCTTCCCTGGGTGAAGAGCGGTAGTTGATGACAATTTTTCCATCGTGCAAAGGTTATATAGTGACAGCTACCTCATTCTAAGCAGACCATAGCTGGCGCCCTCCTTAAGATATCCCTGAGCATTGAAGTGACCACGAACATCCATAGAGTAAGATTGGCTGTGGCCTATTTCCCTAACAGTTTCAGCCCCGGAAAGTGGGGGTAAATAAGGATAAGATGAATGAGCCAAAACAAGTTTTCATAGACTTTGCTAGGGTTAAGGGAGTATTTTGACGCGTGAAGACTTAGGTACTGTTGCGATTTGAGAGTGTTTTTTGAGTCTCGTTGGCATTGCCGGGACGGCCGCAAGTTGGACAAACACCACAATTTACGCAAACACCAGACTTTAGAGAATCGCTGTGAGGGCTTCCTCTATGTCTATGAAGTGTTTCGAATGCTGGCTGTATTATTACTGACCCTGTGAGGATCATGACGAGGAATATGGGTATAGCGATGATGATAGTAGTTTGGAAGGGAGCATCAGTTATGCATTTACTCAGGTATGCGAGAAAGGCGTCGGGATAGGACTTCATATTTGTAGAAATTTTTGTATGTAGTGAACCTGGCGTAGGTGAGAATTGAGGGGGGAGCTCTGGGGCTAAGCCCTTTATAAGGTACCTCGTAAAGATTTTACCGAGTAACTACTAGCAAGTAGGTTATAGGTTAGTGTTTCTGCCTAGACCTTGCCATATGGGAAATTTTAGTCCCGTGGGGGTCGCGTGGGGGTAACTTTCATGGGACTAAATTTTTGAGCTGAGTGCCAAGACTCTGATCAATTACTTATTTGGGTAATTCGCTAACCCAAATAGGTAGTCCCATGGGAAATGGGACTGGAGTTCGAAAATTTCCCATGGACATGGGACTAGATTTTTGCTAGTCCCATGGGAAATGTCAAGGTCTATTTCTGCCTACTTAGACTGTGTTGTATTTTTCCTTGTGCGAACTACCAATGACAAAATATACTATGATTAGGCATAAATTACCACCGTAAAGTACGAACTTATGGAATATCACTATACATTGTGCGCCACCAACTGCTCAAAATTGTTCCTCGAAATAATTATTGAGTTTGCTGTGGCAGTTTGATGTGGCAGGTGCCTCCCGAGTGTGTTGGCAGTTTACGGAGTAATGTTTAAACATACACTGGGTATACCTCGGAGGACAGGCTAAATATAGTTAGGACGGCAAAAAGTAAGCCTTTTGGCAATCCACACCTCTATTAGATTAGGGAATTAGTCTAACGTATAAAGTAGGTAAAGTGGGTTTCTTTGAAATTCCCGTAACATCCGGCCATAGTAAATATATATCCGTATTTCATATCCGACGGATTACGGAGGGAAGATATCGGCGCACTAGTATACTAAGGGGAGGTCTCGAATGCCGTTTGGAATATTTAAGAAGCAGTCAAATTTTCCAACTTCTTCATCAAAAAACCCTATACATTAGTTTCTGTCGGTACACCTGTACCAAGTGTGGAATAGCTATTCGATAAAGGTGATGAGGCTAACGCCCACTTCTGACACCTATCACAGGTAACGCTTTACGCCCCTATGATATCTTTGTGTCCTCTTGAAGTGGTTGTAAAGTCTGGTTTTCATTCTTAGTTTGCTATCTATTATAAAGTAACAATTTGATCACATGACTGCTTTGTTCCATATTCCAACAGTTTCTCTGCTAAGTGATCTGGCCAAATGATTTCTTCTACTATTGTTGCCAGCCTCATTCTTGGCTTAGCCCACATTCCTAGCATTATTGCTCAGCCAGTTGCCTCAAACTCTACAGACGTCCTCATTTCACTCACTGCCTCTGATTACTTCCCAAATGCAAAGGGAAACTTGAGTCTTTTCGACGTTGATTGCCTATTTTCAATTAATGATGCCGATACTCGTTCCTGGCTTAGCTCCCTCGACCCAGCCTCGGCCACTACCGATGAGGGAAAGGCGATTGTACTCACTGAAGCGGCCTATTCTAAGAAGTTTGACGCGAATGACTTAGATATGGTTGAAGACGTCGAGGAGATCTTGGCTTTAGTTGCTGGCAATACTACTTCTCTCGAAAAGCGTAGTGGCTCTAGCACTTTTTCCACGAGCAGTCGCCACGCTGTGAAATGGACCAAATGCGGGGCTTTTTTGGCATGCGTCAGTGGGTATTCCTGCGGTCTTGATATCACGATTGACTCGGCTCCTCGTAGCAAGTGTGCGACCCGTGGGGGGAGTCTCTGCTGTCTAAGCTGGTCCACCTATAAGGTTCGGGCAGCATTCTTCTCTACTACATGGACATCGTGCAACTCCGAGGTCAAAGCGGAGGACCTAACAGAAGCCTCCTGTGAAGGCCACGGCAGTTCCGCTCAGGGTGGCGACGTATGCCTCAGTAACCGAGCCACCCATTGTGGCTGATATCATTCGATAAAGGCTCTATCGAAAAAATTGTTTGAGTGAGGCTGTTGGCACTGAAGGGACTAAGACAGAGAAGGAATAAATTGTACTTGTGAAGGGCTAAAGCTAATCTTGAATTCAGAACTAGCTAGGCACATGCTGTTTACAAAATCCTTGAAGAACGTGAACAATTCGGGGTGGAATCGTGAGGTATGCGGTTGGTGGGTCACGTGGTACAACCACGTGATAGTTCACCAGGATTCAACCTGTTACAATACCCCCTTCCTATTCTCCTGTTTTCCGGGGTCCATTCGAAGTCGTAATTGGTCCGTATCATAGTTCAAAGGTGTCGAGAGCTGTGCAGTTTTCCACTGCGTTGATAGGTTCCCATGTCAGTTCTGCGTATCCTCGCCATTTCACTAATGCTTCCCTCCGCGATCCACGTCCAATTTTTCGTGTCCTTGCTTGTAGGATCTCTTCAATTTCGTATTCCAGATCTCCTTCGACTAACAGCGGAGGCGGTTGCGAATCGTCCACGATTTGTGACGGTAACGGGTCCGTTGCCGCGGGTCTTATTAACTCAACATGGAAGACAGGATGTATGCCGCTTGGCACATCCAGCTTCACTGTATGAGAGGATGGCACTTCTAGAACTATGTATTTGGCGTGAAGCCAGTCTAGTTTCTTTGAAGGCCGTATCGTGCGTACATTCCGTAGGTTTAGCCATACTTTATCGTTGATATTATAGACTGGAGCGGCTCGTCTTGAACGATTCGCTTGTTCCTGTTGGTGTTCTTAGGCGATAGCCATCGCTGTATTTGCCTAATCGGTGGCGTCTTGTAGCCGGTTCGTGAATGTTTCCGCTGCGATCTCTGGTCCTCTCTCTGCTTGGACTTCTATCACTTCGACTAGATCGACATGGTATCCGTGTGTGAAGAAGAATGGAGATAGTCCAGTAGAGGTTGCGTCTTGGTTATTGATCGCTATGGCTACGATAGGTAGTAAACTTGCCTAGTCGTCCTATGCGTACGTAGTAAAGGCGCGTAGAATTCGTTCGACTTCTTGATTTGCGCGTTCTATAGCTCCATTAGTTTGGGGGTGGAATGCGGTAGATAATCGGCGTCGAATCTTTAGCTTTTCGCACACGATTCGCCAGAACCCCCCTACGAACTATGGGCCGTGGTTACTAGTGATCGCTATTAGTAAACCATGATGCATATAAATATGCTTCATAAAGACATCTGCGACGCTTTCCGTAGTAATACTATGCATATCTATTAGGATCACTCCTTTAGATAGCCGATCAGTAATTACTAGACAATTCGTCGCTCTTTCTTTCCCAGTGGGTGGAAGTTCTGTGATGAAATCCATGGATAGTTCGGCCCAGATTCGTTGTGGAATCGGTAATGGTTTAAGTAGGCCTTGCTTCGAATCTCTCTAAATCGTGTTTCGTCCGCAAATTGTGTAATTCCTTAAGAATCTCTGTATATCGTTCGTTATTCCTGGCCAAAAGAATCTAGACATGTTCATTGGGTTGGGTAAACCCATACCCAACCCAACCCAACCCACAATGGGCTGGGTATGGGTCAGAAATTTTACCCAAAACCCATATGGGTTGGGTATGGGTTTGAAGTAAAACCCACACCCAGCCCATAAACCCATCTTTTTGCCAAGACTTTTATTTCACGTGATATTTGTCACCTAGTTAGTACTAGATTGAGGCAAAAATTAGGCACTAAGGCACTAATTACCCTAATTTAGTTTAGGTTGAGGCGAAAATCAGGCATTAAGGCATCAAAAATACCCATATGGGACCCATACCCAACCCATACCCACGTGGGTTGGGTTGGGTATGGGTATGGGTTTACCTTACCCCTGATGGGTTGGGTATGGGTATGAATTTTGACCCATACCCAACCCATGCACATGTCTATCTATGTGTAAAGAAGTTCATGGGCTCAAGAAGATTGTTATTTGTTGACAGCTTAATATTAAGGTTTACTTAGAATTATACGAGAACCCGGTGCTCACCTATATCACCCACCATCACCCTAATGAGATTTCTCTAGCTGCTTAAGGGTGAGCTGAATACTAAGGGCTTTTAGACTATTTTCCGCGTTCCATAGGTGGCTTAAGTACGGCTGAGCGGACGGGAAGCCCTGTTCTCCACACCCTGTGGTCGTATGTGGTAGAACGATTACAAAAGTGAACTAACTATAAAGCTAATATCATCAGGTGTGTATCGCCTTGGTGAGCAATGAGCGCTGCTTTAGCGTCGCGCGACCCATACACGGGACGTGTGGCGAAGGCCAGGAAACACGTTATCATGTGACCCTTATATAATACCCACACATACGTAAGATCTGTACATTCTTGACACCGAATTCGACTGCCATTCCTATTCTTTGCTTAATCCAGTGACTACAGCACTAACCTTGCCCTCTTCACTAGTTTTAATCGGATAGAGGAATCGCAGTATCCCATGGGACCGGCTCAGCCTCCTAATTCGATAATAACACTGTCGGAACGGTGACGTTCTTACGGTGCATATGCAACTAGTATTCTCGATGGAATAGATCTAGGTGCGTCGATGCGAAGTTGTAAGAGGTGTGTTATTCAATCTTATCCTCGCTGTAACTAAATAGACAAAACTCGCTAGATTCACTTCATGTCGAACCAACAGTATCGGAACCATTGGTCCTGTGCCCCACTTTGGTCTAGTGGTATCGACAAACACCCATTATTGGAAAGCTGAGGTTCCACTTATCTACTAGCGTCGTAAGCTTAGCAATGTCTGCCAACATTAGCAATATCGCCTGGATTGGCCTCAGCAACATCGGCCGTGTAAATCACGTCTAAACATTCAAATTGAGGCTGTTTATCCGCTCGGTCCAGGCAAGAGTAGAAATCAAGTGTGGACGGTGCTTTGGTGGATTATGTTTACCTCATCATAAACGTGTCTGTTCAGCATTTGCGGATGCGTGATACAACTGCCATGGCGTTACTGTGTAATGGCTGGCTGTTATCCCCACTTATCCATCTTAAAGAGGAATGGTCGACTTATTTTGACAAAAGAGAAATTAATGAGAGTTGAAGAGGCCCAATAAATAAATAAAAACCTTGGAAGCTCCGGAAGCCACAGGAAAAGAAAAATTGAACATTAGACAAGTCGTAAGATAGCTAAAATTTACACCCTTAACTGATTATGAACCTGATACTAATTGAACTTCATAGGTTAAAGTTCCAATTATAAAAGACATTCTGTCAGATCCCGAGGTCTGCACTACCGATAGGGCTTTTCAAAGAAGGAAAGAGCCATGCCTCCCACAAGCTTATTTCTGGAGCTGCCAAACGAGATTCTCTTTGCGGTATCTGCTCAACTTGATGACGTAAAAGACGTCCTTGCACTTACAAAACTCACCTGTCGCTCTTTGGCTATTCGTCTCGAGCCTGCATTTTGTTACCGAGCGCGAAGTCACGTCTGTACTCTTGAAGGGCCTGTTCTTCAAGAGAATGTTCTGGAAGGATATACTGTGGAAGGGTCTGTTCTGGAATGGGCCGCAAGCCAAGGCGATATAAGCCTCGCCCGCAAGCTTTTGAAAGACTGTAGGGCTATATCATCTCACAAAGATAGAGCCCTCTGTAGAATTTCCGGCTGTCATGCTAATGATTCAGCATCAGAAAATCAGAACTTGGAGTTTGCAAAACTACTTTTGGAGAATGGCGCGTCTGCTACAAATGGTCGAGACTGTAGTGGCTTTACAGCTCTTCATCATGCAGCTGGAAACTTCGAATCGATTGTGAGGCTGCTCTTAGATCATGGTGCTGATGTGAATGACCAAATAAATTCCGATGGTCGTACACCTCTTGATTGCGCAATACAGAACACGAAATGTATTATTCAATTCGAACCTATTGCGAGGCTATTATTTGCGAATGGCGCCGATCCAAATGCTAAAACCAAGTATGATCTGACACCTCTCCTCGATACAGTCAGACTAAGGGGACCGGAATATACAGAAGTGTTATTAGCGAATGGCGCTAGTGTACACTTCTGTCGTCGTGAAGACGGATTAATGCCACTTCACATCTCATTTGAGAGCTGTGACACTATGCGTCTGCTATTGAAGTATGGCGCTGATATAAATGCCACTGCTGATAATGGTTATACAACCCTTCATTTCGCTATTGCAGAGTTCCAGGAGGACGCTGTGCGGCTGCTATTGGAGAAAGGTGCTGATGTAAACGCCCGCACCGATACGGGCTATACACCTCTTCATATCGCAGTATACGGCTCGACGTTTCATGGCTTAAAACCTATGCGCCTGCTTTTGGAAAGGGGAGCCAATGTGAAACTCCAAGATGAGGAGGCTTTGACACCTCTTGACTGGGCAGTCAAACATGAACGGGAAGAAGCCTTGGAACTACTCTTGAAAGCTGGTGCTGATACAGAAGCCATAAATTCCCCCCTTCAGCTTGCAGCAAAATATGATGAACCGGAAGCTGCATAGCTGCTATTGAGAAGTGGTGCTGAGATTATGCCCCGAAATAATGTACAAACACCTTTGAATCTGCATATTCTTTAAACTACTTCTCTCAACCTATACTTCTTCAAAAGTTTTGGAGTTTGTAATCTGATACCCTTTTAGTATCCCCAACCACGACGAGCTGTTTTCATTTATCGATATTTCAAATAAGCATACATTGGAGCAGAGATTTGTTGAAATATGTTCAAATAAACTTATTAAAGCTACATTTAATCCTTAGCGCAACGGCCACAAATCGTTGTTCCAGACAAGAACATCGTCACTATCTTCGACGCTATAGTGCCAACACTCGAGGGCATTCTGTGAAGGCCTAGAGCTAATATTATATTCAGAACTAGCTAGGCACAAAACTGTGTACAAATTCCTCGAAGAACATAAAGGAATCGGTGTGGAATCTAGAATGAGATGTTCTTGAATCGCGTGGTGTTCTAGCCTGAAAGATTATCGGTCTTATGTTCATGCTTGGACTTGGATATTGGGCACCATGATCCATCACCGGGCTTCAGCCCGTTACATACGTGGTAGCTTCTCGTATATAAACTTGACATTCCGGGAAAGTCAAGCCGAAGTTTCGGCAGATTTGCTTCACCGTGTAGCAAAATCTCCTTATAAAAGATGGGGGTTAAAGCATAATAAATACCGTCGGTATTTGTTGTTGCTCTGGATTGACATCCGACTGCCAGCTCCGACTCGGTGGTTGGTAGATATGGGAATTGGTTTCAAACCAAACCAATTCTTATTTATGTAACGCCCCAATTAGTTATGCTATAATTCTGATTTTTTTGGTAATTTAAAAATTAATTTAAGGCTTGGTGTTACGGGATGAATATAGAAACAACGCTGTGCGGATCCGATGATGATCAAGAAGAATTAACTAAGGAAGGAAGGAAAAGAGGATCCAGCAGTATCCTACCCACGATCGTCGTCATGCATAATAAAGGGTTGGTAAACATGAAGACGTTAAGATATGGAAAAAAGCCCTAAATGATTTAAGGAAAAATAAGATTGAACAGCCTAATAAACTCTCAAAAATTAGGAGATTGATCAACTGAAAACCTCCCCGAATCACTGATTGCCTAAAGAAAACCTTTGGAAAAGCTATCGTGAGAAACAAAAGAACATAAGTTTTAACAGCTCTCATCACAGTTTCTTCTCCAACTTCTTCAGAAATCGGTTCGCGCGACTCTCCAGCTTCTCCGCTTTATCCTCCAATTTCCGCGGGCGTGAGGAATTCTTCGACGATTTCTTCGCATACTTTTCAATACCGGCTTGTGAACCAAATTCTACCTCTGTCGGTCGGTACACCTGGCTATGGATGTCATATTCGGAAGTTTCCGCTTGCTTTGGCTGCGGCTGTGATTGGGCCTCAGACGAGTTCGAGTATCCACCGATTGGCAGCGTCGCAGAGCGCTGAAGTGATGATTGCTGCGATGTGCCGGGCATCTGTTGTCCGTACATATATGCATTGTGGTCTTGTGGCGTCATGGAAATTGACGCGGGAGTACCTGGGTTCCACTGAGATCCGATTACTGAGTGGAAGGGTTGTTGGTATGATGGGAAGCCCGGGTTCTGCATTGTTGGTCCAAATGATGTCTGGTATGGGAGGCCGGCACTGGGAGGTGGAGAAGCGTAGCCTGTTGGCACATTTGAGTATGGTATTCCCTGCACTGAGGTTGGAGGAGGTGCGAATGAACTGATTCCGACAACACTGGGCCCTTGAGGTTGACTTGGATACCCAAGACCCTGTCCCTGGTCGGCTGCTGCTGCTGCTGCGAGCCCGGTGCCTGCGGCGCCATCCTCGGGAGGTGGGGTTTTCTCGCGGTGCTTGATCGGCTCTGGTGCTGCCGGAGCTGCCGGGTTATATGGGAGAGGAGCGAAGGCCCCAGAGTCCCTCTTCTCCTCTGTAGGGGTTTGGTATACGGAATTCTGAGTTTCCTGTTGCTCAGCTACAAGGCCAGCTGGAGGTGGTGGGAAACTGAGACTTTGAGGGGTGGTTTGCACGCTTGATACAGCTGCAACTGAAACTGGGGCTAGAGGCTCGGATCGAGAATTGCGTGTTTGTCCGTTCTGATATGCTGGATCTGAGACGGCCACATTTTCAAGCTTCTGAACCACGGAACTGATTTGCAAGTCTGGAGCTCGGTCTGTTTCTATCTGATCCGGGGATAGAAAGCGACTGACTATGTCCAGAAACAGATTTGAATCCTCCTTTGACCAGAAGTAGATGTCAAGAGTGTGAAGTAGGGCAACATTATGTTGTCTGCTGCTTGGGTCCAGTATCGGTAGTTGCCATTCACCCCTCAAGGAGCCGGAACCTGGCCGAGCATTCACTGTCAATGTGCAGTGAGACCCAAATCGAACGGAATGCCGTATATGCGCATTGTGAAATGACCCTTCAAATGCATCTTGGTCAGGAGTTCCAGGGTTGTTGGCAATCTCAAGCCTGGAGCTGTTTTGGTGGTGATTACGATAGACGTAGAGGTAGGAACCCTTATCAAAGCGATGGTGAATGGGTTTGGGAGTTGGCGGGGAGAAGTAGTAATGGATATCAGCAAATCTATGAAATTTAACATTGTTCTGTGCAAGACAACCGAAATGGCATGGAATTTGAACTCACACGTTCAGTACACGCTCTTCGCCGTGTCTCTGAGGCATATTGTTCTGAATAAGTTTGAGATTGTGGAATTGATGGTGTAGAACTTTTAACAATATCAAGAAGCAGCATTCATAGCGGTGAGGGGTAAAACTACATTGGCCCGTGAGACGAAGGGCGCTTAGAATGTGATGTGACAGGGCAATATTGACTAATATTGACTATAGCCCTGAACGTCTTAGCCTCATTGGCCCACATATTCTTTATTTAGACGAATGAGGCCATTGGACACAGTATGGTAAGATTGGTACTAGAACCGATATGAACCGATATTTACTAAAGTACTCTATAATAATGTATGAGACTTCATACGTTGACCTTTTCATGTGGTAGCGACACCATGATTCCGGATAAATAATGATATGATGGAGAACAAACATCCTACATCTTTCGTACTAAAAAAAGTAAATGATTTTTGAAATTTGCTCAGATGCAATTATGCTTGAAATATGAAACCAACCAATGCAGCAGTTTGAGATCTAGACCACCCACGGGTATCTAGTGATGATATCAGAAGCGATAGATGAAAATCTTTAAATAAAATATATGGGACAGTTCAAGAGTTGAGAGCACATCATTTGGATGTGAATTAAGAGTGAGAAGCAAAGACGATTGATTTTGCCTCAGGGTGTGGAGTCGAAAGAATCCAAATTCCAGTTTAGTTCAGTGTCAGACCAACAATGTCAATTTCATCAACAGTCGACTTTTCAGTTGAGGATTGCTCAGCAATAGTCGAAGTCTCAGTGTATGGCGATACTGTGTTCTCAGGTAAAGCAATTTCCTGCACGAATTTGGTGGCGTCTGGGTTCTCCAGAGTCTCAGGAGTGTCAACACTAGAAGATTCATCCTCGAAAGTAGGTTCTTCTGGAACCTGCAAGACATCGTCAATCAATGTGACATCCTTGACTTCCGACGGCGTCTGAGCATCAGTGGGTTCGATGCTCACTTCGGACAATTTGGTCTCATCTCCGCCAGACACAACAGTTGACTCCCCTGGAACTTCGTGTGTGGCGTTGGTAAGAAGTTCAGACTCGTTGCTGTCATCCCGGATTGGAGCTTCTTCAGTCAAGGGGAGGACTTCTGTTAAAACCTCCTTAGGGGCAGGTGTAAGATCCGCTGCAGCGGGTTGGGCCGGGCTCTTAGGCTCTGCAGTGCGCTCGGCTGTGGGTTCAGACTCAATGTTGACAGGCTCATCCTTGACTTCTTCGGTCAATTTGACAGGGGTCTCAAAGACTGGCTCGACAATTGTCTCATTTGGCTTCTCAGTTTCGGGCTCTACCGGAGTTTCTGGGATAGATTCCTGGGTATTTTCCTTGGCGCTCTCCCGCTTGTGCGCAATTTTGGTCGCATCATCCTTTTGCGCTAGATCCTTGGGAAGAACCTGGGACTTTTCAGTCTGTAGTCGCAGAGGAGCGGCCTTTGCCTTTGGCTGGACATTAACGCGCTCCGTTGCCTTTCCAATGGGTGCTCGGAGAGCCCTGGTGGTCGTGGTTTTGGGCGGGGGAACGTTATCAGTCTTATCGTGCGTCTTGTTTGCCGAGCTAGCAGTAGGTCGCATCATGCGTGTAAGGAAGCTGTTGTTTACTGGCTTGGTGGCAACATTATCATGAGCAGGCAAGGAGGGGCGAGGCTGTTTCCGCACATTTGTGGCGCCGGCGGCTGACCGTGTCGGGACACCAGATGCACTTTTGACAGAGGACTGCTTTGTAGATGTGTTCGCACTGGCTCGCGTTGTAGGGGCGGTAGTTCCAGTCTTTGCCACGGATGATCGAGTCGGCGCCGTCATGGAAGCAGGTAAGCGCACATGCTTAGTAGGTGCTTTGGGACTCGTCAAACTCTGGGGCGCAGGTTTCTGAGAAGGTACCGAGGCTCTTGTGGCCCGGGTGGTGGTGGGCTTGGTGGGATGTGTGGAAGCACGGTTGGTTGTATGAGTGGAAGCATTAGCTCGCTCCTTCGCTGTCTCCCGAGCTGTGGTGGGGTGGGTGGTAGCTGAAGCTGACATTGTTGAAGATTTGCTTGAAGCGTTGTTCTTGGGCGAATGAAGGGTAGGCGGGCGCTTTGTAGAGGTGTTCGGGATTGGTGTTTTGCGGGAAGCAGTTGTTTCCTTCGAGGAAGCTGCGTTCTCCACTGGAGAAGCCGGTTCTTCCTTAGCCCCACATTGCGCTGGCTCTGGCCGAGAGTCCTTCACCACCTGATCAAGGACCACTCGATCAGAAATACCATTATGAGGCGTCTCTACTTTGGCGGCAGGAGTTGGGGACACAACGCTATGTCTGTGTGACACCTCTTGTTCATTTATCTTCGGCCCAAAAATATCCGGCTCACTTCTTCCGCTTGTCTTCCTCAACGGTGATCCCGGGGTTGCCGACTGAATAGCTCCTTCAACGGTGACAAAACTGGCACGAACCCTAGAGAGTTGTCTAACGGCAGAGGTATCACACGAGAGAGGAGATCTGCCACGATCGGATGGGGAGGGGGTTTGGTTGGTCTCAAATTTGGCCAGCAGGCTACGAACGCCAGGATGGTGGGCGTTGTTATCCGCCATGATTTCAGTAGGTGTTAATTTATCAGGGGCATAGGGAGTAGTTGAGGCGTCGTGAGGTGGGCGCGTAGTGGAGGTAGAGAGGGAGTGGAAGACGAGATCCCACTTAGTTTCCCCCCTCTGGGGTAGCAAAAATCAAGAGAAAAACACAGTCCGCAAAGAAGTGTTGAGAGTAAACAAGAAGGGGAAGATGTGAAGAAAGCAGGAAACTCATACGGAGTTACTTCAATGCGCTAGTGATGATTAGCGCATCCAATAGAGATTCTTCTATTTTTTCTATTTCAGGGGTCAAGGGGGAATTGTTTCCATTTATTTGTGACAGCTTCATGATCTCATATAACTTATATTGCTTTTCTTTCATTTCCCATTGATTATTCCTATCCAATTGAATGATCAATTCCTTGATTATGTTGAGGCAAACAACCCAATCTGATCTATAACTATAGACACGTCCATTCGCATACTCCTTGCTTCAAAGTACAACATAAAACCCAAAGGATGTGCAGAACAAAACCGGGCCCGACCATGGATCAGGGACCCAGATATCGAAGGAATTCCGTAATCTGGGGATAGAGGAATCTTGGATCAAATTACCGAATATCTAAGACAGTGGATCTTTGTCTTCTTGCAATTATTGTGGTGTCAAGTGGCTTTGTGTGTCAGGGAGTATAGAGTGTAAGTGATACTAAGTGTTATGCATTGGTTTGCTTCTTCTTCTCCTGAAAACCAACGTGTGGCCTTGAAGACCGAGCACGATGATTTAGTCATGATTAGGATCACGTGGTAATTCTAAAGGTCACGTTATCTCCAGAACAGAAGTAGATTATAGTGCACTTGAGATCAAGCGAAACTGAGACTCTGTCCTGTCCTTAGCACATTTATTGATAGGGATAAGACTCATAAGAAAGATACCTAGTAATATGTGTATCCCCTAAGACATAAACGCAAGGATAGATGTTGAAACCCCTGCTATCGATACTCGAACCATTTATCGTGGGCGAAATTATCTCCATCCTCTTCCTCACTATATTCCTCACTTTCCCCGTCCTCACAAGAACCATGTCTATCTTCATTCTTCATCAAATCCATAACTGTAGCGTATATATATTCTGTGTCGCTGTCAAGCTAGATTGGACATTACCCTCCCCGCACTAATGGCTCCTCAATGATCATAAATGGAAGGTCATAGCCGGACATGTTTCAAGCAAGGGCTCACAGCATTGCTTTGTGAAGGTATGGTCCAGGCGTGGGCCATAAATTATTGGCTGTTTCGACTTTCCTAGTGACTTGTGATTGTTTTTAACAGAAAACTTCAGCCAGTACCCGAGCTCCTCGATATTTTGGATGTCGTTAAAGGCGGGTCTGTTAGGGCTTCCTGGAGGTATCCAATGATGCGGACTCGGTTCATCGCGTCTTTGGGCTAAGCCCGTGCTGGACGTAGACCCGAAGGTCGCGTAGATGCCATACCCATGGGCAAACTTCAGGAGATCATATGGATTTTGGTGAGGATCTGGCCTCCCCATGTACCGATTGAAAATTTCAACCACTGCTGCTCTCTAGAGCCCCATGAGTTCAATAATGACAACGCTGTCCTTAGTGGGAATTTCAAATTGGGTAGCGCTGTTGTTGAACCCATGCAACCGCTTGTTGGGGGAATGAATGCGATAAAAACGTTTCTCTTGCCAGAATTTTGTGAAGGGACGAAAACATGCTCGTCCTTAAAGAATTGGATTTTCTTACTTGTAAAGAAAGGCTCGGCTGGAGATGTTTTCATGGGGAATAGACATTAGAGGCAATATTTTGGTAGTGCTCCTGCTGGACAAACGAGGATTGAAATGGGTGAGTAAAAGGATGGGCAGTTACGCTCAAATTGAAAGACTATGGTGGCAACTACAAGCAAAAATACAGTAACTCCGTAGTCACAATGTGATCTAAGACTACTCTGATATCACTAGTTAAGCACAATTCCTTGGTTCAAGACTGCACTATTACCGTTTCGGCAAATATCTAGATGACTAATCAGTAATATGCGGGTCTGAGATCTCCATTACTCTTGAACGGCGTTATGCAATATGATCAAAGATGGTTGGTGTACCCCGTAGTAGAGGCTGTGCTCTCTGTGTGAAGCGTCGGGTCAAGGTGCGTACGGTCCAGGCGGGATGAGACTGATAGATTTGGAAATTGACGACGCTACAGTGTGATGAACGCATCCCAGAGTGCGCTAAGTGTGAGAAATATGGGAAGCCATGTCCAGGTTACAACAGGGGCTTCAAATTCATTACCGGAAAGCCATATAGAAGTCGTCGACGTTTACCCGGTAATGGTAACGATACCACAGACATCCAGAGCCCGGAATCTGTGAGCCCGAGCATAATCAGCAGTGACAGGAGATCAGCTTCTCAGGAGTTGATCCAGAGACATACTCAACTGTTTTTTGTGTCAGCAGATTTGAATGTCCTACAGAGCTTGAGTGCTCTGGTTGATGATTTTTCCAATCCAACACCCGCTCTAAGCCAGAAGTTTGTGGTCTCACAGTGGTTTGGACTTCTTCCCGATATCTATGGTCAGAGTAAAATCCTCGACGCAGCAATCAAATCGTTTGTTACACACCATCTTGGAAAACTTTATCGAGATGAGCGGATGCTCGTATACGCTCGATCTACCTACGGAGAGGCGCTGCATAGACTGAGAAAATCACTAGCAAATCCCTCAGAATATCTTTCCTCTCATGTTTTCTGCGCAGTTGTCATGCTATGCCTATATGAGGTAATTCAATCTCATCGTTCAATCGCTGGTTGCTCAGTCTTAACATCTTTTTCAGCTTTTTACAAATAGGGAGAATCCAGAATCTTGGATCAAACATGCTCAAGGGCTTGGGCAGCTGGTCAGGGTAAGAGGACCTGGCCGCTATCGTAATAAGCTTGATATTTCCCTGCTCAAGGTCTCTCGAGGTTTGATCGTAAGTTCGATACTTTGAAACTTCACCTACGACAATTATGACTAACCAGAATAGGTCATGCACTCGATGTTTTCCGGCGAACCATGCTTTCTGGCATCGAATGAGTGGCATCAAACGATGAAACACCAATATGTGACCGACATGCCTGCTGACTATCATGACATCATTGAGAGTTTCTTTGCCTACTTTACATATGCACCTAGTCTTGTGCACAAGCTCTTCAGTCTCAGAGAAATTGACCCGACGACTCCAGAGGCATTTCAGGTGGCATCAGACGCTCTTTCACAAGCTCTGGATATGAGGAGCAAATTGGACTCCTGGTATGACCAGTGGTGTAAAATTGCCCCACTTCCAGTTGAAGAGCTCTCAACAGATGACGCCCTATATCCCGTCATTTTAACATATGCTGGTTTGACTGATGCTCAAATATACTGTGGCTACTACTCCTACATGGTTATTATTCACGAAACATTGAAGAATTTGGGCTATATCGGTCCCCACGCAGATATGGTGGTGTATTACCGGGATCAAATCTGCAAATCAATCGAATTCAGCAGCAAGGGAGCCCTTGGTCCCTACAGGGTGGGATTTTCCTTACGGGTTGCAATTGAGGTTGCTGACCCTGTGACAAAATCTTGGATCATAAATCGATTAGAGAAATTCTCGAAGATTTACGCAGCGGCCCAGCCAGAAAACTACCAACCAGTTCTATGACGCGAGGCAAAAATAAAGGGTTGCAATTAAGAAGAGCTATAAGGCTAACTACCATCATCCTATAATGGCCCCATTCTCAAAGCAAATTGAGTTCAACAGAATCAGTTTGCAGAGCCTTCAATGTCAATCGGCGTGATATAATCCTCCATCTCAGTCAGCCTCATTGGCTCGATGATAGCACGTGTGGCCAATAGCAGAATGACGATAATGACCTCCATCAACAACCCCATACCAGCTAGCACACCAACGTCACCGGAGGCAGGATTGAAACGTGGGGGTCCATACTCTAGCAACAAAAAGTAAATAATCCGAACGCACAGGAATGGAAGAGTGAGAGAAATTAACAAAATCCCATGGTGTCCTCTCACAGGCAAAATTGAACGAGACTTCAATACGAACCAAACAACCAGGCCACAAACAAATGCAAAGGTGACGACGAGAACCATGGATCCTGCTTCACTAAGAGTGTGCATTTCAATGCTTCCTCCAGCCACTGCAAGAACAATGGCAACAAATACAGGGAATCTGAAAGCATGTATCGCGAAGCGCTGCAATTTCGAGTATCTTGATTTCCCAGGCCCGTATTCTCCGGTCTGGCCACTATGTTCAAAAGTCAACAGCTGTTCAGTATCCAATTTGAATTGACTAAAGTTGGCATACCATCTCAAAAGAACAAGGCTGACTTCAAATAAAAGCGGTGAAAGGCCTACACTTTGCAGATTAATCTCCGCAATCAGCATGGCTTGACTTGGGTGTGAGGTCGAAACAATCATGGCTGCGCTTGCTATACGGACTGTGACCATGTTAAATCAGCAACTTGATTTGGATATTGGTTTGTCGCAAAGGCTTCTTTCATCACTTTCCATCCGTGGAACTCACCTTGGGCCAATAAGCCAACCATACTCCACCAGCAGTAGAAAAAGCAGCGTGCAGGATGTGGCTTTTTGTTGTGGTGCCAATATCGAGACTCTTGCATATATCTCATGGGAATTTGGATAATATGGATGACTGAGAAAAGGACAAGTTCTGCGATGGCAATGTCGTGCACTCCTTTCGGGATCGAGTCATCTATATCATGAGAGAGGAGAGTAGTGGGCATTTTGATGATGCTTGAAGGCAGTGACTAGATTTCAACCAGGAAGATATACTGCTTCATATAATGATCATTGTATTATTTTAAGACTTACGAGATTTATGGAGGGCTTAAATAGTCTATCCACGCCTTGACAGCTTTTTTTTTTTCTCGTATTGGTATATAACTTCGCGGTCACTGACCACTTCGGGTTTAGCGTAGAACATCCGCAACCTTAAAAATCATAGGCTAATTTTGGTCCTTCCAGACCTTTGGAAGAACCAATCAGTACAAATCAATAAAAAAGTGATATCATTAGCTTGAGAAGCGAAGGGGTCAACGTGACAATTCTATCCTTATTGACTGTATGGTGCCACGAGGTGGGTCTGAGACTCTTAGCTTCAATGCCAAGATAAATTTACTATAGAATTAGTTATGCGTCTGATCACGTGATTTTCAATATCTTGTAGGGTAAAGAAGTTAATCATGGTCTCCTGTCATGTAAAGTCTGTTCTTACCTATGTATCCCTCGTCGGTGCTTGGTCTTACCTAGGTATCCTTTAGATCCCCCCTTTCCATTCGAGTATACCGGTCCCTCGAAAATATGCGTCTGATTACCAAAGTAAACAGGCAAAAGCTAGTGGACGACGCCAAAAAGGACAGGCCAGTCATGAAGCAGGGCTTATAGAGCAGCGTCTCGAGTTCTACCACTACATCCCATCCGCCTCATTTACGACATATAATGGTGAACAACAGCTACCTATTTCTTTCCCCCTTGATAAGTCACGATTACAATGTTACGAACCTAGCGAACGCACACGCTAGAACTGTACTTACTTCAGAGGATGGGTTCGAAACCAAGCTTAGGCATGTCGATATTCATCGACATTGGCTTCGCCAGGAGGTGCAATTCGGCACCATTAAGGTGGAATGGGTGCCAACCACCCAGATGGTAGCCGATGGCTTTACCGAGATCTTACCTAGACAGCGGTCCGAATCTTGGGCAAATCTACTCAATATGGAAGATGTGGAAGAATTGATCGAGTAAAACCCCTTAATCAAGGTCTACAAAAGACCAACCATGCAGGAATCCATTGGTTGGAATTCACTTTCTCTCGCGGTATTTGGCCTATAAAGGATAATCAGATGATCGGAAGTACCTTTATTAGCATGGGCTGTAAATTTCGCTCAACAATTTTGAATACATTGATCCTTTGAACGCATAATACTCCATAGCGTACTCCGTACTCTGTATTCTGACGTTATTTCCTCCGGATTCCGGAGTCTATCGGATCAATAATCATCCGCATCCGCATCCACATCCTGTACAAAAAGTGAAGCGCCGATGACGGAGTCATCCAACAGGTAACCTTGAAAAATAATCATGGCTTCTGCTGCTGCTCGGACTCTTCGCATTGGTAAGGCTTTTCTGTCTACTAGTTTGTTGTTTCAATTGAAGCTAATTGAATCTGTACAGGTCTCATCCCCGGAGACGGTATCGGACGGGAAGTTATCCCGGTATGTAGCTCATGCATAATGACACATACGAAATCAGTTTGCTGACCGTGGCACAATTGATGCAATACAGGCCGGCCGTAAGATTCTGGAGTCTCTCCCCTCGTCGCTGAATCTCAACTTCAGCTTCGTTGACCTGGATGCCGGTTTCGGTGCCTTCGAGCGCACCGGCTCCGCTCTGCCCGACAAGACCGTCGACACCCTGAAGAAGGAGTGTGATGGTGCTCTTTTCGGTGCTGTCAGGTAATACATGATGCGGTTGACCTCAATTAATTGTGCTCTACTGACACAATTGCGCTAGCTCCCCGAGCACCAAGGTCGCCGGCTACTCATCCCCCATTGTTGCTTTGCGCAAGAAGCTCGACCTGTACGCCAACGTGCGCCCTGTCAAGACCACCGCCGGCAGCAGCAACGGCAAGCCAATTGACCTCGTCATCGTTCGTGAAAACACCGAGGACCTGTATGTGAAGGAGGAGCGGACAACAGAGGGCCCTGACGGCAAGGTCGCCGAGGCCATCAAGCGTATCTCCGAGCGGGCCTCATTCCGCATCTCCACAATTGCCGGTGAGATTGCTCTCCGTCGTCAAAATATCCGCAGCTCCGCCTCCGGTCTCATCACCCGCGCTGAGCCTATGGTTACCATCACCCACAAATCGAACGTTCTGTCACAGACCGACGGCCTGTTCCGTGAGACTGCCCGCAAGGCTCTCGCCGACCAGAAGTTCTCTTCCATCCACGTTGAGGAGCAGATTGTGGACTCCATGGTCTACAAGCTTTTCCGCCAGCCTGAATACTACGATGTTATCGTTGCTCCTAACCTGTACGGTGACATTCTGTCTGATGGTGCTGCTGCGCTTGTCGGCAGTCTGGGTCTTGTTCCTAGCGCTAACGTCGGTGACAACTTTGCTATCGGTGAACCCTGCCACGGCAGTGCCCCCGACATTGAGGGCAAGGGCATTGCCAACCCTATCGCTACCCTGCGTAGTGTTGCTCTGATGCTTGAGTTCTTGGGCGAGCCCAACGCTGCCGCCAAGATTTACACTGCTGTCGATGCTAACCTTGATGAGGCCAAGTTCCTCTCCCCCGACATGGGCGGCAAGGCTACCACCCAGGAGGTCCTGGATGATGTTCTTAAGAGATTGTAAGAGATGAATTTAACAAAAAAACTTGCGTTGATGGAGGGGTAAAAAACGACCTTAACTTTCCCGTCTTCCGTTGTTCAAAAACAAATATTATATATATATTAAACTACTTTAACTACGTCCACTTCGAATTCAGTTTCAACGACATAGTTTTGGCTATATAAGCAATGCGAACTTCTTTCAGCCTTAGAAGACGCCTAGGCTTTTGTAGACTATAGCAATAATAATGGCTCATTCCTCAAGGCAATTTCAAGCGAGCCTTGGAAGTATTCAAGCTATATCAATACCAGGCCCGTAAATTCGTAGAGATAATGACTGCGCAGACTACCTAGGTATCTAGACAACCTTAGAAGATCGAAACAACTACCTAGGCACTGTTGTGAAAATCAACATATAAAATTCATAGAACTCCTGAGGTCCAGACAATCTACCACAGCACTATTAGAACATTTATTGATGTATCGCCCAGTTCACAGGGTTTACTGAATATTCCACGCGCTCAATAACCAAGATTTTGCCTGCATAATTCTTGGTATGAACCTTGGAAAGTGTTGGTCATAAATACTGCACTCTAAGCAGCTGCAGATGCAGCTGCAGAAGATGAAGAAGGCGAGGGCGTTGTTGCATCACAGCTGCTACCAACAATAAGATCGTGCATCGCACACTCCAGCTCGTTACCTTGATCATCATTATAGGCAATTGTCTGGGAACCGTCGTTGGTCATGCTGATTTCAACGCCTTCGCAGTCGGGGACAGTTAGATAACTGCCAACGAGAGCTATAAGATATTATTGTTTAGCGAGCATTCCATAAAAGGATTCAAGACTGAAAGACTTACTGCAGGAGAATCCGTCCGCGGCAGTACCGAAGCTTTGGCTGTTGGCACCACTGCAGGCAGGGAAGTTGTCTAGGCGAACATAACAGTCGGTACCCGAGGTTTGAATTCCAAGGAGTGGGGTGGCGATGGCTAGACCAACGGAGAGGCCAAGGGCCAGGATGGAGTTGGTGAATTGCATCTTGATGATAGTTTTGTTTAAGGTTATAAGCTTGATATATCTTATGTGGATAGGAGGCGCGAAGTCTTTGGAAATTTGTTATTTAGGTATGTGTAAAAAAGCGATTTTTGAAATAGGAAGGAAGATACAGGTTATATAAGGCATATTCACCCTGAGATCCACCACTAGTGATCTCCAGGGGCTGTAGATCTAGTAAAATCGTGTACTTATCAAACTGTTAATTAAGTATTTAGACAGTGGTACTTAATCTGCTACAGGAATATTAAGAAATAGCGGCCAGAGATCACATGGGCAAGGTACTAAGCTCTAGATACTTATTGAACACTCTCATGCCCACATTTCGGGCTATAGGATTTGGCCCCGAGAAATGAATTATTCCGCCCTAAGGATTTGGCCCCAGTGGGCCAAATCAAATTAAACCACCCTAGAAAATAAATATACTTCTACTTTAATACCACATGAAACGGAGAAGATCCAAACTCTTGGAAGTAAAGTGCATGGCCAAGGGTTCTATGGAGCAACGGACCCCAATTATTTCAGCTTTTCTGCTAATCTTGGAGGGAGGTTATCCATAACTACGAGGTATTTGGTTAAATCATATTGTGACTTCCAGTCATTGTTTATAGCTTTACCTACATTAAATACGGACCTGGACATCTGAACGAGGGATACGGCTCTTAGAGTATTTTACTTCTCATATATCTACTTCAGCTCAAAGGTGGATTAATTAACCTGATAGTGACGGGTTTCTTTGAAACCATGGGGCTTTAGATAAAAATGTAGGATATTTACATATTGTATATTTATAGCTTTCCATAATTTTGAGGGACCAAAGGAGTGGACGTCAGATTTAAAGGTAGTCAGCATTAAGTGGATTCTTAGTTTCAAGTAAACTGCTATCAACGGGCCATGTTTGCCTCTCCATTCTTGGCTTTTCCATTATATCTTCTTATTCTAGATCCATGGACTGCTTGTCGCATTCTACTATACAGAGATCATCTTTGTCTAGGAGTTGATGCAAATCTCGAACGGCATTCTTGAAATGCTGCAATAGATGGATGGAAGAAGTTGCGTCATTATAACATCTATTGATGCTTGAAGAAAGATGAAGCTTAATCAACCGAATCTAGACCTCCACAATGTTCTTCCCCACGTAAAAAGGAGAATTGACCTTCCTAATATGTGGCCAAATACCAATGGAAGTCCAAATTTCAACCATGTGAACGGCCGCCAGAGCACAGCCTTCGGCACCATGATCTGCATATTACCGCGTTCGCTATCTGTGGACTTGTGCTCCTCAGATGTCCCTGTAAATGCCCTAAGAGCATCTACCATGATTTTGACTGTCGCCTCAGGTTGACTCAAAAAAGGCGAGTGGCCTGTCTGTAACTCCCTATGCTCCACGCTGCAACCCATTTCTCTCGCCATGCCTATCTGCATCCGTTGCACTAATACCGGTAAGCCCCGATCCTCCACAGTACCAATATACCAGACTGGTAAATCTCTCCAGCCAGCATATGAGTGTTCACCACCCTCAAACAATGCCTTGAGGCTCTGGTCAGTAAGCTGAGAAACCCAAAACTCAGCCTCTTGCTGTGGCAAGTCGTGATAAAAGAGCTCACGTGGAGGAGTCACAAGCTCTGAAAAACCGGTTTTCGAATTGACGCGCCAGGTAGGAGGTGGGTGGCCTAAGAATGGATCCATAAAGGATAGTCCTGAGAGGGTGAAGCCAGAGGCTATGAGGATGAGACCAATGACGTATCCACTCTTCTGAGATTGGCTTGAAATGGTGTCTTGTGGCCGTGTGAAACCCTTGATAGCACTATTGCCAACCATGCCGCCATAAGAGTGCGCAATGACTACTACATTGCGCCCACGGACAGTCTCGTTGGTTATCGCTTCTCGTGCGACATCAATATCATCCTTGAGGGCTGCATCTGGGTCTCCAGAGTTTGAAGGAAGACTGATTGAGACACATTGCAGCTCAGATTGCTCTTGGATTATTTTGATCACTTTCTGGTAGCATTCAGGTTTATGCCAAGAGCCAGGTATGAAGAGCAGCGTTGGTAAATCGGACATCACTAGAGTAGATGTGAATTCTGATCAGGATTCGGTGACATTTATTTTATGATAAATTTCAATTTGCAGAGAATCCAGAGATAATTGAAATAGTTCACTGGTGGTGGTTGGAAATTGCTTCCGCTTGCGCTTGATCGGATCCGATGGTCGTCGGAGCCGCACCCTATTATCACATGACTAGATTGAATTTTCTCTATGATTTTTTCGTCTGGTATATAAGACTGCTAAAAAGACTGGTGGGAATTTGAAGCAGGTATGAACTAGCACTTGAAACTCGAGCCCCATAATGTAGGTGAGGTCCCAATAGATCAGAATTCTATGGATAGAAACTCATATCCCAATGATTTGTCTGCTTGCTCCAGTAGTGACAGGAATGCAACATTCCTACCGAAGGATACATCAACCCAATACCAAGGGCCTAACGAACATCTCTGTTAGCAGGTCAAGCGTGATTGGGACAAACCCGATTTGTCAAGTGGGCATATATTCCCAGTGGCATGTTATTATCTCAGAAGCGGGATGATAGAAGATAGGATTAACCCGTGAAGAGACGCTAGTCACATTAGCTAGTGCGATAGGGATGAGGATTAATCCTGGTCTGAATGATTATATGCAATTTTGAGGTCATCAACCCAACCTTGGAAGACTATATACAGGAACAAAGAAGTAAATGACAGGATATTGCTCAACGTTGATAAGACATCACAATACATGAACCAGATAGCATTTCCAACTGATCACCACATTGGAGTCTCTGCCATATGCGGAAGATCCGAACTTCCTTCATCCTCCAAGATATCCTCTGATAGGATCCCAATACCGCTATCAAAGCGGCGACGACTCTTGCCGCGGCCAAACTCAACATCAATGAAGCGGGCTGTGTTGACGGGAGTTATGGGATCACTGCCCATGACAGTGGTACCATTGGACATCAGGTCGTCTGATTTTAGTTCCCAGTTTGCTGCGCGCACTTTGGCACTACGGCGCCCGGAGTTCACGGTTTCCTTCATGTAGGCAAATGAGCGCGCTTGCTCCGCAGCCCACTTCTCCAGGAGCTCATCGCGGGCATCAATTTCCAGCTGCAATTGTTCTTCAAGGCTAGCGTTGATGAACCGAATACGCTGGGTCTCCGATCTGGCTGTTTCAAGGGTGGTGGTGAGCTCTGAGATGCGCACATTCAGAGTTCCGGCTTCTTGCTCGTGTCGCTGGACTTTTTCATTTGTATCTTTCTGGAGTAATTCAACCGCCCTGGAATGCTCCTTCTCGAGAGCTTCAATATGTGTAGTGAGATCGCTGGCGCGAGTATTATTCTGTGTCACAATAGCCTCAAGCTCTTGAACGCGGATCTCATTTGCGGCGGAGGAGACCTCCATTGCAGATCGTTGACTCCGCTCGCTGGCCAATTTCTCCTCCATGGTGGAAATTTGCTGAGTATATTTATCCTTCATGGCCAAGTTCTTGTCTTCCAACTTGCCAATTAGGTCTTCAAGGCCCTTCATATCATCATGGTACTTATCTAGGGCAGCGTTCAATCTCCCGATTCCGATATTTTTCTGAAGGTCTTCGTTCTCGAGGTCTTGCAACTTGATCCGAGTGTGGAGCATATCACTTGCAGAATCAGCAATGGAGCCCTCAAGCTTGCCGATCTTTTCTGCGGCTGTCTCATATCGTAGCAGTAGACTGTCGAATTGCCCTCGAAGAGCCTTTTCACGACCAACCGAGCCATAGTGGAACTTTCGCTCGTTTCGAAGGTCTCTTGCCAGACCCTTGACACGTTTCACCAGAGCACCTAATGTTGCTTTGCCATTATCAAGACTAGCACCATTGGTCTCACTAGGAATGGCTCGCTCGAGGTCGAGGCGTGCTGAGCGGAAGGCACATCGCACATTGTCGACTATGTCTTTCGCATTTTCACCCGAAAAGCCCATAGTCGAACACTCTTCGTAGATGCCTTCAAGAGCTTGTGTTGCATCAGAGGCACGAGAAAGAGCTGTTGTCAAGATATTGACAACATTATCGAAGAAATCTGGCGGTGAAGATTGGCGAAGAACTTCTCCCAAACCATACTCCTCCAATGCCGGCATGTGCGACCGACAGGCATTGAACAAGGCAGTCTTTTCATTTCTTGCGGCTTCCAGATCAAGCGACAGAGACTGAACTTCAGTGTCTTCGACATTATCCACAGCCGTTTCACCACATAGACTCGTATTGTCGGAAATAGGCGGATTGGAATCCAGTATAGGTCTGAAATCAGGTGAGCTGGAAGCCACCACGGTACTGTCATTGATCATGAAGGTGTCTTCATCATCACCAACTGACAAAGCGGGTCCATCCAGGTTGCTTATAGAACCCACAGAAACGTCATCTTGAATCCAAGTAGATTCTTCCTCCATATGCCTAGACTGGGGCAGAGGAGATGTCCAATGGGAACTGTAGGAATGTGACTGGTGTTCTAGGTTGCCCCGCAGTTGTTTCATTGCATTTAACTCTTGTTGCAGAGTATCGCGTTCTTGACGCAAAATTTCTACATTCTTAACGTAGCTTCTCGCCTCGCGCTTCTCACGCTCGATATCATTAATCTCGCCACTCAACCCGATTCGACGAATTCTTCGTTGAGTTCGCTGATCCAGAATCTGTCGTAGCGGGGTGAACTGCATCACTCGTTCAGAGGATGCTGGGGTAAATGGATCTACCGGGTCAAAGGACTCTCGGGAACGCATTGCTAGTGCTGAGCGTCGCCGCGCTTTGCAACTCGGTGACACCTCTGCAGTCTTTGAGAGTGCGTTAACAGAAGTCCGCTGCATAGCAGGGGTTAATCCAGTTGAGCAAGCACTGCGATGTATTCGAGGACCAGGATCAGAACATCGAACCCTCTTTCGAGAATTCCTGGGAGTGCTTGCTGATCTTTGCAGGTTATGTGCAGGATGGTCTGATATAGGAGCTATGGCTTGTCTTGTTCGGTGAGAAACCGGTGACGAGCTCCGTGATGTTCGAATCGAACTGTTTCTTCGTTTCTTTGCTAGCCGTCGGGTTTCCATGTTTGCTTTGAGAAGTTCGGGACTTATCAATCGTGGCGAAGAAATAGATTAAGATACTGAGAGAAAGATTTGAAGATGGAAATTTTGGTACTCTTGATGGGATGAATGAAGTTTGCAGAAAATGAAAAAGGTGGACCAAATCCTCCCTTGGAAAACAATAAATGCAGGAGTTGAGAAGCAACTCCACTTATTGGTGCTTTTTCAGGCGCGTACAATTAGGTACAAGTCGATCACAACATAAATACACGCTGTGGGGCTAGTTTGTTAAGCAAGGCTCTCGCGTGTCAGGCTGAGACTGGGTAAACATGCTGCTTCTTTTGGCGATCACGTGGCTTCGAGGACTATATCTATCCATGACAACACTCACCGCCAATCGTATCCAGCTAAGAGCTGATAAATGGAGATTGAAAATAAGTTAGTTGATTTAGCTGACTTTGCATCAATGCCTTACTGGATGTGAAGATACATAGTAAATAAAGGGAATAAGAACCTTGCAAGACCGCGGATGAGCGTTCGTTGATTGAAATTGCATAGCAAGCTACCTAAGGTTAAATAAACAGCGAAGCATAAATTAAAATGAATCAAAGAAGGAAAATAAAACCAAAAAGGGACCTTGTATTCGTATAAGAATCAGAAGGAATGAGAGATTCGAGGTCTATGGGTGCTATTTCATACCAGGAATTGGAAACTGTTTCGGTGATCAATTGAGGGCAACTGTTCCAAGGTTTTCGGCCGTCAGAAAAATCTAGTAGTATAGACTGAAGTCTACTGAAAAAATAAGTAGGCTAAGAAGATACAGAGCGAATTGTGCATGGAAGAGATATCAATCAGAAAGAAAAAGCACGAAGGTATCGCAGTATTAAAAGCCCAAGGACGCCAAAACTCGGACAAGACGTTGCAACTCTGACCATGATGAAAGGACAATGCAGTAAAAATCAGTCCAGCTGTGTTTGGCAAGTACCAATTCGGTGAAGTAAGATGGAGACATTACATATTGCCAGGCTATCTCTGCTAGGCACATCGCATAAGTAACCACGCCATCTAAGATCGTAATCTTTGTCTCCACAGTATCGTCCAACCACCATCATGGCCGACTATCAGGTCGGAAAAGAATGGAAAGGAACGGGCATCAAGAATCGTAGGGTAAGTCGCGGGAGTGGGGTGGGCTGACTGATTACCGCCTCCGTTCGAACCAGCTGGATGAGCCCATCACGGCTACGGACTGATCCATAACCCACTCGCCGACACCGAGATAGTTGTCAATCCAGTGCTTCACATCTTTGTTCTCAGAGATCTTTTCGGAGTTGAGACTAGGGCTGTCGACGCCCCCGCACGCTACCCAATTCTGGGCGGTGCGCGAGGGTGAACCGAGTTAGTCTGCTTGTAGAACCATATCTCTCCAGTCGCGAAAAATCCGCAAGCTCAGCTCATAGACAAAGCAAGCAAGATCAAAAGTTGACTGGAAGAGGGAAGGGGGGGGGTTGGTATTTACGTGAGGCCTGTGGATCGTTTCACGCCAGCCAGGAAAGCGGAGACTATTACAAGAAAATAGTTAGACCTAGTCCATGGTAAGTAATATCATAAGTTTGAGGGCAACTTACACAGGACAGCATCGAATGCGTAGTGGGTAAGACGCCCGAGCTGGTTGAGATCATAGATGTCAGTTCATCATAGTGCCACTCGAGCTGTTCACCGGGAGACAAGAACAGCAACGACCACGCCAGAGAGACGAAATCATACCATTTCTACTGATCGGGAATTTTGAGTATGGGAAGAATGAAAGTCTCGAGATAGTGGCAAGGGCAAGGGAATAATTATAGACGCAGGTGATGGGCAGGCGATTAGAGTCACGTGTGTTTTCTATTTCACATGACATCAAAGAGACAGCTGAGCTTTCATGACTAATCAAGGATAGAAGTATCTCCGGCTCCGATGGCCCTTTGATATCTCATCGATAAGAGCATCACCGAAAGACCGTTTCTGTCAAAAGGTCCCGAGAACAAATTGGCTATCTCTATTTGTCACGTTTACTGCTCATAGGACTGCAATATACGATGTATAGCCCAGCACCTCTTGCTACAGCACGGGCCACGCCCTTTTGTATGATTTATTTAACCCATTTTTTTCTGCTTGTGGTGGGGTACGCTGTTGCCGATTTCCTCTTAGAGTAGATAGAAAATATCAAGAAAAAAAAGGGAAAAAAAGAAAGAAGACCCAAGGGGGGTAACATGCAATTAGGTTAAGCCAAGCGCAAAATGTACACCGCAGCAACCTTGCGGAAGAGAACCGAACCATTTTGGTGTGGGCGGAGATACCAATCGGCGGCCGACATTTTCCCTCCCCGGCCCCTCGCTCAACTTCTTACAAGTTCTCGCCCCTCCCTCACCTTTCTTCTTTTTCTGCATCAACTTCTTCTTTGCTACCAACTTTTATTAGTTTGATTAGCTTTATTCACATTCCACAAAATGGCGGCCACAAGCTCTCTTGACCACCTTGCCAACCGCATGAAGCTGGAATGGCACTCCAAGCTCAGCACTGAGATGACCCCGGCGAAGACTTTCCGCCGTACCTCTATCATCTGTACCATCGGTATGATATTCCTTAGAAATGGATTGTTTATATCTCTCTCCCTCTCCAGTTCAAGCTTGTTCCCTGGGGACCCACAACAAGAGAGAGGGGAAAACTTGTCACTAACCAATAATCATTTTACAGGTCCCAAGACCAACTCGGTCGAGAGAATCAACGCTCTCCGCACTGGTACGGCAACTCGATGCCCTCAATCGTACTGAATATATAATTAACTGAATCATATAGTCGGCCTTAACGTTGTTCGTATGAACTTCTCCCATGGTTCCTATGAGGTTAGTACTTTTGCGATTCCCGACGGATGATGAACCAAGCACTGACATCGGTCGTAGTACCACCAATCTGTCATCGACAACGCCCGTGAGGCTGCTCGTATTCAGTCCGGTCGCCCCCTTGCTATTGCCCTTGACACCAAGGGCCCTGAGATCCGTACCGGTCTCACCGTCGGTGAGAAGGACTACCCCATCGCCGCCGGCCATGTGATCAAGATCACCACCGATGAGGCCTTCGCTGAAGCCTGTGACGAGAACACCATGTATCTCGACTACAAGAACATCACCAAGGTGATCTCCCCCGGCAAGCTCATCTACGTCGATGACGGTATTCTGTCTTTCGAGGTTGTTGAGGTTGTTGATGACAAGACCTTGCTGGCCAAGGCCCTTAACAACGGTAACATCTCCTCCCGCAAGGGTGTTAACCTCCCCGGTACCGACGTAGACCTCCCTGCTCTGTCCGAGAAGGATATCGCCGATCTGCGCTTCGGTGTCAAGAACAATGTTGACATGGTATTCGCCTCCTTCATCCGCCGCGGCAGTGACATCCTTAAGATCCGTGAGGTCCTCGGTGAGGATGGAAAGAACATCCAGATCATTGCCAAGATCGAGAACCAGCAGGGTGTTAACAACTTCGATGAGATCCTCGAGGAGACTGACGGTGTCATGGTCGCCCGTGGTGATCTCGGTATCGAGATCCCCGCCCCCAAGGTGTTCATCGCCCAGAAGATGATGATCGCCAAGTGCAACATCAAGGGCAAGCCCGTCATTTGTGCCACCCAGATGCTTGAGTCCATGACATACAACCCCCGCCCCACTCGTGCAGAGGTTTCCGACGTTGCCAACGCTGTTCTGGACGGTGCTGACTGTGTCATGCTTTCTGGTGAGACCGCCAAGGGTAACTACCCTTGCGAGGCCGTCAAGATGATGTCCGAGACTTGCTTGCTCGCCGAGGTCACCGTCCCCCACTTCAGCATCTTCGATGAGCTCCGTAACCTGGCTCCTCGCCCCACCGAGACCTCCGAGTCCATTGCCATGGCTGCCGTTAGCGCCAGTCTGGAGCTGAACGCCGCTGCCATTGTCGTCCTTACCACTAGCGGTCGCACTGCCCGTCTGCTGTCCAAGTACCGCCCCGTGTGCCCCATCCTCATGGTCACTCGCAGCGAGGCCGCCTCCCGCTACTCCCACTTGTACCGCGGTGTTTGGCCCTTCTACTTCCCCGAGCAGAAGCCTGACTTCAACGTCAAGATCTGGCAAGAGGATGTCGACCGCCGTCTTACCTGGGGTATCTCCCACGGTATGCAGCTCGGCCTGATCAACAAGGGCGACCCCATCGTCTGCGTTCAAGGATGGCGCGGCGGCATGGGCCACACCAACACCGTTCGTGTGGTCCCCGCCGAGGAGAACCTCGGTCTGAGTCTGGAGTAAATCTTCGGCGCCAAATAGTAAGCGGGCCCGACATTTTATTCGCATTTCTTTTTAGCTCTTGCCGGTGCGAGAGCTAGTTCGGTTCATCTTCTTCTTTTCGCTCTTGCGTGTTTCAAAATCGAAGCTTGTTTCTTTTTTTTTTTTCACCCTTTTCTCTTTCCACCCTTTCTGTTTCCGTGGTCTGGGAATTCCATGGTTCATGTACATGAGACGAATTTAATGCCTTCAGGTCCAAATGGTTAGCTTAGAAATTTCCATAAACCAAATAGAAAAGGCCTGGGCCTTCTGCATTAGCTCTGTTCATCTGTAGCACCTGTCCATATTTAGTATGACTTGAGAGAAGCATAGGGCTCTGGATGCAAGCGCATATCAACCGTAGAGCCTTGAAACACCGAAAAAAAAATATATGTAATGAAAGAGGGAAAAGAGGGAGAGAAATGTATTGCGGGGAGACGAAAACTAGGTCTTGCTCCCTCGGTTGAGGTCGCGTATGTCCGTGTCACGTATTGTCGGGATCATAGCGTTGATAGCGGTCAATTTCACGCCTTTCGCATCCCACCCTTGGAATATGACTTTGAAGAGAGAATGAGAATAAGAAAAGGAAATGCAGGAATCAAATTGGATTACGGATCATTCAAATTCGGTTTACGGAATTTGCTAAGAATTCCCGATCCGGTCATTTTGCCCCGTTTCTATCCCGATTTTCGCCGAGTCGTTTGTGTCAGCAATCGGCATGAGGGACTAAATATTACTACTTATGCTATTGATATGAAGAAGACTTGTACTACATAGATAGGTACTACCGTACCACGAGACAATTGAAAGACGGTAACTGAAAGGCAGCTGTCACGGCTTAACTAAGAAATTAAGCTAATGTATGTTCAACAAGTAACATAACCATGCTCATTGCTCATAAAATAGAAAAAATTGTGTGTTCAGACATTTACATCAGTCATAAGTCATTAATGAGTGTGGTCAAGGATGCCCAGGCAGCCCTTGAGATGAATTTTTCTCATGCCTGAAAATCACCAAACTCGGTACTACTAGTCGCGCCGCCTCTATCATAGGTGTCGATATCAGTGAAACGGGATGGCCCAACATGGGCCTCGTTCTGCGGGTATTGATACATCGTTCTTGGTTGGAATTGATGCCAGCAACTAATTATGTTAGTATTATACGATGAAATAATATGTGAGAAAGACTAACCTCGGCGCTTGAAGAACATATCTTGCCATGGCTTCTCGGAATCGACCTTTGTACTCTTTTGGACTGGTCACGGTTGGGCGGTTTCTACCACCACCAGCAAAACCTCGATCTTTGATCCACGACTCCAGCTTCTTGTCCCAGGTGTAGGTGCGAATACAGTCGATGATGCCCACGACAAGTTCGCTGCGTTGCTCATCAATGGCAATCATGAGTGAATAGTCCATGACATCCTGTCGGCCCAGGAAAAGAGTATCATTCCACACACTCTGGCTGAGGAGCTTCTTTGAATGCTCTCGCGAGAACAATGGTGTCTCGTAGATGAAATCTACCATATTCTCGTCTAGCAGAACTTCGTCCCGCTCGCCAGTACTTTCTACTTTGCGGTTGCGCATTGAGCCCTTCAGATCGAAGATACGCTCTGGCACACGATCGTAGAAAAGGTTCTCCATCAACAACAAGTACCAATTGAACTCTGTTCCAGTCACAGGATTCTTGATAATGACTTGATAAAAGCCGAACATCTTGGCAATTGCAGATGGCAGCTCGTGGAACAAAGCCTCGGCCATGATCAAGAAATACGATGGGGCAAACTTGAGAAAAGCTTGAGTCTCAATGGTAGACAGTGACTTGAGAATAAATCGATCATCGAGAGTCTTCAGGAAGAGTGACTTGGTTTTCCCTCCCTTAGAATCCCATTTTGCGCAGCGAGACAGCGACTCCACAATTCGATCTGCAACACCGCACTTTTTGCGCAGTGCATCAAATTGCTCGGCGTAGAACACTTTGCATAGCATCTTGGCCGGTCCTTCTTCAAATTGATACTTGAGATGAGTGCCCGTTGGTCTTTTGAGTGCCTTTTCGACTGGAGCCTCCATCGTGGGCTCATGTCCATCACCAGGCTCAATGCCCGTTTTCTCCATATCATTGAACTGATTTTGAATGCTTGCCAACTTCCCCTTGTAATCGGGGGAGTCTAGTGCAAATGCAACTAGAGTGCTAGGCTCGTCCTCACGCACAATAATGTCAGAGTCTGCAAAGACGTGATCCATAACGCTGAGGGGATAATCGAGATTTTCCCAGCCACTGGCGGAGCGCTCAGACCAGAAATTCGTCAGCATTTTCAAAAGTGTTGTACGTTCATGTTTCGGGAGGTCTTTGAAGTCGATCGAGTCATCTTCTGGCAACTTTGTCTCTTCATGTGAATCAACGGGATGGAGGTCTTCAGCTGTATTTCGTTCTTCGTCACTGAGATTCTCATCTTGCTCGCCCTCAGACATGAGTTGAGGGTCGGTGCGATGGCTGCCTTCAGTTTCGTGAGGGTTCTCTTCTGATGTGGGATTCGGGGCCAGGTTTTCTTTTGTGATTGAGTTGGTGAACTCATCACTCTTGCGGCTTGAGTTATCAAGCGGGAAACGTAACGATATTGGAGACTCTTCTCCATCCGCCGGTGGCTCCCGTTCTTCCACTGCTTCTCTCACGTTTCGATACACTTCCACGATAGGTTTTGAAGAGGCCAAAGGGAAAGCCCGTGACTGAGTGCCTCGGGCAGCCCGTTGATCTCTTTCGCGTTGTCTTTCTTTATCGAACTCGCGACTGAGTTGCTCGAAATGCTTGGCGAGGCTCGACACGCGGAGTTGATGCCGTTTTGGAGCAGATGATGCTCGTGGGATGAGGGACTGGCTTGTAGTAAATCGTCCATTCTTGAGAGCACTTAGCCCGAGACGATCTGTGAGCTTCTTCTCTGCTGTTTTTGTTGATTCGCCTCGAGAAGCCTCCGAGTCATTCGAGTTCGTTGGAGTAAGCTTGATGCCAAAAGATTTCTCTCTAAGTAACTGCGAAGGCTGTGTCTGAGAGCGTTGCAATGAAGGAGAACGTCCCTTCCCGGCTGCTCGGCGAAAAGCCCCCTCTGCAAGCCTGGGAATTGCGGAACGCCGTGGAGGAGTGCTAGGTGTACTACCATCTTCCATTGATTTGATACATTGTTCAGAGGGTAACGATGATAACTCTGCCAGTGCTTTGCTAATTTGACTTTCAGCAGGAAGAGGGGCCCCACCGAATTGGCTCCGGGATTGATCGAGAGCCGTCATTGAGTCGAGGGGCCCTTGTTCTAATTGACTAGAAGGAACGGCTAAATCAAGATGCTGAACTTCCTTCTGCGAGACCAGTTCAGATTGTGGGGAGCAGGCTTTGCCATTGACAGCATCGATACCCAAATTTTCTTCTTCAGTAGGCTCGGAAAATGGGGGAGATTGACCTTCCTCAACTAGATTTTGTTGAGGGGTTTCTTGATAATTCTTGCCAGCATGTTCTTGAACTACAGAGACCAAGACATCTTGGGTTTTTTCGGGCGAGAGAGTCATGCGACGTGTGGTTCGTGGCATATTTCTTTGATTGTCTTCCTCGTCTTCCACATCTGCCGGAGCGTGTAGTGAGTCTTCCGTGGTCATGGATGTTGCATCTTTGTCGAGGAAGATTTTCTTCAGTTGGAGGGTAGCCATCCGTTTGATATCCTTTTCAGAGGGGAAGAAACTATTCTCGAATGCGGCGAATATGATGTCCCATTCTACGACATTCTCTTGTACTATTCGGAGCACTTTGTTGAGCGGTATTACTTCCCAGTATCCAGAGTTGTTATACCCATCCTGAAGCTGCTGAACCCATGTTGTCATGTCCTCGTGCGCCTTCTGAACCAAGTTCTCAATCTCTTTTTTGCATTCGTCGAGAAGCTCAGGCACGACACTCTGGACATTGATGGCTTTCAGGCGAGCAAGAACAGAGTTCAGGAATTTGTCGATGCGTTGTTTGCAATGCAAGAATACTTCATTTTTCATCCTGAGGTCATTATCCACTTTCCAGGTAACTCGGGGTCTTGGAACGATAATCTCAAGAAGATTGATCGGATCGTACTGAACGCGGATTGCAACATCCTTGTAACCAAAGTAGCGTAAATGGTCACGCTGGAGATCATGAGGGCAAACTCCAGCACGCGCATGTAAATTTCTTCCCCAGAAGGAAACCTCTAGGTATTTACCGAAAGAGTATTTCCAGGTATTTTGAGACATTTGGGTCACTTGTGTTTCGTGGCCGCATTTTTTGCAAATGCTCCACATCAACACAGTATCCTGCAGTCCCCGAATTTTAGCTGGATAAGGTTGGGTCATGACACTAAGCTGAGCTTCTCCATGGACGTATTGGCGATGATGTTCGAACATGCGTCGCTCACAGCCATTGACAGAACAGGCCGCATTTGCAGTGTGACAAAGATCCTCCACATATTGTCCAATCGTGCAGTCGGGCTCGAATATCGTGTCATCCCCATGTTCATTGTAGAACTCAAGGGCGAAGATATCAGGTCCAGTACAAGGAACCGATGTTTCTGTGCAGACAAGGCTGTAGAGAACAACGATGTTCTGATGAGCGTATGGATCGAACATGTTGGCTTCACCCGAAGCATAGGTTTCCCACTGTCGTTTCTGAGTTTGGTAGTGGTAAAGCACCCTGTCGTATTCTGCGTCGTAGGCTGCACGCATAACCTCTTTGGCCTTCGGAGGAGCATCAAGTGGGGGCTCATGGATCATTTCAGGGGTGATGAGAGCGAAGCTGTGTGATGTGGCCTTCTCATCTGCACTCTCCTCGGAGTATTTATCTTGCTCGCGGAGTTGTTGGAGGTAGGTCAACCTACGTTCCATCTCTCTTGTACGCATAAGTAGATACGGAGGCTCAAACTTGACAGAAGGTGAAGCAGAAAGGATCTTCGTTTCATGGTCTTGGACCATGCCGCTGTAGTATTTGGGCATGGGAACATCGTCAGGAACTTCAATAGTGAATTTCATCGTCGCTGCCTTCTTGTTGGAATTCTCGACGAGGGCCTCGGCTGTACTCGTTTGAGAGACTGCTGCTTCCAAAAGAAGGCTTTCAGCCGGTTGAATCAGACCCCTCTTCTTTTGTCTATCGGAAACAACACTTTTCGGGGCATCTTCCAGCTTTGCAAACTCATCTCGCATCACACAGGTCTCAAGTCGCAGGTTGTACACCACGTAAATCATGAATTCAGTGATTTCTTTCACCTTACCAAGAGCCTTTTCGTCACCACCACGCAAGACGATGGTGCAGCCAAGCTCTTTAGGACAGCCGGAGATGTACATGTATGTCTTCTTTCGCCCCTTGTGCACGTATGTCTTCACATCGAAGCTGTTGCAGACACTATGCACATCATTCATCAAAAGTTTGTCCATGGATGTCATAATTCTGGTCTGGGTACATCTTGATACGGCCTCAAGAACAGATGGCTTCACATTGTATGCAGTTGCAATACCAACTTTTTCAAGGAGATCAAGAGCTAAACCGGAGACATTGTTCTGGACGAGCAACAAATTTGGGTGCAAGGAAGCGATTCGAGTAACGAGATTCTCAAGAAATTCTCGCTCTTGTCGTAAAACTGGTTCAAGACTCATGAAATGTTGTTGTTGCCGAGCATATTCAAGGGGAAATGTGAGGATTAAGATGTTTGGACGAAAGATACTCCTTGGCATGCTCTTCAACGCCAGATTTTTAGTGAATACCAGCCCTGACACGTAGGAGGTATCACTAGGTCGACCACCTGGAATTTTCTTCAACTTGACGTAGTGACGAATATCCATGTCATCACCTCGCTGGACATCTGGGTCAACCTCATCAGCTGCCTTTAACAGAATTGGCATGAGAGCAGTTTCCCAGCTGTCTGCACGTGGCACGGATGACTCCGCCAAAAGTTGTCGCAAGATACTTCGCATGTGTTCCAAGCTAGTTTTATTCAATTCAACTGGTGGTGCTCCAGTCCCTTTCATTGATGAACTTCTCGTCATTTTGAATCCTGTCTGGCCCAAGTTAACGGGATGGGAGACGTTTCCCAACGTCGGGTCATACGGTACAATATCACTCTTGGATGTTTTAGGTGATTGACGATGTACGCTGCTAGCTACACTCATGTTTCGACGGCGAGAGGAGCGAGGGAGATTCACCGCTTTTAAGCTGCTAACACTTACATCATCTGTGTCACGGACAGGTTGATTGATGAGAGAAATACCTCGATCGCCAAACGCAGATCTCCCCTTCTTCATGGCGGCAAGAAATCCACCGAATAATGCCCGATCTTGGTCTCCACTTTTGGAAAGTTGCCCTTCAGACGCTACGGACATTATACTGGGTTGCTCATCGCCACTTGAGCCATCGTCCGAAAGATACTGAGCCAGATCTGGATCGATAATGTTGTCCTTATGGAACGCGGGGAGTCTAGATTCAAAGGTCAAGTCATCCACATGGCGGCGCTGAAAGGGTGCTCGATCTTCATGGTATGGTTTGAAGCTTCGAATGTATTGCTGGCGAGAATGGTGTCTTTTGTGACTGATAGTATGTGGTCTGCTGGCCAGGGAAGATCTTAAGGATCGCGAAGAGGTCGGTCTTGTAAGTGGACGATCAGAGTTGATCTCCAGGATAGCTGAACGACGGTTATGACCTTCTCCCGCGCGTCGAGTAGCTGGAATGGCCATAGTTGGGGTCTTCAAGACATGATCGATCGATTGTGATATTACTGACGACGAATCGTCTTCATCCGCAGAAGGACGGGTGCTAGCGGCCCAGCTGATTTCAGAGACCCGAGGATTTATCACTATAGGACTCTGCTCACTATCCGAAAGCTCAGAAGAGTCATCTTCATGTGCATTAATCATGGTTTCGCAGGGTTTGCAAACACGAATGGTACCAGCCTGCCCAAATCGGTTTCCAGGGATAAGAAGTGTGCACTTCGAATCAAAAATATGCCCGCAAGTACGGCAATGATGTTTTCTGCGAAATGTTGTAAACGGTAGTCTACAGTGAAAACAATCTTTCGCATTTTCATCACGCATCCAGAAATCTCTGCTAAGTAACTTGTTTCGCAAGTTCCCAAACATGCCATCGCTGGGAGCAGACTGTCGACTGCCCCATGAAGACGGCACAGTAAGTCGGTCAACACCAGTATTCAATGGTGGAAGTGAAGAAACCGTGGTGGTAGTCTCAGCTGTAGAGGCCCGGGACATTGTGTGGCCAGGAAACCGAATTCTACCACTTAAGAGACTGAGCTTCTCGCTAGATTTTGAAGAGATAGAGGCAGTCGCAGGCTCAACAGCGCGTGTCTCTTCGCGCGGCACTGAAGCCATGCTATCCGTGACAGAGCTTGCGCGATATGGAACTCCTTCGTGGGGTGGTATTTTCAGTTGATTATTTGATGCAGATTTTGGTGTAGCCGGCTCAGCGTTCCCAAAAGACGTCCGTGAATGCAACATGTTTTCTTGGGACTGAGATGCTAAATCTTGAGTAGAATCAGTGTGCTTCGCGCCCATCAACGCCATAGATGCTTTGTCAGATAACTTTTGTTGGCTTCCAGACACTGAACTTCTGAGTTGATGATCAGACACCTGACTCGTTGGCGTAAAATGTATACTTCCATCCAGGGCATCTGGATCATCATGAAAAAGTTCTTGAGTTTTGATTGGAAGGATGGGTGAATGAGGGAGATCCCGGCTTAGCACCGAGGAGCTTCGGCTTATGGGTGCATCCACAGGGCCATCTCTGCCATCTCTGCTGGCTATACTGAAAGAATCTGGATTTTTAGATCCGTGTGCGGAAAAATTAACAGAGCTACTCGAAGCGAGCTGTGGTTGATTAGCAGCGATTACAAGATCTGTGGCGTTGGAGCTGCTGGTCGATTTTGTCATGGAGCCAATGCTGGCCTTGGGGCCTGGGGAGGGAGGTATAGAATTCCTCGAAGATATACTGGCACTTTTGGAAGAGATTCTAGAGCTCTTAGTCGTGCTGGACGGAGGGATAGATTCATGGCCATGTTGGAAACTTGTCACTACTGGCGAATGTAGTCTTGATCCCTGAGATGAGATTGGATTTGAGAGTGGATAATCTACCGATCCACCTGTCAAGTCAGAAGCGGACTTGGATATCGACCGATCAAACGTGGAGCTCTTCCCGGCAGGGGTTTCGGCAGCAGCTTTATCTGCAGATTTCGTTCCACCGCTTACAATGTCTCTCATGCCCCCAACCGAGGTCCTGAAACGACTGTACAGTCCACTGAGACCCCCTGGAGGTCTTCCGACAGTCGTTTGTCATCTGATGCAGATGATGGTCTCGGTGCTGATGCAGGGGGGTCGTAAACTCGTTAAAAAGTGTTAGGGAGTCAGATTGGTACGCGGCGGTATGGATTTGATCGAGGGCTGCATTCATATTTTCTCGTTCAGTTTGTGTACTAGTAAGAGAGCTCCTTGACTCGTATCGCCCGAGTGGAAGGAACCCGGACGATGTAGAGGGGCTGGGTGTCTCATAAGACCGTTGCGCCATGTTTATGATCGCTTTGATGCGGTCAGACCATAAGCTCGGATATCATCCCGACGAAGCCTAGAAGAGGTCAAAAATTAAACACCCAATATATTAAGGGTCTTTGGTAAGAGCATATCACATCCACTGACTCTAAGTCCGTGAAAGGAAATTGACAAAGAAGCTCAAAGTCAAAAAGAGTCCCGCAATGACGTGGCCGTATCGCTGAGTCAGCGACGCGCGATCCCTTCTATCCTTATCGCTATCAATGCAGATGCTTTTCCTCTTCAAAGAGTATCAACATGAAAGTGATGAAATCACGTAATTCGCCCATGATCCTTTTTAATCATGTCGCATAGTCTCGATAATCTATTTCCTCCGTGGATTTTGACCATTGTTGGAAAGTGCCTGTCCAATTACGTGTTGGACAAGACTGAGGATGGTTTCGAGGTGGAAGACGATGGCTCTCGCCTGATCTTCACTATTGCCTGCGATGCACCTACCGCTGTTATCTTACAAGTACGCGATTCCCACTGAAGTCTACGCATACCAGCTCTATATATGCTAGGAAAGCTACTTGCATCTGCCATAATGCTGTCAATTACTGTTTTATGCCACTAACAGTCTGTCTCCAAATAGTGGCAAGCTCGAGTGACGGATGCCTTTGTATCTCTAATGGATTCAAAGTGTCAAATAGACGCCATTCTTATGTTTTCGCCAGAGGCACTAGCTACCTTGCGCGACTCGATTGACTCTTCCAAGATACCTAACTGTCCTCAGAAACATATGATCACGCTACTTGATTTCAAGTTCGTTTTCACGTACTCAACGCCTGCAGTTCAATTACACCTTGTTGTTAATCACTGTCGCATCCACTTTGACGACGGACCGGCCAAATTTACCCCTTCGAAAAAAATCAAGAAGATCCATTTCAAAGATTTGGATCAAGCGAAGCAGAAGGCTCTACAATCTCGCCCACCTGTCAAGTCCAATATAGCAATGACGCCAACTTGCAAATCCGTTAGTCATGAAATTAATCAATCCTTTCAATCCCAGAGCGAACAACCCAGTGGTGTGCAATCCCAGCAACTTGTCACTCAGATCATTTCCCATGACCATGATGTATTGAAAAGCGGTTCCGAGGTCGCTCTTTCTCGCTCACGGGGTGCCGATCTACTTCGAAATCTCACTTCAAACTGGAACAAGTCTTCACGGAACTCTTCAGAGGAAAAAAGCCAAGTTTCATCTCCCAGAATACTGCCGTTAGATGACGTGGGCTCTACTAAACGCACACGGATCAAAGAGCCCACCGAAACAGCTCCACTATCGCCCTTCCGGTCTGGGCATATGGATCGCAGAATATCCATCGAATCCCAGTTTGGGACCGAATCTCCAGTGCGGAAAGATCCTGGTACCCATAAACTTTCCAAAAAGCGCCGACTAGAAGTTACGGAGTCGGCGGCTAAAGAGGTTGCGGAGTTGTCAGAGGACATACCTTCCAAAAAACGGCAACGCACTGATATCATTCAAGAAGAATTGGAAGAGCAACTTGAAACACAATTGCCGATCAATCAGCCAGGGATGCCATCATCCTCTAACACTCTCTTCGATCCTGAACGTGACATAACCCCAGTCAACGTTGATGATCCCAAATTCGGTGATCCTTGGGAGGGCCTCGTCAGTATTTCGTCCCACGACATTACAATCCCAAAGGACCAGGATGAACTTCTCAATAACAACATCTGCTGGATTCCGCCAAAAACAGGCGATCTCATGCCTCAAGCGCATGTGCCACCTTCGCTTCTGCAAATCTGGAACAATATTGCCGCTCGTAGTCTTCGCTCTACTGAACAAGACAGAGCAGCTAGTGTTGATAGACCTGTCACCCCGACCCAAGATACAGTCTCCTCTGCAGCATCAGAAGCATCCAACTGGTCTCCGTCTCCCTTGTCACACTTTAGAAGACCCAATCTGCCCGCTGACAGTAGTCCTGTGGCGCCGCGGAGGCCAAGCGAAATACTTGCCATCCCGGCTGGAAACGAAGAGTCGGAAGATATCCATGGCTCTCAAATCTCATCGCAAGCAGATAGAAATGAAAATTATTGGCCTCAGAGTACCACTAAATCTTTGGTGACCGAAAAGTCACTGTCACCTCGGAAATTTTTCAAAACTGTTCATGAAGGCATGCTTCCGCCTGCGACGCGCGCTTCCCCCGCCCATTCTGAAAAATCTGATGGACAAGTATATGGTCAGGCTTCTTCTCAGCTTGAAAGCCAAGTGCTAATTCCAAGCCCTCTTTTACCAGAGGAATCGTCTATTTCTACCCATCCAATACAATCCACGGCAAATGAGGAAACAGACTCGGATGACGAGTCGATGATGGATGTTTCTGTGCCCTTGGGACTTGGTGAAGCTTGGCCGTGTCCCACACAGAGCAGTCAGGCTGAGCCAGAATTGGCAAGTTCAGCTCTCTTCGTGTCTAGTGCACATGTGGAACATGTCCAAGTTGCGGAGACTCCAACGGTTGGCCATCAGAAATTGTCCAAGAATCAAACGGAACCTGAACCTTTCAATTCAATACTGTCTTCTTCGCAAGCTCATAACCGCTCTTCGCAATCAAGAGTGCTTAATACATACCACAGCCATCAGAAATATCAATCCTCAGCCCAGGATTCCGAGCTCTCTAAGAAAACTAGAGATGATACACCATTAGTACATGTCCCTGGAACACAAGTTGAGGCCAGCAGCATGAACCAGGAGTTTCAATCTCAATCTCAAAATGTCTCATCTGAAATCGTGCCCGATTCCTCAGAGGGGCATGAAAACCTACCTTTGTCCAACTCGCATCTTGTTGAGCCATTGTCACCCAATTTCCCAAGCTCGCATGAGCCAGCTCCGTCCCAGCAAAACCCATCTTCCCAGGATACCGCGATGAAAGTCACCCCTGTTCATGGTTGGACCCCTATCAATGGGCCTACGGAGCTTCCACGGGCATTTCCGCTAGGACCGCTTGCCTCTGCCGATCAAGACCAATCTCCATCGAAGAATCCGAGGAGCCCAAAACGAGCCCGGAAAATTGTCAAAAAATCTCTGCCTACCACCACCCAAAATAATGTCTCGGTGGAACTTCGCCAGGAGTATGTCGGTAGTCAAGCGACACCCGAAGACGCCCAAGAAGTGTACCGTCACTTTTGCAGTGAATACACAAATTACTCTGGTGATTTCGGCCATTTCTCTGAAGTATGTGCCAAATTGAAAGCCCTTCAAGTCCAAGGAAAGCTGCAGCGGCCATATCTCTGGGACGACTTTGCCATTATGCATTTTGAAGAATATCCCGAATATATCCATGAGTGCACACTGCAAGAGAGGAAGACACTGAGCTATGAAGAATACTTCATGAACAAGTTTAGCAAGGCTAATTACAAAAAGCGCTTCCTGACGGCTGATCGCATTGACTTGGTTGCTTGCAAGTTCATGCCAACGGATATGCCTCCTCAATCTACGAGCAGATCAGCGGATTGTAATTTACCAGCTGTGGTTGAAAATATACCTAGTGTGGAAGGTCAAGATATTGATACCTCCTTCACAGCCAGTCTGACAAACCAGTTCTCCAAATTTCACACTCACTCGTTCGAAAACAATGGCCTTGGACTTCACGCGGGTCCGAGTGGCACACCTGTCTTAGCATCAGCATCTCTATTCTCTTCTCCCCTGATCAAAGCGGAAGGATCTGGGCCACATTACAAGGATGCCATAGGCGCTCAGCTGCCAGAGCCTTACGAGGATCAGATGATAATTTGTAATGCTGAGAATGGAGCGAATGGAGAGATACGGGATACAGACAACGTGGTCACCACAGAGGACCGTGGAGAGGAAAGAAATAACGAAGAAGAGGAGGAAGGTGAGAAAGAGAAACCGGATAAGGAAATGGCGGACTTTGAAGTAGAAACGTTCAAAGAAAGACCAGAAGATCTTGAGATTGGAGAAACCCAAGAAGAAGAAAAGGAGCCGGACATCATGACTGAAAAGGGAGAAGAAAGTGCAGCAGTGGGCAAAGCCGACACTGACTCTGATACATTCGAAAACGAAAGTTCAGACGAGAATGCAGTGGTCACCGACACAGAAGAAATTGCAGAAACCAACACAGAAGAAATTGCAGAAACCGACACAGAAGACAGGCATCGCGAGACCAGTGTCGAGCTCGGTGATGACACATTTATCTCCAGTCGGCAACAGTCTCGTAGAGAGGCCACCCCTGGCCAGTCTAGCGCTGAATTCGACACTGAATCTGACGTGGAATCCAATCATGAAAGTGAAAGTGAATGTGAGGAGGAGAACTGGTTCCACTATCTGCTCCGTCAGCGCCGGAGTGAGCCGGTATGGTCTGATGATCCAAACACTCCTTTTAAGCAATGGGCTGTGGCCGATCAGAATGTGTTCAGCGAGCGTCGTCGTCGTGGAGGGTTCAATATCTTGGTTGATGAGCAAGGCGTTATTCAACGGCCAATTAATAGATGAGAAATGGACCCTTTTAATATAAACGCGATAGCTCTTGAGTGACAACTAGGTACCGACCTAGCTCTTACTATAAGATTACTGAAACAGCAATCACCGGGAGAGAAATTCTAAGATGTATAATTTGAATGTTGTCAAAACTTTTATATTTGTGTATGTAAAATTTGCAGTGATCTAAATAGTTCATCGCTCAAAAAAGTCATGTTGCCAACGACGTGTCGCTGCAAGTGTCATGTCGTCAAAGCAGAAAAGGGAGTCATTCGGCAAAAGCCGCAAAGAATAAAGCCAACATGATATATAGGAAGATCATCATGGTCTTGAAAACGGCATGGTATCTCGCATTTAAAAACGCTTCAAAAATACGAAAAAAAGAACGGTCATTGAATCGCTTAGGCATGGCGGAAGGGCTCGTAAGCCTGGGTGGGCTGAGCGGTCATGGGGTAGGCGTTCTGGTGAGCCTGGGGCGAGTACGATGTAGGATACTGCTGGTTGAAGGGCAGGGTACCGCCCCCGATGGGCTCGTACGTGTAAGGAGCCTTCTCGGCGGTGACACCACGGCTACGCTCACGGTGGTTGTATGGGGATCGGCCAGAGCAGCAGCACACACTCAAGGTCCAGAACATAAGAGCACCGAGAGAGAAGACAACGGCAAGCCATGTTGTAGCGTAGATGTGCTTGCCCATACTAAGATATATACCGTATGCTTCGAGGGTCTTTCCGAGAGAGCCCTTGAAGATAGAGAACAAGACAGTTGCGGTGATGGAGGCGGCAGCGGTGAAGAGGAAGGCGACGGCAGCGACCAGGGTGGTAACACAGCTGCCCCAGCGGCTGCAAATGGCAAAAACGCCGACTACGATCTCGACACACGTGGCAATGAAGGCGACCAGGTAGGCGATGAACATCCACTTCGAAACGGTCCGGTATATCTTCATGTACTTGTTGTAGTCTGAGGGTAGATCATTTTGAACAGAGGTGCTGTTGCTCAGACCCCAGATTTCTAGCGGATCGAAATAGAATTCAGCCTTAGGCTTAGAGCACGAGTCAGTATTGAAAGTACTGCTGCTGTTGGCAATGTCACCCTCGCAGTAGCCCCAAAGACCAATATCGTAGAAGTCCTTCAGAATGCTGTCATCCTTCAAGCTTGAGATTAGGTCTGATACCTCAGCTGAAGTGACACTGGTGATGCCAAATTTATTGAGAACAGTCTCAATCTCTTCAGTTGTTTTAGAACCGGTGCTGGTGATGTTTTGGAGATCAACCTAGTACATGTACTTGTTAGTGAGACGCTCTTTCTAGACTTAAAGTTGAGACTTACCCTCAGGAAATATAGGTTATCAAGGGTACTATTACTGGCCTTAGTGCAGCCCAGGCCGACCAAGATAAGGCAAATCAGTGACGCGGTAGTGAGTACGTAAGGTGTGAAAATACACGCAATGCGACCGGCTGCTCCCATGATGGATAAAGTTATGAGGGTGATATGAGGGAATGTAAGAGAAGTGAGGGATGGAACAAGTGAAAATAAAAATGGCGAAACAGTCGGACTTTATGAAGAGATTAACAGTTTTAGCCAAGATAGCCCTGGAGCTCCAGCCTCCTGGAGAGAGGCGCAGACAAAGAACAAACCAATAATAAATATTGTTTATGATCCACTCTGCCTCGCCACGTTCAACTTCTATTTCAGTCAGCACTAAACCTAAAATGGACATCACACCAAGGTAGATTCGATATGCTTACGTTGTTTTTAATTTCAATTTCAGGTCTAACATGATTTGTCTGTGTGAGAATTTAGTCAGTAGGTATGCAGTCTAGTTCGGTAAATTAATTTATTCGAAAGTCTTTTGTGTCAAATTTACCTCTCCACATTAATTAATTGACGTCGATCGCCATACCAACTGATACCAATGGGCCATATCGGGCAATTCACCTGCGTCATTTGCCTTTTTTTCTTTTTTTCTTTTTTTTTTTTTTTTTCCCGCTGATCTCTGACATTTTCCCCACCACCCATGCCTAAGCCTGCGTTTAGGCTTCTCCATTTCTCCATTTCTCCATATCTCCATTTCCCCATTTTGGATCCATGCGGCGCAATGTTAAATGCCACTGGCCCTAGCTTTGAGGAGTACGTACCCTCTAGCTAAGCCCTATCATCCAAGGATATATTGTTTCTATATTTATTCTTAGCATAAGGTTTTTCGGGACTGTTGTACTGACGAACCTCAGACAAGTTTGGAACATATGTACCTAGGTACCTAGGTAGAGAATTCATTTCGAACCTTGTTCCTTGACCGCAACACTTCCATGGTTACGTGTCGCTCACGATTAAGATACGCATACCTCATATTCAAGGGTTAGTTGCATGCATAATCTGAACTAACTATAGACTAATCTATTCACCTGACTAGGTATGTAGATGTATTTCCTGTCACGATAACATAACTTAGCTTTGCTTTATGCCTCCTTCCATTACTTGGGATCGTCGGCTCTATCTAAGCATTTTCTTTTGTATTAACTTCGTCATGCGTAGGAAACACTTCTCTACTCAACGGGACTAGATCGCCAAACATGATAAGTATTACGATCGTTTTTCGGTGGCAGTACTAGAATAGAGACAGAACACAAACGTTTGAATAACGAAGAAAACGGACGCAGGTTTTAATCCCTTCACCTTCGAGTGCTCACCGCCCAATTATCTAATCACTATCTAATCGGGACCTAATCGCCACCATACCGCTCGTTAGTGCAGTCTCACTTTCTTTTCGATTCCTCCTTGTCCCATCCCCTCTTCTTTTCCAACGAAATAGCAACTCTCAAACGTCTCAATCCAATCCCAAAAAATCAAATCTGGAATCAGAACCTCCTGGTCGTTAATAGGAGCGAGCATTTGTGCCCCTGCCATAGCCAAGTTCATAAAAACACCGAAAACCCACCCTTACTGGTCCGATATTGTGCAAAACGTGTCTACACTCATTAATTTTACAAAGAAGGCAAGGTTACCGTCTACGACGAGTTCTTCGTCAACGACGGGCGCCTTGCCAGCCGAAACGAATGTCTCGCGACTGAAAAGTTCTTCTTGACGGAGGCGAGCAAAATGTGATTAATATTTACAATATAGTCGCTAATATAAATCAGCGAGCGAAGAATACGAGCCATCAACTAGCCCAGAAGGCCGCATTCGGCCATGGGGCTTTTGTCACTGGACACCAGGTAAGCGCTATTTCCTTGATTTCGATTTTCAAGAGAAAGAAAAGGAAGAGCAAAACTAGAGGTATCAAATACATAAGTTGTGATAATGATGGGAATACTATAGAGTTCGTCATTTAGACGGTATAATTATCCCAATCGTCCCTTCCTCGTGCTAAATCAAAAGTAGCGATCTCGCTAATTTAGCATAATATTAGTTATAACTATGTAAACCGGTCGATGAGTTTCGCTTTCCGTTTGATTTCTTTCACAACATCAATCACCATATGCTCTATTCCAAAACGAAATTTTAAAACATAACCTCAAGTTTCTTGCCTCGCTCGCATCCCTGGTCGATAACGGATACTTAAATCTAGGCACCAACTTGAAAAAACTCACCCGTCTTCAAGATGATGGTTTTTCCAGTCCAGCTTCTTCGAGGAGATCCGATCCTCTACTCTCCCTACAACAGCAGAATTCAGAGCTTTAATAAAGCGTTGGGCAATCCACGCACCACGTCATTCAATCGCCCGTTCCCTGTCATGATACCATCCCTAGGTTTGGCGGTCAAGTACGGAGCCGATGCTACCATTGTCGAGGCTCAGTCTCAAATTAAGTCATATAAGCAACCATAACCTCTATTATATTATAGGTAGTTTGGGGAAGCAATCGCTGAAGGAAATGATGCTCGAAACCCATCCAGAACTTGCTAGGCCATTTCAAGGTGCCAACGCCGTCCAACAGTTTCAAGAGGCCTGTGAGATTGAAATCAATGTCGAGATGTCTATCATGCTCACCCACGACGACATTGCTCCACCTAACATTATATTATCGTCAGGGCCAAATCCAAAAGTAGCAGCGGTCATCGACTGGGCTCAGGCCGGGTGGTATCCTGCATACTGGGAATATTGCAAGGCGCGACGAATAAGGGCTGATCCAACGGATTCCAACTTATTTCGATAATGCTGTTCAAAAGTAGTGGCCCATGAAGTATCTACCAATGATCCTAGATCCAGTGGATGATGAGATATACTATTATCTAAGGGCATTTAATTGTATAGTCATTCTATAACAATAAAATATTTAGCTAGCGAAGGTGGATTATTTATTAAGCTATAGTAATAGCGCGAATCCCCACCAAACCAAGGAAACATAGTTGACCTAGTCAACTTCTTTAACTAGGTCGTCTTAAGCCACGGTGCCTTTCACGTGGTGCCTTCTTAGTTTATAAAACTTCTATAATAGATTCACAGATTTTGATTGCTTTTTTATTTTCTCATCCTTAGCGCTTTTGTTAGGAATTTTCTGTCAAAAACTAGCTAACACGAAGACTAAGAACTTCTAAGAAAGTCGCCGAAGTAAGACACCCCTACAAACTCGAAGTGAAAAGGTATAGGGAGTCAAGAGCGATAGCTCTTTAGGAATTGACTATAGAGAGAAATTTCGGAGTATATAGGAAATCTGATTCCGAAGTTTGATTCCTGTCATATGATTTAAACTGAACATTGAAGGGAACTTTGGAAGCCATAAGTATTGTTGTTCCCTTATCATCCACCCACTTGTCCGACCTTGAAAATGACCTTCAGGGCTTGGGAACCGGAATAACACTTTGTGTTCTTCTATAAACTATAGAATCGTCAAAATGAAGTCTTCCTGTCACTCTTTACCACGCTTCAAATGCGGCGAGGTAGGGCTTCATATCCCTCGCCTGCAAACTGTGATATTTCTGACCCGGGTGGTAGTTATTCCACCAAATACAACTTACCCCATCATCATCTATACAAGAGGCGTTCCGAAATCCATATCCTTGAGGATTGTTGAGAACCTTGGTCATGAACTTGAAAGAATCGTACAAAACAATCTGCGTCTAGAAAGTGTCAGAATTCCAATATCAATCTTACCGCAGGTCAACACTTACATCCCAATATCTATCTCTTAGACCAAGGACCATCAGCTTGAGTGCTTCATTGTAGTCAGCTAGCCACGCAGTATGCTTCCGCGATACCGCCAGGCCCTGGTCGAGAATAAAAGGACTCCGATTCGTTGGCGGGACATTGAGGAACAAGAATTTGCGTCCGCCGTCGGCGTAGATAGACTGGAAAAGGTATTTGTACTGGGCCATTAGTCTTGGCACTACTTGGCTAGCATTCTGACTCTTGAACCCATTACCAATACTTAAAACCTGTTAGCAGGTCTTGAACACTTCTAGTGAAAGTCTGTCTTACTCATTGATCCCAATCCAAAACCCGAACACTGCATCACTACTCTTCCAAGGTGCAAAGCCAGATTTGTTGCTGTATACGTATTGGAAGGTCGCCACTTGCGAAGTCATGTCCTCATATCCGGAATTGACAATAGCGTTATTGATGGTTGCACCGCCGACGGCTAAGTTGTAGCTCAAGACGAGGGAATCATTGTACGTAGTCGTCAAGCGGCCGATCCAGTTAATCCCACCACCCGTTGTCCCAGTTCCTGCATGAAATAGGTAAGTTTTCTGGAGAGGCTGTCTGTATGAATCTCAATTTTCATACGCACCCAATGTAGGATTTCCCATCGGGTCTACGGCATTTGGCTGCTCGCCAGAGACGTTGAAGTTGGTCTGTGAGTATGAATCGCCACTGAAAATGTTAGTTGGATTTCTCATGTTTCTTCCACAGATTTTCCTTCCTTACAAGGTGAAGAAATAGGTAGTTGAAGAAAAGCTTGATAGAGGCACTGCGGCCGCCATGGCAAGGCCAGCGGCAAAATTGAAGACCCCAAACTTCATGATGAACATATTGGCAGAAATCGAAGAAATAAGAGAATCAGATGCGGTATTTGTGAGGAATGACTACGGTCCTGAGGAAGGTAAGCTCGCACCTTCCTTTTGTACCGCAACCCTTGTAACGTTGTGTCGGATACTAAGCCCACATTGAAAATATAGATTCTAGCCCCTTTCTCTTACTTATTCAAGTATCTATTCCGATTTCATTCTTTTAATGTTCCATATTCTCCTGACCTAACCGTCATGAAGCATACAACTGTGGGGTCAATCCTCTATAATTTCCCACCACTGATATGCGTTCGCGATAAACCACGCAAAAGGTATCTATGTACTTGTGTGACATCTTTTCTTAGTCAGATACTTTACAAGGCGGATATTCATCTACAGCGCATCATCCGTGATGTTTGATCCGTTATTTTGTCCGTCAGTCACGACACTCTCCTCTCCATCTTACCCCTTCGGGCACATCGACAAAGGTACAATAGGCATATCGGGAAATTCACAAGCCAGGTGATTGATTACTTAGCCGAAAGCTTTCCAAGATTCCAAATTTGATGCTGAATCAGATATTTCTGTGACTCTACATACCCAAATAAATATCATGTTAATTTTCATGTGCATTCAATCATCTCGTCATCATAATTCAGGCAAGTTATTGAAGCGTAATTGAAATATCTCCATTCCAACACCGCAAACGAGCAACTTAATCGGCAATTCATTGGACTCGGGTTTGTCTTGAGCGAGCACCTGGATTGAGTCCAAGGATGATATATCAGCCACCGCGCTATACATGTCCAACAGCAATGTCACAGTAATTCCATATATGTCAGGTTTTGAGGGGTCCACGGTGATCGACCAAATTTTGACACGATGGTCATTACCCGAGGAAGCCACTTTGAGTTTCGTGATTTCAGTTTCAGTCCCCGGTGACCTGATTAGTCTCTGATCGAGGACTTTGAGTGTTGTGACTGAGGCTGCGTGTGCGTCTGGGATTGAAACGGTGGATACAGATGCAATTGTACCTGTTTGTGTCTCCAAAAGAGATACCGAGCAAGAATTGTCATCTCCGCCAGCCAGAATCACAGTGGCTGTTTCGGATAGAGGGACCAACTCCAAAGCTTTGATGCTGTTCGAATGGATTTGATACCTGCTTTCGCAGTTGATTATCTGCGGGGAAGTCTGGGAGCTCCCAAATGGCTGTTTGAGCTTTAGTGCAGAGGGGGTAATCGCGTAAAATGGTTCAAGGGCGTTGGTCAGGTCCCAAAGAGTAAAGTAGCCATCCGTAGCTGCAGTAATAAGATGTAAAGAGGAGCCTTTCATAAGAAAGTGTGCTTGTGTCAGACAGTTGGTCATGTAAGCTCCTCTGGCCAGGAGGGTGAATCGGTTGCCATCAGCTGGCGAGAAATGGAATATCTAGGCAGAATGGGATCAGTTGCTTTAGCTTTGGTCGACACAAGTGCATATTTATCTCTCTTACCTTGATTGTGGAATTAGAGAAGGTCAGACAAATCAGAAACCCTCTCGCAGTACCAATATCCTCCACTTCCAGAATATCAAAGCTTGTCGTCCTAAGTTCAGAGGTTGAGTCGTCCTTCGGACTAGCAGCTACCAACACAGTTGCAAGGCCGAAAGAAGGAATCGAGCGCACTCCCCAGACAAAGAACTCCTCATATGCAGCACTTGTAAACAAGAAATCGCCATCTTGCGACCATTTGACTTGCTGAATTCCGGATCTGTGCGTGTCCAAAACCCGCTGGGACTCAAAAGAGCCCCACGGTCCTATGCTCGCTTGGCTTGATGATGCAAATATTCGAACGGTATTATCTTCCGCTCCCGTGACAAAAAGCCTCTGCATTGCCTGAGAACTGTTCAGGCAATCCATTGTTTTAATTTCTCGGCCATGACCTCCAGCACGAAGAGTGCGACCAAGGTCTGTTCGAATGCAAAGAGACTTTACATGAGTTACTTCATTCCACACAAATAGAGCATCCTTGCTGTTTTTCGTGTTAGGCTGAAAGGCCCAGAGCCTGCGGAAGCCTCCCGAGGGAACGGTGGTTATATCAGTTTGCTTGGACTCGTTTCGGAGGACAAAATCCTGAGATCTGAATCCGTACAGCATCAGGTCACCCGTCACCTCGTCAAAATAGCCCCCTTCAATATTTCCACCCAGGCTAGAAGTGGTTCGATGTATTGTTTTGAACGAGATAGATTTGTCTCGATCGCATGCTTTCAACTCATGAACACAAAAGTTCCCATCACGTCCGCATGTCAAAACGTATTCTGAGTTGCTATCAATTTCCTCCGCACCTCTCGGTACAGCTAGAATATGATTGACGCTCTTCGAGCCGTGTAGACGTCGGTCCACCATGAGAGGCTGGGAAGAGAGCCCGAGACCTGTGACTCGGTACACAGCTAGGCCACCCGTTTGCGATCCAATGATCAAATATTCGCCGTTGCAGACTAATGATGCACAAGATATACCACATGGTGCCTGTGGAAGATTAAAGTTGAAGATCTCAACCTTCGAACAGCTGCTCTCCCAGCTTGACACAACCACCAATGCCGCCATATCGTCTTTCGGGTAGGATGCGAGAAATATAATTTGGTCGGGGTGAGCTGGATTGCTTTCTAGGGCAAACAGACCGATGGCACGTGCACCGAGGTCGACCAGATCGGAGACCGATTTCGTGCTTTGGTTGTACAATCGAATCTGGCCTTTGGAATTACCTATCAACGCCAGTCTCTTTTGAGGAATTCCAGTGATTAAGATGTAAGAGCGGAGGTCATCTTCGATGCACAGTGTTTCCCATGTGACACTACTCTCAGTTTCTGGAATCACTTTCCCAATCGTCAACTCGCCCTGAGCAGAGCCGGCAATGAGGTAGCCCGGGGCAAAGAAAGCAAAATCTTTTGTTCCTTTAAATCTCACGTGCTTTTTATTGAGCGTGGTACTCTGAGGTGATGATGAGCACTCAGCTTCGTTGATCTTGAAACTTCTCAATGCTCCATCAGCGCCTCCAGTATAAACAGTTGTTTCCTGGTCACCGCTACGCAGAGCCAAAGACCAAATATGCTTTCCAGAATGACGGTTAAAAGTGGAAATGTTGTGCAGCTGGTATTTTGTCGGGTTGGATGGCTCCCACTTCAGATCCCACAGCACGCAATTACAATCTTCGCCACGAGTGACCAGGCCCATCGTGCACGAGTCATTTTTAACCGGTCGAAAATGTACATCCCAGATCCGAGCAGAATGTCCGAAGGCCTTTGCGAGACATGACTCTGATCTAAGTCCCGAGTCCTCGGCCGTGCCGGCGCCAAACCCGGCGCCAAACCCAGTGCTGTGAAGCTCGAAGCCATCTGTTGAATATGGAGACTGGTCCTTGGCCATTTTATACTCACAGTCGGATATGTCCCAAATTCTGACAGTTCTATCGTCACTACAACTTGCCAATAGCCTGCCAGACTGACCCCCCTTTAGAGATGAGATCTTTGGTGAGATGCGTACGCCGTAGATGGATCCGTCGTGGCCGGTGAAGAAATGATGAATAGATCCGACAGCTTCAACCTTAGATGTTTGACTATCATCGATGAAGCAAGACCAGACGATGATTTCCCCAAATACCGTTCCGGAGGCAACGAGCACATGAGAGGCAGAAAGCGCAACCAGGTCTGCCGAGAACAAGATAGACTTGACACTTGTTGTCAGTTGGTAGACTTTAATGTCCAAGCGATTATGAGATATGCTTTTGACAAGCTTCACACTGAGTAGTGCATTATTTGCAGTAACAAAGTATGTCGTGTCAGGCCGATCTTCGGTAGCACAACATCCGTTCTTAATCCAGTCTGGGGCGAGGAACTCGGCACTGGATAGGAGTAGAAACGTATCATTTTCAGATATCAGGTGAAGCTCTACTACTCGCAAAGAATGTCCACCCCAAACAATGACTTTTACATGGCCTGCTTCACTTCCTGGGAGAATGATAAAGCCATGCACATTGTTTCGTCGAAAAACCTGGACTTGAGCGGAAATATTCCCTGTCCGATCATCAATGACGCGAAAATAAGGACCCTGGCCTTGGAACACAAAATGGTGCTTATTCCAGTCAAAGGTCCGAAGTGCTGTTATGGGTAGAACAGCATCGACACGCTGAGGGTTTGAGTTAGTGAACATTTTTTGCTTTAACTTCTTCCACGGGTGCACCAACCTCCAGAGAAAGGGACATGTTTAATCAGGTGCTGTATGCATGGAACATATACACCATTTCCCCTCTAGAGATCAGAGATGACACAATGTAATGTTCACAATTCAACTTGGTATTTTGGAAGTTATTCCCAAAATTCCACATCTCCCCGCGCTAGTCCCAAGATGGTGTCACTCACGTGACGATAGCGATGATAATCGGGAGTTCAACAATCACCTTACCATTGATGTAGACTGAGAAGCTCTTTTCACGATTCTGGCCAGTGCTAACGATTTTCAAGCCCAGGAAAGTAATGGAGGATGCAAATGCTACCATGAGATGACAAAGCTACAGAGAAGACTGATTCAGAGAATTTGAGTTCAATTCTGTAGCATTGCTGATGGGCGAGTTAAGCTCAGTGGAAACTGGATTCAAAAAAGATGATTTTTCTGTCCGAACTAGTGATGCCCTATCTCCTACGACAGAAAGAATCTCGGAAGCTACACAAGACGTTCTCTGTGTCTACTCCAAGATTAATTTCATAACTCGACAAGCGAGAGTCATAAAGGAGACTGAAGTCTGACGGTTTATTGACTAGGTAGTAGTGATAGGGCTTGACAGAATTTACGCACCTTTAAGCCTTAGGCGGATCAAAGAGCTCCTTGGACAAGATTGAAACGACAGGCTAGCTTCCCTTCATTTTGACGACAGTTACTGTTAATGGGGCAATGCTCGCGAGAGCCCTGTTGATCAAATGAGCCTGAATTGAGAGCCTAACAACCTCTGTTGTATCGCTACGTCTATGACTACAAAGACAATCCAGCCTTCATATTCTGGTGCAGGGTATGTCCAGTGGTGGCATTTAAAAAAAAGCCTCCAAAGAGTAAGCGCATGCTCTGTGCCTGATACCTTTATAACACTGGAGGTTCTAGTATATATAACCTTGAAAAAGGCGTATGAAGGGCTAAGCCTTTCCCGGAATAACTCTATTCAGACACGTGTATCCATACTGCGTAGATCGATGTACTAGAGTTCTTCACTAATGTATGCACGATCTTCCCGTTGATCAGCCTAATAAGCAGTGTTCTTAGTTCTTAAAAGTCATTAATTCGGTATGATTCGTTCAGGAACAACAATGCAACCCAATGACATATTGGAGTAAGTAGATTAAAGTACAGCAATGACATCGGTGGGATCGATGACGTCGGCGATCGAGGTCCTAATATGAAGAAAAGCCCAATTAACATCGACACTATCAAGATCTACACTTGTTAGTACCTGATTGAGCTTTTATAAGTCTAATCAGAACATATACTTCAAAAGGGGCTTGATCCGCTAGAGTCCGAACCAAACCTTCTTATTGAAATTCAGATTTACTCTTCAACTGACTACCGAATCGGGTAAAGTTCCCAAATATTGGAGTTATTGCCTACGTCACCAAGACAATCAACGACTCAACTTTCAATAAATCCCACACATTCCGTCTGGACAACTCCAATTCTGACCCAGAAAATCAATTAAGCTCAGTTTATCTTTCCCCTGAAAGTCCGGTTGCAGATTTACTCCGTTGCATCCCGTTAAGAAAGAAAAAAAAAAGGTGACCCCCCTCTTAGCGCCCACGTCATTACTGCGCAAGGGTCCCTTTTCCTTTCTTCTAACTAGAACTCCAGGTCTCATCTACCTCTCCTCTTTACATCTCCCCCACTTAACCACACCCATAATGCACCGTACCTATTCCATGCGCACATCGCGCCTGCCGACTGCTTCGCAAGTCGAGAACCCTCCGCCGCCAGTTTCTACCACCAAAACAGGCCGATGGCTTGGAGTTGGTGGAATTGGTAAGTTCTTACTTAAACAATTCAGATGCTTTCTCGCTGCATTCCGATGCGCTGGAATGGAGGGGAATCGCGGTCCGAAGCTGCCCAATCGGGCCGCCCTCTTTGTTGCAGCTTAAAAGCGAATGTAGTGGATAGCCACCCTCAATTCATAGCCGCTGACATTTTGTGGTAAAACAGGACATGCCTTCCGTAAAAATGCAGCCGGCGCCTTTGGTCCCGATCTTTCGCGCAAGTTGGCGCAGCTCGTTAAGATGGAGAAGAATGTGATGCGCAGCATGGAGATGGTCGCCCGGGAGCGCATGGAAGTCGCTGTACGTGAAATTCTCAGGCATATCTATGATCATCAATAACTGACTGGGTTTGTTTCTTATTAGCAACATCTCTCTCTCGGGGTGAGGCATGCGACGAGGATGTCTCAGATGTCACTGACAAGCTCGGTGTTCTGATTTACGAGATTGGTGAGCTGGAGGATCAATTTGTCGACCGTTATGACCAGTACCGTGTCACCATTAAGAGCATTCGCAACATCGAAGCCTCTGTGCAGCCCAGCCGAGACCGTAAGACCCAACCACATACGACAAGAAAAAAAAAAAAGAATTTAACTGACTCCAATTCACCTTACAGGCAAACAGAAAATCACCGATGAGATTGCCAAACTCAAGTACAAAGACCCTCAGTCGCCGCGCATTGTTGTGTTGGAGCAGGAGCTGGTCCGCGCCGAGGCCGAGTCCCTGGTGGCCGAGGCACAATTGTCGAACATCACCCGCGAGAAGGTCAAGGCAGCCTTCCAGTACCAGTTTGATGCTCTGCGTGAGCACTGCGAGAAGGTGGCCATCATCGCTGGCTACGGAAAACACCTCCTGGACCTGATTGACGACACTCCCGTCACCCCTGGCGAGACTCGCTACGCCTACGACGGCTACGACGCCAGCAAGGCTATTATTCAAGACTGCGAGGATGCCTTGAGCAACTGGGTTTCGTCCAAGGCTGTGGTGAAATCGAGTCTCTCCACTCGCTCACGCACTCTATCCCAGCGCCACCGTGAGAACATCGCCAAGCGCATAGAGGGCATTGACCTGTCTTCGCAGGATGCCCCGATGAACGGTGACCGCGACTCCTGGTTGCCAGCTGACGAGCACCCCAACTATGAGGATGATGCTGCCAGCACTATTGAGGGTGAGGAGCGAGGCCGCGAGGAGGAGCGGGAGCCAATTGCGGCTTAAATCAGCCCTAAGCTTTATCTTCAACTTCTTTCTCCGGATTTTCTTTTGTTACGAATGACGGCTCTATTATTTCCTCTGACTTGCCCATTCATCTTCCGGTTTGGAAAGGCAATGAATCATAATCATTGGCTTCTTACTTACCCTCTAAGCTACTCCTCCATCCATTTTTCCCTTAATGTAATACCATCTTGTGCAGAGCTTTTCCATTTCCCCCTTGTTGGCTTGATCTGAGGCGTGGAACAAGCTAGTTGGAGCTGGATAATCCCATAGGACCTAATGAAATCGAGTTCTAAATCATGATCCTATCTTCTACTAAGCAAGGCTAAGACATAGACTTTGTTCTACCATTGCAGTATTTTAGTTCTTTACTGGTTTTGAATTGTGGTAGCATGCTTTCCATTCTAGTCCTTACGCCATCAGCCATAGCTAACAAGTTGACTTGATATGTTCTGTCTAGTAATATGACACATCCTCCCTCTACCAGTCTTGCCCCATAAAGGGCCTTGAGGAATTCCAAAAGCAAGCTAGGAAAAAGTAAATCGACTCGCTTGGCGAGATTTTGCATGATGAGCACCCATTTAACACACCTGTTTCTCGTTTTCCGCTTGACGAGTGCGAAGAGATCGACCTCGCTATTCAAATAGAAACATCCTTGAGTATCTCGCTTTTAGCCTCGTTCTCACTAGCAGATTTTCCTTCAAAACCTGAAGGTATCAGAGAATCAGGCCAACAGTTCACTCTATCGTAGCTAGCGTCAAATTTGATAGAGCATTTAGTTTATGATACTATCTCATTTGCCTCTAGAAATCGTCCATATATATATATATATATTAGCATGCTTTAGTGTGGTAAGGGTCTTGTATTAGAAGAAGAGCCCCGAGGGCCGAGGGGTGACTTAGGATTATGCAAATTGGAAATGCGAAGTTCAAAGCAAAAGTGAAGGGTGAGACTATGGTGGATTGAAGCAAGGATACGAAAAAAACCTAGCTTTAGGGCATTTAGATAGACGTGAAGACAGTATCAAGTGGAAAATAACTTCACGCATCATACTTCTCATTTGATGCCAAAATATGGTAATGATTTCAGGCAGCTTGTAGATCAAGGCATTGGAAGACTTGTGCATGGTTTTAAAATATCAAAGGTTTTGTGCTCGAAGTCTCGACAATTTTCTAGGCTCTTGAGAAATCCAGAGACTATGTACGTCGGAGCTGTGCCATCAATAGGCGCTTATACTGGGCGGTTAGCATCTAGATTTTCCCACGATTGAGTTATTTCAAGGTTGAGGCTGATACATAGGTACTTTAGACTTTTCAGTGGGCGCTTAATTGTAGGGCTATCTATGATCAATATTCGAAGATGAGGCGCAGTCCCAACAGTTCAGTACGTATTCTATAGGCAAAGACACCTTGCACCACTAATAGTACATTTGTAACCCTGAATAGTATGGAATGAGCCACGATTATCTTCTAATCTTGGATCTACCAACATCGAAAAACACTGATAATTGGACCTTCTAGGTTTCCAAGTTGTTCACACACCCTGGCAATGTACTGACTTGACTTTTAAAGCCCCAGCTACATTCGGTGCCCGACCCATTGAAAAATATGTATATACTTAATTTCAATGTAGACATAAGTGCCTCAATACTAACTTAGGTATATGAATCTTGGAAATGAAGTATCATTTGATACTTAGTTAGCTAGGCAAGTAGGATGACTTATTAAATCCCATGTGATGCTGGAATCAAGGCGAAGCAACTGAGGCGAAGCACTAGGGCACCATTAATTGGATAAATCAAGCCAGTTCTCGTCCATAGGCAACTTCTTAGGCACGGCTTACCACCTGAGCAGTTAAATACTCGCAGAGCCCGCAAGCTTTCTGACTTCTACCCTTCATCCTATGTGCTTTTCGCCCAGAACCCCAATTTGAACAATTTCCTCGACGTTGAGATATTCATTGCATCAATCAGCTATTCAAGATGAACAGCCTATTTCTCCTTGCATTCGCAAATACTCAGACTCATATTGGCATTCGAAGCCCGCCTCATTGCCATATTTGTGAACAACCTACAACCAGATACACATGTCATGCAGATAACCCCAAGGGTAATGGAAATCGTCCCTACTATAAATGCACTCCGTGTGGGGCTTTTATTTGCTTTGCAGATGTGCGAGGCCTGCTGCCGGAAAATCCCACATGCTACTGTAACTTTCTCAGCAGGCGTACCATAGCAGGTGGGAATACTAAGAACCCGTGGTCGATATTTTATCACTGCGCTATTGGGGGCTGTGACTTCTGGGAGCGCATGGAAGATCATGAGAATAGACCTGTGCATTACCATGGTGTTGTCTCCCCAGATGTACTGATGAATGTGGGTCTCTAGGCACCTAGGTATGCTCTGTTCACATTCCAGGGTTGTCTGGCCTGACATATAGGTCCACTGGTCATTTACAGCGCTATCTAACGCTTTTTAGATGCTGTTGAAAGGATTAGGGATGCAAATTGGACTTCTCACCATCAAGTTCTTTGTACCGAGTTCAATGTCTTGAAATGGTGGTACACCAAATATCATATGAATTTTTCTGTATCGATTGTTTATCAACCATTGTTTTTGTTTCTTGGGAACCCTGTCCTATTTAAACGTTATGAAGATACTGGCCGTGTACCACATAAACCAAAGCCGCATAATGATATCACTAGTTGTCCAATTTCCAGAATCTTGGAAAGTTTACTTGCTTGTACTCATATTACCAAGCAACCCCCTTAGAAAGTCTTTCGGGTTCTCAGGTGATATTACCAAGGTATCATCGACAACAAAATCTCAAACAGACATATTTGAGGCTTATTTCCACTCAGGTGTGGATTTCCATACATCGTCTTTTCGGTTCAAAGGAGGGGAAGATGAAGTATTCTCCGAATTTGCTACGTTGTTTTCCGGAGAAATGGCGATCTTTTCTGCCGATCTTGAGTCAGATCTAGATTTATCTAAATCTGACTTGCAAAGAAATGAACTTAGCCCTGGGAAACCAGGTACCTAAATACGAAGAGCCGATCCTGATAATAAAAACATTAGAAATGTTGAGTACCTAGGTGTGCATAATACCGATCTCTCGAGATTGGTCGTAGTGAAGTATAAATATATTGATAGGAATATTCCCAGGCTGATATTCCCAAACTTCTTAGCTATTTTTAGTCAAATTTCATCGATATTATTACCAGGCAGATAGTCTACTATAGTAAAGGTAAATGAGTAGTAAAATATGTGTCTAGTCCAAATGATAGAGGCTCTGTTTGCTACACAGCCTAAGTCACATGATCTCTGAATAGTAGTGGCAACGATGTAGATCACGCGGGGAAGCCAAGAAATCCCCACTCCATGGCAATCAACATCAAGTCATACCAAGGACAATTCTTTCTTCCTCGACTATTAGATATCTTTCCTTCTTTTACATCAAATAAAGTATTAAAGAATCAAGTGCCTTATCTATTACTATCCGAGCTCCCTTTGGTTGAAATCCCATCTAATTAGCAATGGACAACCGGCTGGAGCCTCAACAACTCTTCGAAAGACCAGAGACACACCAATCCGGAGGGAATAATGTGAATAACACCAAACGATCAGCCTGCGAAGCCTGCTATGTACGCAAAAAGCGATGTGTCTTTGACCCGCGAGAGCAAGAATGCACTCATTGCATGAAAGAAGGACAAGCCTGTGTTGCCAGAAAACGTCGAACGAAGTATGACCCCACAAACCCAAATCCTTCGATAGAGAGAGAGCAAAAGAAAGTAATGTCAGAAGCCAGATTGACTGATAATTACCAGATCTCGTAAAAACTACACGGTCAAACTAGATTCGCATCATTCTCTTCCACGCGAACTCAAAATAACTCTGCAACATGAACAGAATACTGGCGAAGAAGTACCGACTTGGTCCCCGCTACATTCATTCGTCTTAGAGGCTAAACGGCTGCTTCCGACTGATTTCGAAAATAAGAGTTATGCAAGGAGGTCGCAGTCAAGCCTCCGGCTAAAACCCGCCGGTTCGCATACGAAGGATTGGCTACAAAATCCAGGGCGCCAAGGGCGAATGAGAGATAGACAGAGTGGGTATAGGTTAAAAAAAGGAACTCCGCGGAACCTTCGCAGGATTCACTTTTAGCTCCGTCTAATGGGATTGAGGAATTTGAAGACGCAATGGCGCGAAGTGGGAATATTGACCAGGCCCTTGGCTTGAATGACCTGGATGCTCTTCTTCAGTTTTAGTCTCAGTGGGTCATCTAAATTAGAATTTCCTTCGTCGGACTCCGGTCATAATAGGTACAAAGTACGGATGTACTCCGTAGTTACTGCGGTATAATAGTCAGATGCCGAGGTCCAGGTACATAACTGGCATACATATATTTATTACTTGGTAGTAAAAGGTCAGGTTCCAAGGTTGATAGTGGGTCTAGAACGATCATCGATCACGTCAATCTACCCCAAAGCAACGTGCTCTACTACCCCCAAATTAGAAGAATTGGAAGAATTAGAAGAGAAAAAAACCATTTAATGCCATATGTATATGCAAGTAAAACCCAGCCCAAAACCAAAACGTAAGGGAGAATATGGCAAAATGCCAGCAAGAGATAAAAGAAAATAAAGAAAACCCCCCCAAAGTCCTAACGTAACTTTACGAAGTTACCGCAACACTCAACACTCCATAAACGCGCAGAACGCATCACAATCCACGGGCACGATATCAAAATATAAAGTCCCAAAGAGAAAAACAGTAATCCGGAAGAACCCCCCGGTCTTGTAATTCCAAGTACCCGGGCGCAGAGTAGAGATGATGGGGTATATATAGTAGCTGGTATTCGAGAAAGACCATTCCTATCGCAAAAGTCACGGTCGGAAAATGAGGAGCCCGAGTCGCAACCAAGTATTTGAGATAAAAGTCGTGACATCGTTATGGTGAGCGTTGCCATCTTTTCCAGATATGGAAGAAGAGTAGACTAAACTCGGCCAAACAAAAAGATAGCAAAGATGCAGACAAGAAAATACAGACGCATTGAACAGATCAGAAAATACCAAGATTTGATTTCGGTATTTACTCATCAGTCCCGACGCCCTTCTTCTTGGGCTGCAGATTTTTTTGACCGGAGCGAGTCGCAACTCCTTTTGACTCGAGGGCTGAACTGTCTTTTAGTGGTGGAGGCATGCGACTAGTGGTGACGACTTCGTGCTTCTCAGTGAGGAGGTTCTTCAACCATCGATTCTCCATCTCCAATTGGGCGACACGAGCCTCGAGGGAGGCATTCTTCTCTGTTGTTTCACGGACGGTGCGCTCGAGAACCTGCTCGCGCTGCTTCTTCTTCATGCGGAAACGAGCACTAGCAGCCGTGTTTCGGCGGCGGCGATCCTCTTCGGCGGCCATTCGGACGCCCTCTTCCTGGCCCAAAGCTGCAGAAAGATGATCCCCAGGTATGGAGGTGCTGTATTTGTTGTTGCCCATCTGGCCGTTAGGTGGGGAGATGGATGATGAGACATCTGAAGGAGTCATCTGTCCCGTTCCACGACCGAGATCATCAGAAGCAAAAGGGACAGGAGGATAGATGGAGTGTGCCGAGTAAGGCATCATGTGGTCAGAGATAGAATAATCGATATTCTTATCACCGGTGTGGCCTGGGAGGTGAAGAGTAAGTAATCTGGGGTAATGAATATGATTGTATATAATGTAAAGTGCATTCACGGACTGGGGGATAAAGGGAACCGCAAACCCATGGAGGGAAGGGCTCGCACGGATAAACTCATTCTTCGCAATTAATTAAGCTCAAAGGGTTCAACATATAAATGGGGGAAAGGGCAAGAGAGGTGCAGATTAAGCCAGGATCAGAAAGACAGCCCTAGCCATGCGGGTGTCATCCAGGCGCAGGATTGCGTGCTCACTAATGAAATTGCGCTGGCGGGGGAACACGGACGATGATCTCATCTCACAGACCCGTTTAGCGTGGACCTTGTTGGTGGTCTCGTGCAAGGCTCTTTGAATCCCATCATTGCTGTGCTCTGGGGAAGCCGTGATAATACGTTTTCTGAGGACCCATAGGTCCTAAACTTTGAAAATGGACTTGGTGGGCTTGAACTTGGGGAATGCACGGGCTTGAAAATGCAGGGGTCTTTGAAACAAGCAAATACGAATGGAATTCGAAAGAACGTTCATTATACCGGGGTTAGATTTGTGATGGGGAAGAAATGGGGGAAATCTTTTTTTTTTGCCCAGGCCGTGCAGCATGTAGGCAAACACGAACCAAAAGGTCGGAATATGGCGTAAGAAATGCAACCTTTGGCAAACGTCAAAGCTTCAACTTACTGTAAGGATATCCTCGGAGATCGAGAGAAGCACGATCATCATCTATACTGTCGTATGAACTGACAGATAGGCCACCCATTCCTTCGGTCTGGTCATAATCTTGAGGATTCATTTTGGTAATCGGGACCAGCCCAGCATCAGCATCAAATGAATAATGTCTGGCTTTTGACACGGGATCATGCCTTGACATGAGAAAATTGAAGTTTTCAATTTTATCAAAGGCACCAGTTGGGAGAGGGAGTTTCTCCGACATATTGGAGCGGAAGGTTAGGAGGGGGAGGGAAGATGTAGAAATAAGAAGACAAAAATTTAAAATCCCGAGTCAGCAAAAGAGCATAAAAGAGCTTAAGTGCTTTGTTAGGGCTTCTGGACCATTCACGGTAACCTTAGATCAGGCTTAGGTGAAGAGAGGGGAAAAGGACGATCTCGGAAAAAGCAAATCAGACCGGAACGACACCTGAAAGAGGTATTTCTTGCCTTGGAAGATGGGGAAATTTGGCCACAATTACTAAATAGTTCAACCATGCATGCCGTGTAGACCTATCAGGGCTGTTTTGAATCAAAGAAGTTAAAAAGGGGGGCGGAAGGAGCCAAGGTGCGGCAAAAGTGTAGGAGGAAAGATCTTCTTACTTAATGTCGTGATGGGAAATCAACATCACGACATTGAGGCCGATTAGGGCTTTTTATTGGTTGGGACATGGCCTCACCGCTTTGGCAATATCCATCCTATCCTCGATATAGAAGGTATTCTATATGATGATAGTAATATTAAAGACAGTATAGACTCGATTATTGAATATTCATTATCTCATTTACTACTCCGTCTGTATTATCTCATTGCTCAAATTGGAGTGGACTCTTTCAGAAACAGGGCGTTGAAAAGGCACGATTGATGATGCGCACGGACCGTGGCTTAGGTAATGGCTTGGCATTTTAGTTAACTAAAACCGCCCTTGGCGATTCTCTGACTTAGCTCTAAGGTAAAGCAATTTCCATTACGAATGCCTTTGTACTTAGTATCTCTGCGGCAAAGCTACCACCTCGCTTCCAACTGCTCTAACACTCTAGGTCTACTAGACTACTTCTTAGATTCCGCTATTATGTTAGCTGCATCCTCGACTGTCTTACCACGGCTTCTTGCCTCCACGCGTTCTAGTCCAAGGACTGTATCATCTGATACACTGCGATAGACATCTGCAAATCCTCCATATACACTGGATCCTAAACCACCCCATGCACCTTCACGATCAATAGCTTCACCAATTCCCCGCATCTCATCCACCCATCGGTATGCTTTAGGACTCATCCCGATCACGCCAGCACTGGCGAGTGCCGCTGTATGGGGCGAGTATTGCTGGAGATGTTCCAGTAGCTCAGGCAGCAAATCTTGCTTCTGAGCTGTTGAGAATGACAAGATAGACAACGCCGTTAGTCCTTTGGTGAGGGCGGCAAAGGAAAGCTTGAGTGTAGACGCCGCACCAATACGCGGCGAGACCAGCTTGAGATTTAGAACCTCAGTCAGCTGTGAAAATGTGGGGGGAAGATCCACCGTGCCTGAAAGTACTACACTAGGTTTCTTCCATTCCTGTAGAGTTTGAGATGGCGGGCCTCCAATGATCCCGCCGTCCAGGAATTGACAAGGAACGAAGGATTCGGTATCAAACATCGCTGCGATCTCCTCCACCAATCGGGGAGATGTGGCGTTGAGTTCTAGATAGTACAATGGCCCCCGACTTGACCCACCATTTACCCTTTCAATTGCATTGCGTTTCGTTGCTGTATCTGCTTCCCTGCAGGACCTCGTAATTCGTTCCGCTGTCGCCAGGGCATCTCGAGGAGGCACGATAGACAACACGTAATCTGTCTGAACGACGAGTTCCTGGTCAGACAATGGCTCAATATCTGCCGCGCGGACCCGGGAAAGTGTGTGTTCACTTGGAAGATTAGTTCCTGTCTACGGAGTATGGAATATGGAAAGAGTCTTGTAATACCTTCTTCCTTCCACCGAGGTGACTACTCGATAGCCATGGGCTTTTAACAGCCTTGACATCCCTAGCCCCATGTCTCCGATAGAGATGATTCCGACGGTAACTGCTCGCATCCTGCCCGGGTGGTTTCGAGGATATCGGGCTATGGAGAAGGAATAAGTTGCCTTTCCCATTGAAATATAGCTATCTTGTTGTCTCCAATGCGGGGCTATTTGTCAGCGACAGTGGGCCATATTACCAAACAGTGAACACTTTCTCTTACCCCAGTCACCTTGGCCTTTCTATCTAGTAGGTATTAGTGGCTTTTCACAACCCTGGAGATCACCATTAGTCCCGGGGTTGCAGATATAACAGTTATTAGCTACTAGGTAATCTAAGCTATTTTAAGCCCCATACTCCGTACCATATCTTGTTTTCTTTAGAGTAAGCATGAAAATACGGATTTCCTCGCGAAAGACCGTATTGAATCATGGCAAGTTCTAGACATGATAGAAACCTTGAATACCTAGTTAAATTACCGTAAATGCAAGTACCGTGGAAGTACCTGGAAGATAGTTAAAATGACTCGGGCTTCGGATTTGCCGAGTTCCCGAGCCACAGACCTCCTAAACGCCCTGTTCAAAGTGGTAAGACTCTTCCCTTTACCACTCAGAATGAAAATCATAATTTCATCTTAACTCAAAAGGTACAAGCTCTTCTTATGCCACCTATGGAATCACTAAGTCTGAAGTTGAATCTCGGGACGCCGAAAAATTAAGTCTTGGCATGAGAAGACACGGGAAACTCGAGTCCCGGGGAAATGCACACATCCGACCGATGGTAGACTCTGAGATGAATGACAACTCCGCCCACGGAAATGTCTCTGGTGTACTCGGGCGGAGAAGAAGCCAGCGGGTATGTTGATTTGTTCTTGTTGCCGGTGAGATCCGTGTGGCGGTGACTGAACTGACTAGATCCTCAGGCTTGTGGAATGTGTTATCAGAAGAAGACCAAATGTGAACTTGATGGTCCAGAATCAGATGCTGCTCAGACTTGTGTGCAGTGTATGCGTCGTAGAACGGATTGCGTCTTTCCTACTGTGCAAGAGAAGGCCGAAGATTTACAAAGGTAGCTTTCTATGATTCGTGAATATGTGCCGTTTTTTTTTTCTTTCTATCATCTAACGCTCTTGCTTTCAGTGATGAATATGTAAAATTTCTCAAAGATCGTCTTGGAAGAGCAGAAGCTCTCCTCAAGGCGGCTGGCATCTTGCAAGAGAGTGATATGGTTGCCTCCGATGAGGATGAAGATCCACCATATGAAGACTGGAAGAATGACCATCGACATACTGAGTCATCAGGTGGTTCATCCGATCTCTCACCTGCATCTCGTATATCTTTAGATTCTTATCAAGCCAACTTTCCCGAAGTTGGTGATCTTGAGGTCTCCGGCCTATTCAAGACTCACAAAAGCGATGAGACACGATATTTTGGTATGTCATTATACCATCTTCTGCTTAAATATTCTAATAAAATGATACAGGACGGAGCTCTTCATTATCCATCTTATCTCGAGGCGGGATCGAGTGGATTAAGAACAAAACTGGCGATATCAGCTTCTTGAGTATTGTGTCTCCAAACTCTGCCAATGATTCCCCTTGGAATACTTGGCGCCCTGATGTATTTCACGACCTATTTGCATCACAGGTTTTCAAGCCTCTCCCGTCAAGATCAGAGGTATTTTCCCTCATAAAAGATTTCTTCCGAACAGCAAATCGACTGTTCCCAATCTTTCATGAACGCACTTTTATGAATATGGTCGAGTGGCAATATACGCAACAGACATGTGATGATGCCGCTCGATGGGCCAGTATCAACATGGTCGTCTGTCTAGCCTATGAATACCGTTTTTCACATAGCTTGAAGCCAGAAAAGGATCGAGAAAGGTCCCGGCTATACTTTCAAAATGCCATGTCGGTCTTTACAGAGCTGGCATTGCGACGCACGGATCTTTTGAGTGTACAGGCGCTACTGAGCATGGTATGGATAATGGATCTCTTTCTTTGACTACTCCTAACGTTCTTCTAGGCTTTTTATCTTCGTGGAAATTCTGGAACACAGGCGGCTGTTCCATTTATAACGGCAGCTATGCGATCAAGTCAACGGATGGGGCTCCACCGTGATATTTCAAGACCTGATCTGAGCGCTATTGAGGTGGAACAGAGACGACGTGTGTTCTGGATCGCCTTTACTGTTGACCAGAGGTAAGCAATCTAGATCCACATTCGCTGATACTGAGACCTAATATTTCCAATCAGCACATGCTTGCGTACCGGAAATGCTCCATCTCAGCATCCTGATGACTTCGACGCTCCCCTTCCGTCGGAAATGGAAGATGATCTAACTCCAGAGTTCCCGAGTAATATTCTATTCTTCCGTCAGCTATGCCGTATGTCGCTGATAAAAAGCCGTATCTATTCCCGGCTTTATACCGCCAAGGCAATGCTAAAGCCACCTCGTGAAATCTACCGGATAGTCACAGAGCTGCACGCAGAACTTCAGGAGTGGAACAAGGACTACCCTGTTGTTGAGGAACCCAAGGAAAAGGTTGCTGGAGTTGACTTCTTATTCGGCTTTGCGAATATTGCTCTCAAATTCGGGTACTATAACGCTTTGATCATGATTCATCGCGTACCTCTTCTTATCAACTACCAAATATCTTCTCGTGAATTTCCCGATGAAGAACTCATGTCACTGAGTAAAGCACATGCTTCACGATCAGCATTAATCGCCACCAAGGCGGCAAGAGACACGCTCAAGATGGTGAATAACATGCCGTGGGGAGATATCGCATGGATGTGGTAAGTACAAGCTGCACTAAACAAATCAAGTAAAGCGTCCTCACTGATTCGAGTTTTAGGGCTATGCTGTATTATGTCTTTCTAGCAGCAGCAACTATCTTTTCGACTATTATTCGCGATAGCCGCCACGCGCAAGTCCGAGAAGACCTCAAATCCCTGAACATGGCATCGACTTTCTTCACAAGCCTAATGGCAGGCACCGGCCCAGCAAGCTACGCCGGATTCATGGCCCGCATGACTGGGAACCTAGAGCGCGTCGCGCGGATGGTAGTCGAAAAAGAAGAGAAGCGGGCCCGAAGTCCCGACGAAAAAGAAGAGGAACATCGCCCTTCGGCGAAAAAACGTCAATCACGAGTACTTACAGCATCCCACCCAAAACCACGCCACAAACCTATGACAATGAAACACCACGTGTCCGCTCAGTCTTCATCCCTCCCAGAATCCACAAAACATCATCGATCCCGTACTCTAACTGCATCAATATCGAACGCGTCGGCAGTACCCCACAATGGTCTTGGCGACATAGGGATCCCCGAAGCTATTGAGGGTCTTCCTCCAATTAATTCATCTGGTTACGTAGTCCCCCTAAGTCCAGAATCAGGACCAGGCGAGCCGCGCACTTTTGCTTCAAGAGCCACTATCCAACATCCACCCCCACCACCCTCCTACACCACAATAGGTCTGGGTGTAACAAATCTGAACTTGAACGGAGTACACACAACCGAAATACCACAGAACAATTCTACCATCCCCTTTTGGCAACCGCAAGACCCGCTAGAAACCCAGTCATCCTCACAGCACAGCAGCAGTTCAAACACAACCGCAGAAAATGACACAAGTACCGGCACCAGGATTCCAGAATCGTGGCAAGTGCCCCTAACAGCAGACTGGCAATACGGAGACAATCTATGGTCAGGTCTATTCCCCACAGAATCAATCGCCACCTCAGCAAACGGCCAAGATATTTCTCTGCCTATTCTGTCTGCAGAGTCATACCTCCATCCAACTCATACCGCACAGCATCCGATTGGTATTAACAGTGGGAATATTGCTCACGATCCTACACAACTTATGTTCGGGACAGATACTACGACTTTTAACTCTGCGGCGGCAACAGCGCAAGAACAGACTCAGGTGCAGAATCAAGAGGAGTTTCTTTGGGCGAATGGGATGCTGGGCCTTTTTTAGATACCACCGCACTTTCTGAGATCTCTTTTCTTTGTCGCGTTGTTCTCCTTGTATTGAGACAGTGAGGCCTTTCTTGCTCGTGTTGAAAAGGATGGACGATCCAGCTGTTTGGTCAAGTTATGTTACGAACCGAGATGATTATGCATTACATGGTAGATGGTTGAGTCGATTGTTTTGAATCAAATATCGAATAAAATCCAAGGTTCTTGTGCAGTCTCTACAACTTTTTGCCCAGGTGTAATGTAAGAACTACCTGGCTAGGTATCTGTACTTACTGCTATTCAGTCGCTAGCTTAAGAATACAGTATGGAATTCTGAGGTTGAAAGAATCAAAATTTGAATTTTGAATGAATATTCATAAAAGTAATAAAACAAACCTTCTCAAACACCGGATTTAAACAAAATATAAAAATGAGATATTCATAACTCCCTCAATTGAACCCTCCCAGCACCATAGCAAAATAATTGAACAAGAATGTCATAAAAGAAGGGGGTATCAGAAATCAAAACACAGACGCAGTAAGCTGCTGAACAGCCTTGCACCATACGCCATTCCCAAGTTGATAAGTACCGCTTTGCCCATCAAGTTCCTTGCCTAGAATGCTTTGCATCTCATCATCCGGCAAACCAGACTTGTTTCCAGCTCCGAAGCCGTAGATCTTAGTCGCAAGGACTTCCATGTCAAAATCCAGGGACCCAATCTCTTGGGCGTCTTGATCGCCAGGGTTGATATGTGTGCGAACAGTAAAATCAACGTCAATGCGCTTGATACCGTTATGTTTTGCCGAGGAGCCCTTGCGGGCCGGTGTAGATGAGCCAACTGTGTTTCCAAGAATAGTGCAGCGCGCACGCAGGGAGAGTGAGACATCCTTAGGATCTGAGAGAGTGAGGCGAGTGACGCCGCAGAATTCGAGCATGCGCACCTCATTCTCAAGGCCCAGAGTGCGGTCCCATGCAGTGGAGATGAATTTGAGAAGGTTTGCCGGGCTGATCTTGAATTGCTCGATCGTAGCTAGATGCTTCTGTAGAGATTGCAGAACAAGGGAAGCGATTGATGATGTGGTTTTGCTCTTAGAGGTCAGCTCTAATGGAAGATTGTCTTTCTGAGCGTTGTTGGACTTATTCGTGGCGAATGCACTAGGGTGGAACTTGACCTGCAGCTGATCTCGGTAGGACATGGTCAGCATAGAATCAGACGCTGAGATTATTGACCATCCAGTCTCGCGCTCAATACGCTCAACAGACGTCTTTAATTCGTTGATATCCCGAGCACTCCATCCACGGCATTTCTCCTTGACCTGTTCCGCGTCCTGGATCCGAGCCATGTACTCATCACGCATCTCTGTGCCAGCTTCAACCGAAGCTGTTTTTTCTTGAGCCTCTTGCTGCAATTGCTGAAGCTCACGTTTTTTCGCTTCGATCTCATCTTCTATGCTCGAAAGCTGCTCACGCGCGCCACGCAGTTCATTATGGTCACAGTTCTCTATTTCATCCACATGCTGTTGGAGTTTGGTTGCCTCTTGCTCTAGTGACTCATATTTTTCCACAAGTGCAGGCACAGTTGCATTCAGGAGTTCCTCTCGTTTAGATAGAAGCTCGTCATCAGCCTTCATTTCATCCACATGGCGGATCAGCCCGTCCTTCAGACCCTCGAGAAGCTTCATGCGCCATTCGTACCATGTAGCTTTACTAAGCAGACGTGCATGGGTTTTCACGTTGCGGAACTGATTATCCATAATCACCCGAATATCTGCCGGGGCCGTGGCATACTCCTGGAAGAGGGGTGGATTATTCTCATATGTTTCAGCTTCTATCGATCGAATGACCTGACGACCCTCCGAAATGTAGGACTTCAACTCGCGACAAGAGTGCTGATACAATTCAAGCATAGGGACCGTACAGAAACCGGCAGCAACACAATCATCGAGAGTGATTGAGGCTGTAGGAAGCACATTCGATCCAGACCGCCGGGCCAATCTTTTAGCAGCACTCCCCGGCGCGGTGGTGTGCCGTCTTTTTGTAGTGGTAAGCTCCATGAAGTGGACATTGGTCATATTCAGGAACTCCTGTAATTGAATAGGCTCGACATTGGAAGCAGTCTCTTGGGCCGAAATCCCATCTTCATCTTGCTCCGGCTGTTGGGGGTCAGAAACAATATGCAGAGCGTCAAGACCATCCTTTAGAGGAGTTGCCCCTGTTCTGGAAACATCTCGAGATTCATGGGTAGGGGTGCCTTTGACGGGCGAAGAACTCTGAGCTCTGCGAACAGGGGAGCGGATTGAGCGTCGAGGTCTTTGATCGTAGGGAGTTGGTGCGGGTAGTTTAATCCCCTTGACAGGGCTCACATCATGGCCACGCAATCTCTTAGGCGAATTCATAGACTCCTCTTCGTCCAGATCGAGCTCAATGGGTCGCTTGCCCAAGATTCCTCGAGCAGCACCGACGTGTAGGCTCTTTCGACTTCCAATCCTAGTCTTTTTCGGACTAAGGCTTGAGATCATGTCTCTCAAGTTCGAGGTCACGTCCCCATTCGCGGCGTTGGGTTGTAGGAGATGGCCATCTTCCCTGAGCTCCTCTTCCTCACGCTCGCGTTCTTCATCTGCTTGTAGCTTCAAAGGATCTTCAAACCGAACACCGGCTTGTTGGCGTTCCTGTGGAATGATAAATGGTGGAGTGCTGTCACCTAAAGATAGGCGTTTGTCCAACAATTCGGCTACTCGGGGAGACCCGAGGCCTTCCTTGTCAATTCCAAGCCCAGAGGAGCGGCGTCCCTTATTAGGTTGCAAAACAATACGTGGTGTCGTCTGTCCAGTGAGTGAATTCTGTTCGAAAATGCTTCGACGAAGAGACTTTCGTCGTTCCGCAGACTGCTTAATGTCTGGCCGGAATAGCTTCTTCGGAGAAGCACTTCTGAATGACACACTCGCAGAAGGAGGGGTTTTGCTGGGTGTATGTGGTTTAGGTTCGGGAGTCGAGTTTGGAGGTGTTGACGGTTTCCTGGTGGAAGAACGGCCAAGAGAGGTAGACTGGGGTGTTCCAGGTGTGTCTGGTATCCCTGAGGCGGAGCTACGGCGCGAGCTTCTAGACTTGACAGTTGCTAAGCTTGGACTTCCGTCATCTGATGTAACAGTAGCGACTCTGAAAAGAGGTGACTTGGCTGGTGACTTGACTGGCGACTGCCGGACATTTTCTTGGAAAGGTGAGCTGTTCAGTTGTCCCGACTCCGTTTCGAGTTCCATTATCATTTTCGCGTGTGCCTTATCTATTCCCGATGGTAGAATACCACCAACGGCATTGGTCATTTCCATATCCACATCTTGATCAGATTCATTGTCGTGTTCGAAATCTATGCGATCGGAGATCTCGGAGATCTGTGGATAAGATGGTTGTCCGGTATTCTTGTCAGGAGGAGGGTCAGAGGGGCCCTTGCTTAAGAGACCACCAATGGCTGCTGTGAATTCCATGGTCATATCTTCATCTTCATCATAATCGTCTTGTGATTGGACAGGATTCATCTGTGCGATTCCTCCGATCATGTTCGTCATCTCCATCGTTTGGTCATCGTAATTAGTTTCCTGGCTAGAAGATTGACGTCGCATAGCGCTTTTCCGGCGTCCTGGGGACTTGCCCAGGATACCACCGATGACATTCGTCACATCCATACTCATATCCTCGTCTTCGTTGATGCCATCTGATTCTGCGCCATCTTTATTGGGAGATGTCTTAGAATAGTCAACCTGAGCGCTAAGATCTTCCCAGTCAAGATTTTGGCCCTTTTTGAACCAGGGTTGAAAAGCGCCGGTGATTTCTTCGCTAGCAATCTCCATCGACATTTCGCCATTATCCTCATCAAGTCCTGGAGTTCCAGCTTCTCTTGCGGCCTGTCGTAGTGCGTCATTAAGTCGGGCACTTGAACTTGAACTGGAGGATACATCTGAATGCATGGTAGCGGCGGATCGAGCTGTCATATCATCCAGACTCATGGCTGTACTCTCAGCATCAAACCCATCATCAGACCCGGAGGAATCTCCGTCCTCGCCCTCTTCAACGAAGCCGTGCGCGCCTGTGTCTTCATTCTCGGAGCCTGAGCTTCCACTGAAGGGACTAGACGAGAGATCCGAGAGATCCGTATGCTGATGTCCGCCAGAAGGCGCCGAGTTATTTCTTATCTGCTCGAGGTCCTGCGTACGGACTGGAGAGAATCCGAATTCTGACTCTGCTTCGTCATCTGAAGAGGATTGTGTCTCGCTCGCCGGATTGTGTTGATTCTGGGCGGCTCCGAGAGTTGAAGCACGTCGGGTAGAATTGGCGGCGGATGATGCAGTTGAGTCATCTGGAATGTCCACCACGTTCCATGTGTGTAATGTTGCCTCGGGGGCGAACGATACACGGCGATTCGCTAGGGATCAATTTAGAGATGTCGCATAAAGTTTGGAAAGGACTGATACGAACCCATTGACTTCCGTCGAGCCTCTCGCTTTTCAAGAATATTCTGTCGCTCGCGTTGACGGCGCTCCTTTTCGTCTCGTTCTTTGGTCGCGGCCATTTCGTCGCGAATCGCAGATGTCGCATTAAACGTATCGAAAGGGTTGCTCTTGTCATCAGATACATTGGCAGGGGGTTGTGAGGAAGCCACAAAATCAATCAAAACACCCTCTTTTCGTGCGTCATCATTGTTGTTGCCTTTCTGATTAGATGCTTCACGAGCTGGGGTACGGCGGCGTGTTTCTGCGAATGATGGGATACTTCGTACAGGAGATACGGGGAGAGTTGGTTTCAAGATAGATTTTGGCGCAAATAAAGCAGTTGACTGAGTAGTTATACAATTAGTTTCTCCAATGGCAGGACAAGTTCAGATCAGATCATTATTTACCTTGCGACGATTACCATTGGATTTCTGAAGAGCATCGAGACCACCAGGTCCCAAGCTCTTACTTCGGGATTTCTTATCTCTAGTTGCAGTTTTATTCGTGGTTCCAAATGCTTCTGCCGCTCCGATGTCTGTTGTCGCATTCTCTTTATCGAGTCCAGACGTCATCTTTGACCGTGGAATATGGGCTATTGAGCGACGCGAGCGCAGGCGCGTAGCCGCAGAATCAGGTCGGGAAGACATGTTGGCGACCTGATAATGGACACGGTTCAGAAAAGCATGGTCTTCACGTCAGAGGGGAGCGGGATGTAACAATCTACCGGATCAAGCGTAGCTCTGGCATTCCTCTCCGCTTTTCCAAGCAGGCGTCTAAGTCATGTGACGTAAACAAAGGTCTGACCGCCCGTTCATGACAGCGAATACAAACAACCATTTCTGCCACGAAGGATACAAATGTATACAGCTGCAATGTCAAATTTGAAACCACCACAACACACAACTCTCAAGACCGGTAACTCTCAAACTTTTGAAGGCTATACTCACCAACCCTATTTAAAATTTCCATTTATTTTGTATTAACAAGGCTGGTTGAAAGTCCAAAATCGAGAGATAGTAAGCCTGAACTATAGAGTTGCAACCTTGATGGGGTAAGCCGGTCTGACCGCCCCTGTCAATAGCCAATAATAGGTAAATATGGTAGCCCTAAGCCCGCTTGCACTAGACCAATATGGACTAGTGCCGCACACACATTAGCGAATCTTTCTCAGACTTTGAACGTCTAATCCGACCCGACATCGCCAATCTCTTCGACACCCGCTTCCCCCGTCGACAAATATCCGCAAAAATGGCGACCGAGTTGACCGTCCAGTCCGAGCGCGCTTTCCAGAAGCAGCCTCACATCTTCCTTAACTCCAAGGTCAAGAGCAAGAAGGCTGGCCAGGGTCGCCGTTGGTACAAGGATGTCGGTCTCGGTTTCCGTACTCCTTTGACCGCCATCGAGGGCTCCTACATTGGTATGCACACGACCTACGATTTTAAGTTCTCTTCCGGGCGAGATATTCGATATTATACCGTCTTTTCGAGTTTGAAGATGGGCACAGTCAACAAAGCGAACAAGGGTTGAGAGAAGTGGCGACATTGCGACGCGATTGGAGAGACTCAGAATACTTTGTATTGCAAGAAGAACGCTGCAATGATTTACTATTGAAATCTTGTCCATCTCCCAATCTCGAAAAACCAGGACAAACGAAATCGAATATCTCGACCCGCCAGAACAAAATCGCATGAGGGAAAGGTTCACGACACTAACATTCAATAGACAAGAAGTGCCCCTTCGTTGGTCAGGTCTCCATCCGTGGCCGTATCTTGACCGGCCGTGTTGTCTCCACCAAGATGCACCGTACCATCGTCATCCGCCGTGAATACCTCCACTACGTCCCCAAGTACAACCGTTACGAGAAGCGCCACAAGAACCTCTCCGCCCACGTTTCCCCCGCTTTCCGTGTTGAGGAGGGTGACTGGGTTACCGTCGGCCAGTGCCGTCCCCTGAGCAAGACTGTATGTCACTTGGATCTATCTATATGCATGATGTGGTCCACCATAGTGGTCATATTCATTCGGAGTCAATTCTTGGCTCTTGCATTACCCAACATGCTACTTTTTCACGATCCCTATTCTAACATTTTTTATCTACAGGTTCGTTTCAACGTTCTGCGTGTCCTGCCCCGCACCGGTAAGGCTGTCAAGTCTTTCTCCAAGTTCTAGGCGTTTGGATCTGTACGGCGAAGGGAGCGGTTTGAACTGGATATCAGGAATTTCTAGGACGAGGGTCGGGATAGTTTACGAGTTTCCATGTCCCAGATACCTTGCTTAAAAATGTGTATCTAACACAAAAAGCAAAAATATTTCTCATCAATCCTCCTACCAGGGAAACCGTATACCCGGAGCAGAAAGGGAACTATCCCCAGCTAGCCGTCGGGGCGGATTTGTTCTGAATACTGCAATTTTTTTTTCTCAGGCATCTATTCTGAATAGGCCGTTGTAATTGACAAAATAGGAGGCGTTGATGTTTTCAATTTCTACATCACCTGTAGATGTTCAATTTTGGACTTTTGCAAAATTAACTGATCAGCCGTAGATTAGTCCATTCCAGTTTTATCGAGCTCGAACGGCGCAACAATTCTCGCCACTATGCCATATTTTTCTCTATGATCCCATTGACCTCTCATCGTCTTACACTGTTGGCGTGGAAAGAAAGATATTGGTTGCTCCATATAAATTTCATCATCCATGGAACCCCATCCAGATTCCATTCCAGATTCCTCTTCACTGAGTAGATTGATTGAATTCTGTTCATTGGTCCCGGGTCGATCTGTACCTCTGATATTGGCTCTCATCGCACTTGAAGAAGTCGATGGGGTATATGGGGCATTCACCGTATGCCTTCCAGCTCTGTACCCTTTTGTAATAACTCCTTCTTCCAGGTTAGGGAAGTCTCGAACAGAAGAGCTGTCACTTGCTGCTTCATACCGGCTGTCTGTTGTCACCTCAGGCGGCTGTAGTCTCGTTTCTGTCTGTCTTGTCTCAAGCTCATCCTCTTTGGAATGTGGCTCGTATGAAGATGTCGATGCACTAGTATTCCCTAACTGACTATGTAGCACTGGATTCAGAGAACGAATTGGCGGCTCTCTGCTGCCTTCAGCGACTTGCTGACGACGACTTATAAACAGGCTTCCTCGTTCCGACCATGCCCTAAGAAAATCCGATTCCACTTTATCTCTTTGTGGCACTGGCACTTTGAGTTGAAGACTGAGCAGTTCTAGAGTGATATGATGATTACTCCTTGTCTGCCCTGCAGTTAGAGCCATGTAAAGGTTTCTACTACAATACTTATGTGATTTGATCAGTTCCAGTTGAAGAAATTCTCCAATGTCATCAGATAATCCAGCAATTTTTTCGAGATCGATTATCTTAAAGGAGCACACGATTGCCTCTCGTGGCACTTGGCCCCATATCAAATACTCGCCATATCCTCGCCAGTGCGGTGTTTCTGTGCCAGTCAGAGGTACCAGAGTCTGGGCCTTGATTACTGGCGTGTCAAGCTTCGCTGTGTCAATGATGAACACGATGGCATCCTCTTGATTGTGAAGGGCTCTGTGTATTGGAGTAACAGGCATTTGACTTGTTGAAATGAATGGCGTGCTGACCTTCTGTTTGGTGACATGGTTCTTGAAGTGCCTCAGAAATTGTTCTCTGGAGAGTTGATATGGGGTAAACTGTTCCGAGTCAACGCTTTGAAACAATCCTGCAACCAAGGAATTTGGTTCATTTATGCCCTGGGACCAAATATTCGACCACCTATACAGGATGGGTGGCAGGGGTGGCCGATCTTCCGATGTGCAATGTCCGAGGATACCTTCATGGGGAGTATCTGCACGATTCATATTGCTTTCTATCCCTGGCTGGGGTACATCTTGTGCTGTCAAAGCACTCAGGAGTCTCAGTATAGACTCGCCCTTCTCTTCTGCTAGAGTCTCTTGCTCAACCTCTTGTTGAATTTCTACTCGGGCTTCCTCTTCAGTCTCTTTCCAACACCACCAACAGTGCTTCCCATGACAGGTAACAAGGGAATTATCGGCGGTAGGCCGGAAGTCCTGATAAGCAAATATGTTAAAATAAAAAAACTCAACACTATCGTATATCCATTTTTTTTTTTTACCGAGTTCAAGGCAGGTACCCGTAAATAACGGCCTGTAGTCTCCATCTTTTGGAATGTTACAACCTTTTGGAAATCCCTTGGATGCTCGCACGCATAGTTAGATAGAAAATAAAAAATAACAATAAACAATAAACAATAAGCAGTGGAGAATAGGGATAACCTGAAATTACCTACCTAAACAAAATTCGATTTGAGAGGACAGCAGGAATCTTGGAATGAATCTTTTAACATCAAATTTTAAAAGAGTGCCCAAGTGAGTACATAGATAGATACCTAGGTAGGAAAACCTCAGGTGCTTAGATCATTCCAAGGTTAGCAGATAGATCAGTAGATCGAAGTCCTTAGCATTCAGTAATCTATGAAAATTCAATTCTAGAACTTCAAGTGTGACTACGAATATTTATAATGTTTGTTGTGACGTTTTATACGGCTCGAAACATTGAATATTTATGGATATACGAGTACCTGATTGATGATACCACTACTACAGTCTATGACTTAATAACCCACTTAGCAGAAAGAGTCTAAGTTCTAAAAAATTGCCAAATTTGCCAAATTTGCCAAATTTAATACAATTGAATCTTGAAATGATTCAGATGTGGTACATTATTCTCCGAGAATATGAACTTGGAAGTGATCGTGCCGCCGATACACGCTAAACCTATTCAGGGGCCCCTTACGCAGCCCGAAGTGAAGCTCGACCTGATTGTCCCTTGGATTCATGACCTCTCCATATCCTTATCCTTTCAAGGCCCTATTGAAATCCTCCAGATAGTGCTGCTAGTGCAGTTTCTCAGGACCCAACCCGGTCATTCCGCCCTCCGTCACTTTCTCCTGGACACGACTCTTGTCCCCCGCTCACTTTATCCATGGTCCAATGAGCCGCCATACCCGTTTCATACACGCCAGTAATGATAGAGGATCTACACTGCCATACGAAGGCACTGATATTTTCAGTCTTTTTTGAAGACTGGTCAATCCAGTCTTTGTTGACTCACTTAATCCAAATCTAGCGAACACACCTGCCGAGACAATGCCCGGCTTTGAGAAGTCGGTAAAAGGGGCCACCAAGCTAAAGGTGAGGTTCACGCGAAGCTATAGTCATATATCCTATAAAATACTCATCGCTTATCTCTGCGCAGCTCGCGGCCCCTAAATCCAAATATGTCGAGACTATCCTCATGGCGACCCACACCGGCGAGGCTGGAGTCGCAGAAGTATTCCGAACACTCCAACACAGACTGCGCGATTCAGCATGGACCATAGTATTCAAGGCACTTATCATCGTTCACCTCATGATCCGAGAAGGCCAACAAGATGCCGCACTTGCGTACCTATCCGATCACCCGAAACACATCGCGCCTAGCAATTTCTCTGAAGGTGAGAACTACAGATGGACTATGGATTTGTTTCAATTGACTGATCGTGCGTACAGCGCAATCACAAGGACATAATATCCGACGGTACGCCGACTATCTTATTGCCCGCGCAAGAGCATTTGATGCGACAAAGACAGATTACGTGCGAAGCGGACCTGGGCGCCTGAAGCGACTAAGTGTGGAGAAGGGTCTTTTGAGAGAAACTGAATTTGTACAGAAGCAGATTCGTGCATTGCTTCGATGTGATGTGAGTGAACTCTTCCCGAAACTTGTTATGTTTGGGGGGCTGACATGATATTTAGCTGTTAACGGATGAGCCCGAGAACGAGATCAGTCTGACCGCATTTCGGCTTCTAACACTAGACCTGCTTACTCTGTATTCAGTGATGAATGAGGGTACAATCAATGTCTTGGGTACGTCTACAGCCACCGTCTTCTTTTGTGCGTGACCTTCTGACAGAGCTCTCCAATAGAGCACTATTTTGAAATGTCAAGGCCGGATAGTGAACGTGCCTTGGCAATCTATAAGACTTTCACGAAACAGACGGAGGAAGTCGTGCAGTTCCTTGGAGTTGCGAGACACTTCCAGTCCGCCACTCGGTTGGAAATTCCGAAACTCAAGCACGCTTCCACTGACCTTGCACGTCTTCTTGAAGATGATCTAAACGATCCCGATTTTGATCTTCGTCGACGAGAATATCTAGTCCAGAAAGGCGTCAAACCCCCTGGACAAGCTCCATCCGCTGCAACTACTAGCAACCAACCGCCTAGCCAGCCGCCTAACCAACCGCAGGCTTCTGCTTCACAGGCTTTCCCAAGCCTGGCCAAGGAACAGCCTAAGGGACCAGCCCCGGACTTGATTGATTTCTTTGATTCAATTGAACAGAACCAGCAGCCTATGGCCCAGCAACAATACCAACAAACCGGCTACCAGCAACCTCAGCAAGCGTTTTACCCCCAGCAGACCGGTTTCCCGCAACAGCAACAGCAGCAGCAGCCCCAGATGACAGGATATGACATACAGAATCCCTATGGAAACGCCCCACAGCAAAACAACGGAAATCCATTTGGACAGCTGCAATCACAGCAGCAAGTACAACAGACGCAGCAGGTACAGCCGCAGCTACAGCCTCTCCAGGCTACTCCAACGGGTGCTGGCTTTGGTGGATATACACCACAACCGCAGTCATATTACCAATCGCAGCTGGGAGCAATCCCACAGAACGGAGTCACCTCGTTCCCTCAGCAACAGCAACAGCCACAGCAACAGCCGCAGCAGTTACAACAGCAACCGACAGGCTCGAACCCTTTCCGTCAGTCTACAATGTTCAGCCAGGCGACTGGCAGTGCACCAGCAGCTGCTCTGAAACGGCAGGACACGAATCCATTTGCCAAGCGCCTTTCCATGGCACCCCAGTCCAACTATGGTGCTCCTGAGCCAATGCCTCAAGTCCCACAGATGCCTCAAGTGCAGCAGGCGCCGCAACCACTTCAACAACAGCGTACAGGAACCAATCCCTTTGCTCGGAACTCTGTCGCTCCTACGAACGCCGGCTTAGCTCCACTCCAACCCAATCCTACTGGAAGTACCAATCCTTTCCGACAGAGCCAGTTCATCAACCAGCAAACTGGCCAAGGTTGGCAGAATACACAAAATGGAACGATGGGTGGGTTAGAACAGCTGCCTACCGTCCCAGTATTCCCGCGTCCCGGGATGGCCTAGATTTCCATAAGGTCAATATTACAACACACCCCTACCATTCTTGCATTCTCTTCTCCCTTTGCATATCTTGTTTTTATTCTATCTTTTGTCTTTTTCCTATGTGTTTCCTTATTTTCTCTCCTTACTATGCATGGCCATTTGCTGGTAATCCGCAATTACAGTCATGAGGAGATTAATTAGAGCAAATAATATCACATTGGGTCTAACCCCAGATACTCAATGAAGTGTAAATACAGGTTTATCCCTACTCCCGGCTTATGTAGAATAGACGTTGACAGTTAAAGTGGAGTTGAGACTCGCAGATGCCAAGAACCCACATCTTGTAATCACAGCTATTGAATATTTAGTATTAAGTTAGTTACCAATAGCTTATCAAAAATTAGTGGGCATTGCTACAATTCCACAGTCATTAGCTCCTCACAATTTCCTCCTAGTTTCAGATTGAACCCAGGTCTCGGTGATCTTACAGAAATGGCCCCCCAACCACTAAGCGTGCATGCGGATAATAGTGTCAGTATCAATCTGAGGGGTAAAATCCCATTGGGTCTGAATAAAATATGGTATCCACTGTAAGCGTCGATCTACGTGGACTAGCTAAACATCTGGAATCGAATCAGCAGAATCAATGGAAAAGATATAATATCTGTTTAAACAGCAAAACAACAAGTACAAGCCCCACAGATAGTAGATAGTAGCTTGTATCAAATTAAGTTCAAAACTGACTTCCCGAATCAATTAGGGTTGACAAATTCATTTTCATCTTCATTCCAACATCCCTATAACTGAGTTAGAGGGAGCACTAGTCTCCTGCAATTCCCACTAGTTGACTTGGTGGGTTCCCTTGACTCCCTATCACCTTGAAGAATTCCCATTTCTCGGCGGAGATACGGAGTACGGCCCTACCCCGCCGGCACTCCGAGGGACGTACACTACTTTCTTCTCCCTTATATTTCCTTTTTTTTAACCCTTTTACACCTCCTTTCCTTATAATATGTGGAGTCATGGACGCCAAGGATCCCTTTTCCTATGGATATGAGAATGGATTGCCAGTGTTATCTCGTTCACAGGCATACGTCGATGACCTCTACAAAGACCCCTATACTGCTCCGCATCCCGCAACCCATGCGAAACTCTCAACTGTGACGACGCAGACAGCTCCTCTGCCAGCTCGACCAGCTCAACCAGCTCAACCAGCTCAACCAGCTCAACCAGCTCAACCAGCTCAACCAGCTCAGGCTCCAGCTTCGGATACTACAGCTGCCACTGCGACGACCAAGGAGCGCAAAGTTGTCTCCAAGGTCCGCAAGTCTCGTAAGGCCACCAATGCGTCGTCATCCTCAGTCCCAGCTGGGAAAAAGTCCACGAAGTCGACCCTATTTTGGGTCAATACCGACCAAAAGACAGTATCAGCGGGCTCGTCAAAAGAAGAGACATTGAAGCGAATTCGATCCCATGTCATGTCAGAGCATAATCGCAAGAAGCGATTAGAAAATACAAATGATTATAAAAGTAAGACGTGGAAGCAATTGGCTTTCCAACCGCCTGAAACCATCGCTGGTGCCATAGGTCCCTCCCGGCCGTCGGTGTCCGCGCCGGTACCGGTCTCCGCCCCCACACACTCTTCTGATCGTCGAGGCTCATATGTCCACCACGCGATCAAGCAAGAATTCGTCCCTACAACAACTACCGTAGGCTATTATTTACCTGCATCGACGGCGACAGCGACAACGACGGCTACGGCTTGGGATGATGAGTATGAGTATGAGGAAATCGTGCGCTATCAGACTAGGCCTGCGGGACCGTCTATATGGTCACATGCATCAGTGGGATCGGGGGCTAACGACCCGTTTAATACTGGGCATACTCAAATGACAGATCGTATGCTGAGTTATCTGCATAACTGTGCGTCTTCTATTTCACTGCTACTCTATCTTACGAAATTGTGACTAACTCAAATGATAGTCCTTTGGGACCTAACGCAGCAGGCTCACCCACTGCAGCGGGGTTATAAAAACAAGTTGCATAATCATTGGGCTGCTCTCGTTCAACGCGATCCGGCCATTTTGCATGCGACTATTTGTATGTCAACGTCAAATGCAGCTATGCAAAGGGGTGAATTGCCCATAAGAGATCCAACCCAGCAACGCAGCACCCTTGTGGTTGATACCTTCCATCATCGTGGGGAGACCATCCGCTTGGTCAATGAGGGATTGTCAGACCCAGTCAAGGCTGCCAGCGATGAGCTGATTGCGGCAGTGTCCACTCTATTGACCATCGAAGTAAGTAAATTATGCCAATTGACAGTTCATTCGAGATACTCATAAGTTCTAGATCGCGTCTGGTAACCCTGACTATTTGAAAATCCACTTGGCTGGTTTGCGACAGATGGTAGGACTGCGCAAGAACTTTGCCGACGTGGCTCCAGATATTCGCTTCCAGATCTCATGGTTAGTTTTGATATTTAAATTCCTCATAGATCCCTTCTTACTAAATCCCACGATAGGACTGATATCCGAGTCGCATCCATGGCAATGACTAGACCCATCTTCACATTTGTCCGATCCCCTCGCCCATTAGGGCTAACTCTCATCCCACCAACCGACGACGCCCTGCAAATGGCAACCAGACTCATGCCCTTGATCAAAATCCCGGGTATATTCGACGAAGCATTCTCCAAAACGATCATCGATCTTGTAGAGCTATCCTGGTACGCAGAATGGATCAAAGGAAACACGGGCCACAAAGACTTCGACGACGAAACAGAAGAATACTTCAACTTCGAAGTCCTATACGTCGAATACTCCCTATACGCAGACCGATACACGCCAACCGGCCAAATGAAATGCGACAACTCAATCGAAGGCTGCTGCCGCCTAGCCGCCCTCTGCTTCCACAACAGCGCCATCTGGAGTTTCTACCCCATGATAGCACCACTGCTGCCAAAGCCCATTCTCACCCTCCGCTCCGCCCTAGAAGTCACCATCCCAACTGGCCTATACGGGCTCTGTCAGGATGTGCTTGTCTGGCTGCTCTTCATGGGCGCGGCCTGCACACAGGTCATGCCGAATGAGCGGACGTATTTCATCTCGGAATTGGCTAATGCCACTAGTCTCATGGGCGTGACTTCTTGGCAAGAGTGCCGGCAGATCCTATTGGGCTTCTTCTACACTGATCGTATTCATCTGCCTATGCTGCGTCAAATTTGGCATGAAGTCGAGGTGCAGACGCATATGGAGCCGCTGTCTGTTTGATCCCGACATCTTTGAATTCTTTTTTTCGATGATCCCCACTCTTGCCATATACATTGTAATTAATCTCATATCCTACTAAATGCGTGGTGGGAAGAAGTTAGCATATACACCTATTGTCACTAGAATATTATTCAACATAAAACTAGAACATACTCGGGTAATTAACATTCTAGTTGGTTCTTGTAAATTATAGCCTTGTAAATCTCTTGAAATGATTCTTGTAGGTCGACCACTCAGTATCATTCCAGTGATCCATCCGAGAAGCCTACCTAGGTATCCAGAGGTGCGGTGTCAGATCCACCTTCAACCATCCATTCCCATATGTACTGACCAATAACACATACCTAGGTAGGATCTGGGCACCTTATGACCTCGAGGTTGTACCTATGTATATATCTATCCGGTACCAAAGTACCTATCTGCCAGTACTTTCCAAGGGTGTCCAGGGGTATTTAAATGTGAGAAAATTCCATATATACTTCGCGGAAATTACAACGAGAACAGATTGATCACCTTTAAGATAACTACTCTGTAGTTGAAATAGGAATAACTAAAGTTCAACACGGTATAAATTGAACTCCGAGTGTCTGCAGAGAGTTTCCCGGCTCAATCTCGGGATTCACTCGGCTTGGTTTGATCAGGAGCTAATGAAATCCTACTCTTCGCTCCTTTTTTTTTTTTCAAAATATTTCTCTCTTTAATCTCGCATAATCACTCTCTGAAATCATTTTTGATTTCAAAGTTATGGGAAAATATTTGGACTGTGATGATTCTATTGGAACAACACAGAACCTACCTATTATCAGATCAGTTGCAATCTTGAGCTAACCTTAGAATGCTTTTCAACACAGATCAATCCTTGAAATGGACCATTTGACTGTGCCCTAGTATATAGGGTTGCAATGAACTGGTATCCAATGTCAACTTGCCTGGTATTCTGCCTGGTATTCTAGGAACTATACGGAAATCTTCTGAGATCACTGAACATGTTGAGAAAAGTATAGATTCATGATCCAATGCTATTAAGTGCATATCCATTAACATACAGCAAGAAAACAAACACAAAAGGGAAAAGATAACAAGGAAATAAGAAGACCTCGAGGTAAATCTCAGATCCTCAATTATATTCACCTGATCCCATCGAGAAATCAATCCCGACGAAAACAGAGGTTCATTTTGTGCATCAACTCAACCCAGCAATGCAGCTAAGAATCGAGCGAGCATTCCAAGCCACAGAAGAAGCGAAAAACTACCCCTCCAGATAAAACGCCTCTTCCCTGTCGATAACGAACGTCTCGACTAGAGACTGCACAGCTGTTTTAAAGGAGACGGAACTGCTATTGCCCACAACCCAGAATTATACGATGAGGGGGATATCAGAAACATTACAACAATATAATTCAACAAATTCCCGCGAAAATCTCGACGAGAAAAGCTTAGACGGTTTCACGGTCGCTCTTGGCACGGCGGGTCTTGCCAGTGGGAGACCAGGGGAAGTGGGCGACGGGAATAATGAAGAAGCTGTTGCTGGTGTCGGCAATACCAGCCAATGCGTTGTACCAAGCGGCGAAAGCAGAGAGGAGACCGAAGAAACCACCGGCCTTCTGAATAGAGGCAACAGGTGCGGTACCATCACCCTGCAGGTAGGAAATACCCAGCAGAAGGAAGGTCAGGTCCAGGAAGAAGAATAGGCAGAAGAAAGCGACGGTCGACTTGAGGGTGCAGAAGAGGAGGATGGTGGTGAAGATGAACCAACCCTGTTTGTAACTTATTAGCCGAGTCGCTAAAGGCAAGCAAGAGGATCGAAAACAAAGACACTTACCATCAAGAAGATACCCATCGAACTGTTAAAATTCCAACTAGTGGCACCACCGAGCGACTCTGCAATATCGAACCCACCAGGAGTCAAGACAATTGCGAAGGCGATCCAGAATCCACCATACGAGGACAAAGCGGTAGCACCGAAAGTGTTTCCAACGGCCATTTCCCTGTGATTATCATCATGATGGAATTAGCTAGACTGCAAATGATGATAAACACCTCCTATTGGAGATGTAAGGGCCTTGATCATACCACATGCCAGCACACAGCTGCACCAAGCCACCATAACCGAAAGCAAGAGCGACGACAATATTGGGCGCAGTGATATCATGCGCACCCATGTTAATGGCGCTCAGCACGAAAGTGGTGAGAGCGAAAGCAGACAAGCCCAGAGGAGCCGGGTTACCGAACTTGCGATCTGCGACAGACTTGTACAGACCAGGTTGAAGCTCACCACCGAATGGACGCAATCCAGACTCTGTAGGGTTGACCTCGGCCAGAGGTCCATATCCAAACCTAGCCGCCGCACGGGCAACCTCATGCTCCTCAGCAGTCATTTGTTGGCGAAGGGCCGAGCCATTCTCACCGGAAACCCGGGGAACACCCTCCTTCTCGTGGCTATGGATGGAATTGGCGGACATTTCGAGTATGAGTCTCCGAGGAATATTTGAAGATGGAGAGATATTCTTTTTTCTTTTCTTTATTCGTCAAGAAGGGGATTCGTGAAATATGAGTTCAGAGCTTGCTGAATTAGATGAAAAGGACCCAATTTGTATAACACAGTTATACTTGGGAGAAAAAAGAGGAAGAATTAAGGCCGAGCAGCTCTGTTAGGCATAATGGAAAGAGAGAAGAAAGAAGCTGGAGAAGATGACAAAAAGAAGCTAATATACTTTTTCCCAAAGCTCAGATGATTTTAGGATTCAAAGAAAGTTCAACAAGTGCCATGAACCGCTTCCGAACCAGGGAAACAAAACGACCCAAAAAAGCCCAAAAAAGCCCAAAAAGCCCTAACACCCGTTGGAAGCAAGAAAAAAAAATAGAAGTGGAGTTTACTTTACTCCGTATCCGCTTTCTGGTTCATATTGATTTACACACCGGACAGCAGTTAATTGAAAGACTACTGTAGCTTATGCCTATCTCTGAATTCTGGCTCTTCTGGCTTCGAGGGATACTTAACTGTTTTTAATGCAGGTCCTGTAATTTGCTTATTTCTCATGCAATATTATGAGGGGAAACACCCCGGAGTCAGCCCCGAGAGACTCCGTGCTCACGGAATTAAGCAGAACTTATCTCAGCATCCCGGGGAAACGGGATAATAATATGGGCACCGTGGGGAATCAGTTCCACAATCCGGGGAGGCCCTGCCAACTTACCTTGGTCAATCTGAGATGAATGGCCCTTCAATGTTTCTCCAATTCAAGATTATACTCGGCCAAAAAAGACTTAAGACTTGGAAACTGTAAAGTAAACCAGATCTTACAGTTAATCAAGCTCTAAAGTGAAATGTGGATCCATCCAGGGTCTGTTTATGCTCAATGATACCACAGCCATACCATGGTAATACTGTATTTTTCCTACTTCCATGTCTCCTGCTTTTCCGTCGGAAAAAGTGGCAAATCTTCAATATTCTGGGGAAACTTGGATTCCAATGATTGGAGAGGAACTTAAGGAGGTTCATCAAATGCGTCATGCCTTCTGTCATCATAGATAACTATGTGGAGGCAATACATGATGCAGTTGGAGCTACATCTTGCCGAATAGTACCACCAATAAGAGATAAGCTATTCCCCCCCCCTTAGTATACACGCTACTGCTCTCACTACTGCATCTGTTGGCTGTGGACATCTACGACGTACGGGGTATTCTGTACTAGTTTACCCCTTTTTGAGTCAGAGAATGAACTCTTGATGGTAACTACAGAGTACATCTGGTCCTACTTCTAAGTCTATACACCGGGAACGTCTCATGTCCATCCCTCTTAGAAAAGGAGTTAGGGTTATCCTGGGGATTCCGGGATGTTTCAGAACAAGCTGATAACCCTGTAAACAACCTTGACCCTAAGGTAGCTCTAAGGGGAAAACCAGATTGAAAACAAAGGAAATTGAATCTCGATTGGCCCGACGCTAAACAAACCTTAGAAGCCACTCTATTATTTTTTTTCTAGATCTTTTGAGAAGGCGCTGGGGACCATGGGCCAAGGAAGTGGGACAAGCTGGCTGAAGTAAGCTCCACAACAAAACACTGATCTTCACGTCAACAGCACAGCCTTCAAGTTTATTCTTCCTTCGCGATTGTTATCAACATCGGACCCTCTTCTGGATCCTGCTATGAATCTGATACAATAGCATGGAGTAGAAAGTAGATTGATTTTACAAGATACTCCAATGAGTATTGCCAACTAAGCGTGGGTGAGTTTTAACCCCTGAAACAGAAGACAGATTTTCTTTCACCGGCATCTCATCTAAATTAGCCCTGCGTAAAACATAGTCCACTTTGGAAAGTTTGACCGTATATAAAGGAAGGCTAGTCTAAATAGGGAATGGATACTCACAATCTGGCCCACCCCGCATCCGAACATTAATAATTAACCTTGGAAGCCAATAAGGAGGAAACGTCCAATGGTACACCGACAGCAAAATTTTGGACTTCACACTCGTTCCATTCTTCCTTCGTTCAACCTATTTTGTTCATGATGATCTTGCTGGATTATTCTTCTCCAGGGCTTGGATCAGTCACCTTGGAAGTCCCAGGCCCTCGCATTGATTTTGTCCGACTCAGATGCCAGTATTGGTAAATGTGCCTGAAAATCCTCCATTTCCCTCCATCTGCTTTTTTTTTAGACGAGGAGGACTAATCATAAATCCTCTAGCATCTAATTCTTCAACTAGAGGCATGTACATTGATAACAGACTTCATGAAATAGGTAACAAGTTACTCAGTCACGATTAAGACCTCGAAAGATAGTCAGCGATGACTAATAGAAAATTCATAGTTAATCTTCCAAAGCTTGTTCTCAAAATCCAGAGTCTCCATTTATTACATCTATATCTGCAGAAATAAAAAGTTGCCAAGTTGCTCGGTAGCTGATAGTGGAGTGGAACGCAACCCAGAAGTCAAGTCAGTGGCAAATAGGTCATAATCAGGAACCTTGGAATCGCTATACTGCCACAGTGCCCTCCTAAGTAGTTATCTAGCCTAGGACAATTTAAGGAATACTTTCAACGGTCTGTCAACACTCGATAGTTTCAATATTCTTCACCGCCCTAAAGTCCACGTGGATGATGAAGTCAGAAACTTTATAACTCATAGTTTACCGCATTGACCGTCATCACGAATCATAGAGGACTTCCCCGGAGTTAAGGAATTATAGGTACAGTCTACTATCCAACTTTAGAGAATCCATTGCAGATCCCTACATGCTGGCTTTGATACTCCGTAGCCCCGGAAAAAGTACTACGTACTTTGAATTTCCCCACACTTCATCATCTGACCATTAACCGAAATGCGGGGATCAGACCATTAGATTTACCCACCAATTGCTACTTTGTGCCAACATTGCCGTGTTCCCGAATCCAAGACTCAGCTTCCATGGTGCCAAGGCTGGTCTATCTTCTGGAAACAATCTGGCTCAGTTTCAGAACTGCCTCAGAGCCTTCGGCTCGGTGGTACCTGAAGTTCCAATTCGATGTTTTTGGGTTTGATTTTCATGTCCGTACGGGATTGAATTCTTTAAAATATTGATCTGCAGGAGATATGGCATTGTTGGGGCGCTAACATTCAACTATTCCATACCAGGTCTCGTCCAGGGCAATAAATGATCATACATTCTACATGTCCAAGGAACAACACTGGAGATATTAACTCATAAATGAAACATTTGAAAGATTAACGGTCTATATTCTAGAGGTTACTCTCAAAGCTGAAAAAGCAACCGCTATGCAAAAGATTATATCACACAACCCTTGATCAGGCGGCAACAGCAACAAACTTGGCCTTGAACTCATCACTGAACTCATAATCGGTATATCCCTTGGGGTCCTTGGGAAGGTAGAAAGTATTACGGTCATAGTCAAGGAATTTCACGTTCTCCTGGACGCGGAATGGCAGATCGGGGTTGGAAATGTAAGCCCGACCAAAGGCAACGAGAGTATCATACTCACTGTACTGCTTATCAACAGCCTCGCGCGCCGAGTCAGAACTGAATCCGCCAGCGAAAATAACAGGGCTGGCTTTCTTGTAGGCCTTCAAGAAGAAGTCCAGGGAGTTGGGGGTCTCAATAATGTCAAAACCGGCAACACGCGGCTCAACAAGATGTGTGTAGGCAAGCTTGAACTTGCTCAACTCCTCTGCCAAGTATGTGAAAGTCGGGTAGGGGTCTTCCATCTTCATGCCCTGGAAGGGACTGAAGGGACTCAGGCGGATACTAGTACGGTCGGCACCGACAGCCTCAACAACGGCGCGAGTAACCTCGAGCGCAAAGCGGGAGCGGTTTTCAACACTGCCGCCCCAGCGATCAGTGCGCTTGTTGCATGTATCCTGGATGAACTGATCAATCAGATATCCGTTCGCGCCGTGGATTTCAACACCGTCAAAGCCGGCAGCGATGGCATTGCGCGCGGCCTGTGCGTAGTCAGCGATCCACTCTTCGATCTCGGTCTCGGTCAGGGCACGCGGGACAGGGCTGTCGGAAGATATAGGGGTTGCGCTGCTGGATACGACGTCGAAATCGCCTTCCTTCTTCAGCTGCTCGGGGTTGGCAGCACGGCCCAAGGCCCATAGTTGCATATAGATGTAAGAACCCTTAGCGTGTACGGCGTTGGTGACTTCCTTCCACGCAGCGATCTGGGCATCGTTGTGGATTATTGGAACGTTGGCGTATCCTCCGGCGCGGGGAGTGATCAGTGCGGCTTCAGAGATGAGGAGGGTGCCCGGTGATGAGCCGCGCTGGGCGTAGTACTCCTTTACAAAGGGCAGTGGGATGTGCTCATCATCGTTGCGGAACCGGGTCAATGGGGCCAGAACAATACGGTTCTTGAGCTCGACGCGTCCGACACGGAGAGGTTCGAAAAGCTTGGTCATTTTGAAACAAGTTTTTTTATATTATAGGGGATGATATCGAGGTGAAGAGATGGAGTCAATTGAAATAAGAAACCACATACGACGAGTATCTAACTGTTCTTATAACTAGTTATCTGAGATTTATGATTGTTAAGCAGGTGGGGTGACGCTAGTACACAAATGATACTTCATTAGAGGCTCTCGTGTAGCGAGGGCCGACACTAGGACATATCGAACTTTGGAACCCGTTTCGGATACGGGGCAACAGGAGGCCCGGCTTCATAATCTGGCTGACAAATCTTTGAAAGCCCTATCATGCCATGATGTGCATAATGGTATCATGAATTACAAATACATAAGCTCTTCAGTTGAATCAGCTTTCTAGACGACGCGCCGTGCTTTCAAGCTGCGCATTAAAGGCACGAATTTGACTCAGAAGACCACCTTGAGACCCTGGCGCTTGGGAGCTCACATCGTCAGCCAGAGAGCGGAGCATAAACTCGATTTCTGTGGTCGAAGGGTTCGCACTAAGTGGAGCATTGTTCTGGCGGCGATCCAATGCCAATTCAAGGCTGTGGAGAGAATGGTTGATGGTGTTGCGTGCCTATATGGTTGATTAATTTCGGACAAGAAAGGATATAACTGAATAAGAGAAACTCACCGTTTTCGCTTTTTCCTCTTCCATGTGCTTGGCCCGTACTGCATCCATCTGTAGAGCTATATTCTCTCGTTCCCGTCGTACTTGAAACAAATGAGTCCGGAGATCCATCATATCTCGCTTGGATTTCTTTAGCTGCATGCCCAACATGAAGTTGCTGTCTAGCATCTCGCTCAGGTCAAGTAAACGGCTGTCGAGCTCCGAGCCAAAGGCTTCAACGGCCTTCCGCTTGCGCGTCCATTCGGCACGCCGTGTAGGGTTGGCCTCTTTAGCAATCCCGTCCTGAAGCGTTGTGAGCGTCTTCTCCAGGGTTTCACGACATATCTGCCCAAGCACATCTGCTGGATTGACACCACCACGATTGGGCAACTTTGTCTTCTGGCGGGTTGATATTTCATCGGCAGATTCCTCTCCCTCGTCACCGGAGCCTGCAGAGTTATATATGGCACTCAAAGCAGATGCATTGGCCAACCGATGGACTGTGACGGGAACGGTTTCTCCACGAGGCTGTCTGTCTCTGGGCTTACGCTGAGATCGCGTCTCCTTATTACTCTCGCCCTCTGGTTGTTCTTCCACAGGCTCAGTCCTCGATATGGACTCGGAAGTTGATGCACTCTTTGATTTCTTTCCAGATCTTCCACGAGCCTTGGAAACAGGTCCTGCCTGCGTTTCTGGCTCGACTTCGACTTCAACTTCGGCTTCAGCGTTGGCTTCGGGCTCTTCGACTGCAGCCCGCTTGTTTTTCTTCGACCTACCGCGAGATTTCGGAAGGTTAGACTCTATCGGCGGTTCAGGTTCAGGCTCGTGCGCTGTCACTGAACTCTTGTCTTTCTTTTTAGACCTCCCACGGCCAGCCTTTGCAGAATCCAGCTGCAACTCTGCTTCCGGCTCTTGAGGTGATTCTGGCCCAGGCTCTGGTCCCACTGCTTTCTTCGCCTTGCGACCCCGACGAGGAGGTCCGGCTGGCGATTCAACTATAATATCCGCGGGGTTCACTTGATTCTCTTTCTGACTTTCAGCCTCAATGGTCCCAGTATGTTTACCAGCAAGTGACAGCCTACCGCGACCACTTTTGGGTTTTGACGCTTTCTCTGGTTGTACAGTGTCCAATTCATTGCGTTCAATCTCCGCAGCTATCGATTCTTCCACGGCATGTGATTTTGACGGATGTCGTTCTTCAACATCCCGACTCTTGTTTGTCCGAGATGGCCCCGAAGTCGACTGATATGACTCGGGATCGCCTCTAGCTCCAGAATCGACTGAACCACCCTGGCTTTTGGCCTTGGTCCTCGACTCGTTGACTTTTTGCTTAACGACTTTCAAGGAAATTGGGGAGGCGGAGGTTCTCAGATCTTTTTTAAGCATCCGTGCTTTGGTTGATTGTGTTGCTTTTGCGATTCGTGGCGATTGACTTTTTCGTAGCCTGGTTGGGGGTACTGTAGATTCGACGGTAGCTTGATTTTCATCTGATGGGGACTTTGGTGCGTTATCAGATGCAGCAACCTCCGCAGTCGGTATTGGAGAAGTATATGATGCTACATCCTGTTCTGATATCTGTGGCTCTGTCCCAAAGAGAGCAGGTGCCCTAGTCTCTGTGACCGTGGCGTTGGTCTCGAGGGGTTCGATCTGCGCTTGTTCGTTGGGTTGGGAATATGGGAAAAGCAATAGCTGAGGTTGAAGCGCGAGAGTTTCAGCTGCTATTAGGGATGCATCTGGAGCAGTCAGAACTTCGGCGGTGTGGCTTGCTGGTGCCTCGGTAGTATCTGTGTTGCCATTTGGCACAGTTTTCGGTTCGCTACCCTGAGAGTCTGCGGTATTTCGCGACAATGTATATGCTGTATTTTCTGAATGATTCAAGTTTTATTAGTAGGTATGTCACAAGAAATGGCCTTAGGCTTTGCATTCACCGATTCGTCTCCGTTTGTTGCTGCGCGGTTCTCCAGGCCTGTCATCTGATGGTAAATCATAAGGCGAGGGACGCGGTGGAAGGTTGTTGCGCGCACTTCTTGGTGTACGCTGGGAAAACGATGTCAAGTGAGATTCGACCTGCGAAGAGGCATTGGCACGCGGTGGTGTCGCGACCTTCGGCGCGGGTCGTGTTTGCGAAGCTTTCTCTGGTTCGGGAAATAGAGAAAGCCCAGCAGAGGCTGAGGGGCCAGGTGCCGCAGCGCCGAATGAGAATCCAAAGTCTACATCTTTGATCTTGCGCCTATATCGCACATCAGCTCCAAACTCTCAGTTCTCATGTTATGTTTCGCGGGGTAGAACGCGTACCCAGCTCCGCGCTGTCGCATCTGCAGCCGCTCCTCTCGCGCTATGAATCAGTAATTAGTAACGATTTTACCATTTCTGTCGATGAAATATACATACTAGAAGCCATAGTGGAGGAACGGCGTCAAAAAAGACGCGTCGTGTTGATGATGGAAGAAGACAACCGGTCGGGCCAACTATCGGGGTCGATCCATTTTTGACCGAACTTCTCCGCAGCGTCCTGAATAAATCAATTACCCACGCTCTCACCTTGATATTACTCAAGAACCATTCACAATGGGTTGGTTCTGGGGTAGCAGCCAAAATGATCCCGTCAAGGAGCTCGACCCTAGTCTCCGAGAATACCTCAAACAAGAGACTCCCGACAAATATGTGCCTGCGCCTGATGTGAAGCAACCAACCTCTACAACGCCATCCGAGTCAGAGACCGATCCCTCGAAGCCCAAAGTCCCCCCTCAGTCGCTTTTTCAAGATGGTCGCTATGCTGATCTGTGGAAGACCTATAATCCCACCGCAAATGCTGATGAAAGCAACGGAGTTCACGGAGCAGAGCGGGTGATCGAAAAGTTCAAGGCTCGTGGGGATACAGTGCAGCGGGCAGCAATGGAGAACTGTGCCTTGGAGCACGAGGATTTGACCTTCTGCTTCCAAACTGGTAACTGGAAAAAGCAAATCGAGTCTCGCTTGACAATGTGCGCAGCGGAGAATGCCACCTTCTCCCGATGCTTTACAACCCAGAGTGTGAGTTTCCCATCTAGATCTTCTTGGTCAAATGCTAACATCAAATCAGAAATTCCTCCAAGCCCTTGGCTACGCCTCAACCTTCGAGTATGACGCCGAGAAAGAGGAGCGAATTCAGTTGCACGCCGACAAGCTCTATCATCAAATGCTAGACTACGAGAAGCGCGTAGAGGAGGCTAAGGCAGCTGGTGTTGAGCCACCACCCCTTCAATCGCTCTTCCAGACCGAACAAACAAAGACTCCGGTAGCTCAGCCCAAATCAAGTTCTACCCTTGAGATTCCAGGTGGCGAGGCTATCCCAGAAGGGTTCAAGCCCTCTAAGGCGCTGCACAAGCTCACACCACATGAACGAGAGCTGGAGATTCGAGCTCACAATGCTCAGTTAAAGCAGCATACACTCTACGCCGAAGAGGCCAGTCCCTTCATGAAATCCCAGGAGGATGCGCGCGAGAAGAGAAGAGAAAAGGCTGTAAGCATGTTCGGCAAGACACTTGGGAAATGGATGTCGTAGCTGTTCGAGAACCTGTATTATATACGATTTATCTTCTGCTCTATATGATTTAAAAGCAACGGCGTTTTGGAGACTTTTATCTCAAGGCCGGGACCTATGCTATGATATTTTAAGGACCTCTTATATCCTCAATTAATCTTTGCATTTGTACCTAGGTATCAATTAAGGTTGCCTATAACTATGAATGTCACACAATCAGTAACGAGGAATCAAGAACTATACAAAATTGAAAATATGGAAATTAAGTGACCTTGAACTTCCCTGTTGTGCCGTATTCTATCTAATCGGCAGGAAACCATTTTCGGTCGCGTTCAAGTTCCCGGCAAACAATCGAAGCATCATCGTTAAGAACTCACTTCTCACTTTTACTCTTCCTTTTCTCCCTCTCTCTTTCCCAACCTTCCCTTCTACTTCTTAACTGCTTCGCTCTTTCTACTTACACTACTTCTCTTTCCCCCTCATACTACCCTTCTACCCACCTTATCCGACCTGAACCCCTCCCCCATTACGCCAAACCTGAGAACCCTGAGAAACCTGAGCCGTTAGACTATTTGTGCCTACTTTACGAAAATCATCCCAAACATCTTTTTCGTGGGATAGGCAAACCCCCGAGACTCGCTCACTGAGCAGCTGTGCTCACCATGAAGGTCTCTCCGCTGCTCATTTCATGGCATAATGAACATGCCCCCATCTATTCCGTCCATTTTGACCCCAATGGCAAGGGTCGCCTGGCAACGGCTGGAAAGTAAGTCCGATTGATGAATGTCATGTTGTGAAATTTGGCTAATTTGAATCTTTCAGTGACAACAACGTTCGAGTACGTCTCCGCATCTCCCTTCGTCCGATCCTACCGTTCCAAATAATTCTTGTCTAATCCAGTTCTATAGCTCTGGAAGGTTGAATCCACCGGCGACGAACGCAAAGTTACGTATTTGAGTACTCTGATCAAACATACACAAGCTGTCAATGTGGTTCGGTTTTCCCCGAAAGGTACGCCATCTTCTGCTCCGTTCAACGGGGTGATAATCTGACTTACGTGTAGGTGAGATGCTTGCATCTGCCGGAGATGACGGCAATGTCTTGCTTTGGGTACCATCGGAGCTCCAACTACAGAATACGCTGGGCGAAGATCGATCAGATGACAAAGAGACCTGGCGAGTAAAGCACATGTGTCGCTCGTCAGGTGCTGAAATCTATGATTTGGCCTGGTCCCCCGATGGAGTCTTTATCATGACTGGCAGCATGGATAATATTGCTCGAATTTACAATGCTCAAAATGGTCCGTGGCTAATCTGACCTTCTAAATTTATATCCAATCTTGTTGCCATTATACTAATTGATTTCTACAGGTCAAATGGTGCGACAGATCGCAGAGCATTCTCACTATGTCCAAGGTGTGGCCTGGGATCCGCTTAATGAATTTGTTGCGACTCAGTCATCGGATCGATCGGTCCACATCTACAATTTAAAGACCAAGGATGGCCAGTTCACTTTGACACCTCATGGTAAAATCATCAAAATGGACATGCCAGCCAGACGTATCATATCTAGCAGTCCTGCTCCCCCAGATCTAACGGGCCGCAACAACCTTTCAATTGCTTCACCCGCTCCATCTACTCCCGGGACTCCTATGGCATTCCACCTTCCTATGGATCCTCCTCCAGTTTCTCACAGCCGGCGTTCGTCGTTTGGTTCGTCTCCGTCACTTCGACGCTCGGCGTCTCCTGCTCCTTCTCTACCCTTGCCGGCTGTAAAGCCTATGGAGGCCTCTTCCCCAAATCTCTTTGGAATGGGTGTGAAGAACGCAAGCTTATATGCCAACGAAACCTTCACTTCGTTCTTCCGACGATTGACCTTTGCACCTGATGGGAGTATGCTGTTCACTCCGGCAGGACAATTTAAGACCACTCATATTTCTCCCAATGATCCCTCGAAGACAATTGACGAAGTAATTAACACTGTCTACATTTACACCAGAGGCGGCTTCAATAAGCCCCCCATTGCTCATCTTCCAGGTCACAAGAAACCGTCGGTTGCTGTCAAATGCTCTCCGATATTTTACACGCTGAAATCGGGTTACCAGCCCGCTAAGAGGATCACACTGGATACTTCCTTTGGTGAGGAAATGTTCCCGCCTCTGCCAGAATCTATTGTTGCTCCACAAGTATCGTCCACAAGCCAGCCACCCATGGACCCTCCAACATCCACCACCAACAACAGCGATTCTAGCAGTCAAAACCTGTCTGTAGCTGCATTTGCGCTTCCATACCGCATGGTCTATGCTGTAGCCACACAAGATGCTGTTTTAGTATATGATACTCAGCAACAGACTCCCCTGTGTATTGTGAGCAACTTACACTTTGCCACTTTTACCGATCTGACTTGGTAGGTCTCCATCCTTGCTTTAACGCATAGTACTTTTGAACCAGAAATTAACCGCATATAGGTCAACTGATGGCCTGACCTTGATTATGAGCTCCACCGATGGGTTCTGTTCAACCCTTGCATTCGCACCTGAGGAGCTAGGTCAAATTTACAAAGGAGTGACTGGACCGAACTCTGTTACCACCAACCCACCCAGCTCGGCCGCGACATCTCTGCAATCTCCCGTTAAGCCAACCTTTGCACCTGCAGGCACGGGACCGGCGGCACCAACCCCATCACAGGCCCCGCCAGCTAGTCCTGCGCGCTCCAGCTCAGTTTGCTCAGTCACAACTCAGTCCTCCCAGCAGGTAGTGAACAACCCTACACCGACACTCGGATCCGTCCCTTCAGTGACTGCAACACACTCAGCGAACCTTGCAACGCTACCGCTGACCACACCCCCGCAAACCCCCTTGTCAACCCCCTCACAGAGTGGAGCCGGCGTCCCAGCGCCCGTTTTAGGAAAACGGGACGCATCGTCTTTTAGCGAACCTGAAAAACAGGAGAGCAAGGCCCAACAGCCGAAGAAACGCCGCATCGCCCCGACTTTGATTTCAGCCAGTACCGATTCAGCATCAACATCAAAGGATGGCGCTGGTCCGACTGGGGCCTAAACAACCACAGTTTTGCTTCCGATCACGATTCACACGCTATTTCCAACTTTCACGGTCTTGATTCACCATTTTCCAATATCCCTATCTGCTTGGCTCATCAGCCTGCTCTATCTCATTATCTCCTTTTTCGCTCTCATCTTCGAACTGATACCCTGTGACCTTGTCGGGTGGATGTTCTTTCAACTTTTATTCGAATTCTTGGACCGATTAACGTTCTTCTACATCCAAAAGACTTTGTGGCTGTAATGTTCCTGTTCTCATATTCTTCCGGGTGCAACATGAATCCTGTTTAGGATGCATTGTTGCCGGGGTTATATTCTTACTTCAATTTTGCTGGAGTGTTTCGTTTGTTACAGTACGTGGCATACTGCAGGTGCTTACTATGAGATATTTTATTATTATTTTGGAGGTTTGAAATTGCTAGGTTACAAAAAAAAAAAAAAAAAAAAACTGTAAACTATTGTACCATCTTGTTTCAATAGTCGTTTCCATTTCTGTAGGTTTACCTCGTCTAGTTGGAAAGTGAGTTACCTATTTAGTCAATGACTAGCCAATCCTCGTTAGTTCCAATGAGAGCGTGATGTACACGTACTTATGCTAGATGGAATGAAGATCAAGTAATACTTGGGAGAGTAAGAGACACTAATAATAGTCCTAACAAAAGGAATGAAACGATAAAGATGAGCTGTTCCCTATGTGAAGTCTCGAAAATTGAGAGAATGTCAGAAGAAGAGCGCACTGTCTTCAAAAAAGGCGGAAGTCCAAAGAAGAGGGGTATTGTGTGACCTAAGAATGATTAAAGGGGGGTCGAATGCATGTAGTCGAGGTAATGATGCTCGTGAATTTGGTATGTGCGGGATTAACAGAGGAAGGTAATTTAATCGAGGTAAATTTCGTCAAGTTTATTCGCGTTATGAGCGTTCGTGAGGGCATTTTGAAGGGAAGAGTACCAGGCAATTGCAGTATGAGGAGCCTTGCGCTTGAGTAGGAACTTCCAGTTGCGCTCTCTGTGCGCTGGAGACATTTCCAAGGCTGCATTGATAGCGTCGGCGCATTGCTTGTAGTCCCATGGATTGACGAGCAGCTCATAGCCATGGAAGATGGATGCACTACCTGTGAACTCGCTTAAAATGAGGGAGCCATGCTTTTGAGAGGTGAGCTCGCCGTCTTGGCAGTGGATGAAGTCGTGGCTAGTCAGGTTCATTCCTTCGCGGAGGTTGGTGGTCATGAAGATCTCGGCCACGTTGAGTAGAGCGAGGAGCTGGGAATAACTGATGTCTTGTTGGAGTAAGACGAGGGGCGAGTGTGTGAGTGTTGAGTAATGGGAGTTGATTCGCATTGTGATCTTTGATACCTGAGCTTCTAATTCAGGAATTTCTGTTGCCGACGATGCGATCTGGATCAAGACGACCTGTTTGAAATGGATCAGTATCACCTTGAGCTCTTTTTTTTTTGCCTTATTCCTACATTCTCACGCCACTTTGGGTAGCTTTCAAGAAAGATTTCAAACGCTAGAAGCTTCTGCTTGATGCCACCTGGAGAATCAAGTCGGTCCCGAGCCACAATCAATCGCTTGCCCATATACTTCTCCATGATGGTTGGAATCCAGTCCTTGACTTCAACAGAATGACGCAACACGTTGAGTGACTGATAATCAATCCCTAAAGGAATGCTCTTCACATGAACGAATCGACTACCAGCATGTACTACATCAAGCGAGACTTGGAGTCTTTGAAGCTTACTGCAGGTGTTGATAAAGTGCTGACAGTACTCGTCCGTCTGGAATGCAATCAGATCAGCACCAAGAAGACCGTCGAGCAAGGCATTGCGCGGAGTCAAGCAGCGAAAGATCTCCGATGAAGGAAACGGTGTGTGCAGAAAGAATCCAATCTCGGCTTCGGGCAACATCTTTCGAAGTAGACCAGGCAGCGCTAAGAGGTGGTAGTCGTGGATCCAGACGGTATCTCCTGGACACCAGTGAGTGACAATACTGTTGGCGAAAGCCTCATTCACTTTGAGGTACTGTTTCCAAGAGTAGTCCTCGTACTCAGTGTGTCGAGGGGTCTCTTGCATCTGGTAGTGGAGAGCAGGCCAGAGTACTGAGCGGCAGAAGTGCGAGAAGTGGCCCTCGAACTCACTATCGCCCACGAACACAGTGAGCGATTCATAATCGTCCTTCAAAGTCTCACTGATAAGACTTCTAGTGGTTTCGGTCAGGGAGTCGGTGGGCATGCCCAAGGTTCCAACCCACATGGTATCTTCAAGGATACCAACGTCTTCGGCCGCGTGGATGGCATTCTGCAGACCACCATGTCCTTGTTCAGCGGCCTTCACTACCCAGTCTACAGTGGAAAGAATTGCGGTAGGGCTGCAATGATCGGGGTCGGACGAGCTTTGTGTACCGTCACCATTCAGAAAAGTAGACTCCCGAGGTTCACGTGGAAGGGTCAGAAGAGATGGCTGAGGGTGGGCCATTGCTTTTGAACGAGGCTGGTTGAATTTGCGACTGCGACCCCACCGCACGTCGCGCGGTTCATTAGGACCGGGTCCACTGGGATCATCTGCAATAGGAATCTCTCCTGCCATATGCGATGCGTAAGCCTTGAAGATCTTCTCATGCTCTGTCGCAGCTCCGGGTGTCAGGGACAGACTGCCAGATCTGAGGCGCGACTTGCGAATATCACGTCCAGTGATGGGTAGAGGACCCGAGCCATCGTGGGCAGCATAACTTTGCGACGATTTGCGGCGTCGTCGTCTTCTCACAACGTCAGTTGACTGGAAGTCAATAGTGTAAGGAAGAAACCTGGATATCGTGTTAGTTTCGGGATTAAAGATTAGGTATTCGGGTCTATTGGGTCTAAACTCACAGAGAGGCAATGAACACCGTCATCACGGGGAACCTAGGAGGAGAAATGAAGATGGACAAGGTTGAGTTCGTGGAGAGAAAAGAATTCAGAAGTTGAGAAGAAAAGGAATTCGCAGTATCAGCCGAGGCAACTGCGTCCTAGTTAATGGGTCATTCGGTTAAATAGGTAGATTCATTGTATTTGGAAAGCGAAAATTGGAAATAGTGAGTGGTGAATAGCCAGATGTATATAGAACGCATCCTAAAACTTCCGGTTGGCTGATAAGATCAGTTAACATCTCACATTGAGCGACTTAGTTATATCCTATAACAACACCATGCAGCTTCGGAACCGTAGGATTAACTCGGATCTTCCTACCCCGCCACAAGTTTCTCGGGGATGTTACAGCCTGGCGTTACCCTAAAGACCGTGCTTCTCCGGGGTTTCCCAATGCAGTTGATTTGTAGTATTGCCTGATGGGGATAGTCCTTCCAAGGTGAAGAGAACATTCCAAGGTTGGATAGTTGGTAATCGGCGTCTATTCTAGAGCACGCTCTTGCTTTTGGGTTCAATGGAAAACATAGAAGTTAATATGGTCAGAGCGATGGGAAGTAATGAGAAGGAAGAGAAGGAGAATGAAGAAGAAAGCGGGGGATTGAAATATGATTGACACCTGAAGGAGAAGGTGGAAATGCGGAGTAAAAACCTTAGACTCATATTTAGACATATAGTTGACAACTATTCACTACGTAGGTAAATATTTACTTTAATTAACTTAGCCTTCATCATCTAGGTATATGGACATGTTCATAGGTGGAGATGGGGTATTTGTACTAAGAAGATGCGAGGTCCATAGGGCAGGATGCTAACCCTTGTTTGGACATTGTGTCCGTAAGGGCTATCCATAGTGGAGAAAGGATTATACTATGTAAGCAGTATTTCCCTCAAATTAAAACTAGCAGTCCTCTGTCTAGAATGCTATAGACATAAAAGACCATGTCTGCTGAGTTATTTGTGTTTCGATGTACGCAATTCAGTCCTGATTTTGTAGCCAACACAAAGTTCAACCGTTCGACCGTTCAACCTTGGAAGGCTTGAAAACATGGAGGAAGTGGAGTCAAGGGTGACGCGGAGGTGTAAAGCTAACGCGTTGTAAGTCTTGAAGTGGATCTGAAAAAGAAAAATCCAAGAATCGTCCATCTCCAATAATCTTGGAAACTAGTAATTCAAAATATATTGGACGCGAATGACCTGTACATCGTCACTCTTGGCTCGATGCATAGGGCACAGAGTACATGCCCGTGCAGTTGTTCGAACATGAAGTCTGATATTAGCACGTAATACTACCCAATTAGATATGGCGCCACAAGAGATATTCCAAGGTTCGAAGATGAAGCTGCTGCCTAGATAGGTTAGCACAAATTTAGGACCAATCAAGTACAAGATAATGTGGGCAAATTCCCCGAACTCAGGGTGAAGACCAAAGCATGAAACTGAGGGCTAAGCCTTTTCTATATAATCAGAGTTATATAACTCAAAGTACAAGACTTGGAAGATTTGGAAGATTTCAAGTTTGTTTCATCTATCGAACTTGGCGGTATAGTTATCATATTGAATCTGGATTGAGGTATGATATATTGATATCGTCATGATAGACACTGCCACCTGTGCAGTTACTCTGTTTGGAATGTTGAAAATGCGCGAGCCATGGATTTTTCAGGGTCCAATGAATGATGAATCTGGAAACCCTTGGAAGGGTATGATATAGTAATCACTAACTGTGTAAAGTACTGTGTAAATATGGTATAACTACCAGATTAGTAGTGACTAGGTATTGAGCTGCCAATCAAACAATATAGATAAACATGTATATGAAGTAAAATGTGAGAGTAAGATGCGATGACAAAGGATGGAGTCGAAAAGGCCTAGTCCGATGCCAAGACGGACGCTTGCGTGGCGGAACAAAATGAATAAAATTTACAAGTGAACGCGCGTAATCTTTACCATTTGGACCATTTTGACTTGACCATTTTTCAAGGCCTATATTCCCTCCACTACTGTTGCATTCTCCATCTCAGTAATACTTATTTGAAAATAACAATATTTTAAAAAATAGCTTAATATTTATTTTCTGTGGAGATTGACGTGTTCAAAAACCATGGAGTAATGTCCTTTTTCTTGGCTTTTTAAGGGCTTACGCACGCCTTCTCAGTAAATACGTATCCTACCCTATCGAGCCGCGTAACGAACTTCGGAAACGGGCCCCCTCCCCTACATCTTTTCCAATCCCCTTATCCTCCCTTTCAACCTTCCAGTTCATCTCATCCCATCCAGCTTCTCTGGGTTCACATCCACAGAATTTAGAGTCTGCCTGACTTGAGAAAAAAGACCATGGCGGACAGACATCATCAGGCACCTGCCTCGGACAACAGCTACGATGCCTCAACACTCAGTCGCGAGTTCGAACAATTAATGCGCAACAGACGATTTAATCAACTTCAACAATCCAGATCTCGAACTGGCTCACCTGCTCCGGTCGCTAATTCAAACCCCAACTATTCAATCCCACCACCCTCAAGAGCACCTCCGCCTCCTCCCTTGAGAGCTTCAGCACAACAACCAACTACACAATCAGCATCAAAGCCTACACTTCGTGGCCTTCCCATCATGCCATCGCCTCCCCAGGATGCTACCTCTACCACATTCTTTAACTTTTTAAATGTTCTATCCGTGACTCCCACGAAATACGAAAATCCAGGTCTATTGGACGATGCCCTTTCAATCATTCCACTCGATCGGTTGTACTCGGAAGCAGAGGAGGAGAGCCAAATTATGCAGGCGAAAGCCGCCAGTCTAGGAGAGAAGCCGGACTGGGGATACCAGGATTGTGTTATTCGAGCATTATTGAGGTTCGTACAGGGTGCTCTAGATTCCAATAGCCATGCCACTTTCTTCACCCCCTCTCTCGCCTATATTAACCCTTATTTTACAGATGGTTCAAGCGATCCTTCTTCCAATTTGTCAACAACCCCCCATGCTCCAGATGCCACATGCCCACAATTTCCCAGGGCATGACGCCCCCAAGCCCTGATGAAACGGCCCGCAGCGCCACCCGTGTCGAGCTTTACCGATGTTCAGCACCGAGTTGCGGTGCCTACGAACGATTCCCCCGATACTCAGATGTGTGGCAATTGCTACAGACACGGCGAGGCCGTGTGGGAGAATGGGCCAACTGCTTCAGTATGTTCTGCCGTGCGGTCGGGGCCCGCGTTCGCTGGGTATGGAACTCAGAGGACCATGTCTGGACAGAGGTGTACTCTGACCATAACAAACGATGGGTGCATGTGGATGCCTGCGAGGAAGCATGGGATCAGCCTCGTCTCTACACTGAAGGATGGCGCTGGAAGATTTCCTACTGCATTGCCTTCTCCATTGAGGGAGCGACCGACGTCACTCGCCGCTACGTACGCAACTTTGCCCGGAATGGAAAGCCACGCACCCGTGCGCCCGAAGAAGTTGTTCTCTGGTCGATTTGCGAGGTTAGACGAAAGCGCCGCGAAAACATGTCCAAGTCGGATCACGCCCGCTTGATCAAGGAGGACGAACGTGAAGAACGGGAGTTGCAGGGCTACACTGCCTCTGCTCTCGCCACAGAGATGAAAAACCTATTCCCAAGCAGTCTCCAGGGCGAGCAACAGAAACACGCCGAAGCTCGCCAGGAGGTTTCTGCGGAATGGCTCACTGCCAGAGGACATGGCCAGTCAGGGCCTGACCGGTCTCCTGGGCGGTAAGCCCTACAAACGGAACCTTTCATCCTCTCCTTTCTTTTGTCCCTTGGGATTTTGAAGAAACAAAAAAAAAACGATTGTATCAAATCGACACACACACACACACCCACCCAATCTGATCTACTAGACTCCAGTCATGGGAATGATCGCATCTCCGGCGATGTGACCACCCTTAGACCGATCAGAGGGCATGACTGTCGCGCTGGATCTCCCCGCGTCGGCGTGAAATAACGCCGTGGGTTCAGTTCAGACACCGAGGCGCGACCGCGATCCCAAAGTTGACTCGCAATAAAAAAAAATGCTGAGCACAAAAACAAACACCGATTATCCATCAATCACAAATTTTATACCCCACATGACCTATCGACACTTGTCACGATCATCTTTCCTTCTTATTCTTTTTTCTCTCCATTTTTTGGATACAACAGCCGTCGAGGAAGTGATTCCAACGCATTTTGCATTCTCACGGGTCTACAAATAATCGGTTTTCATTTCTTCCTATTCGCATGGCATTTGGCTTGGGCATAGCTTCTTTTATTTTTCTTCTGCCAGTAATGGTTTCTTTCTTAATTGGGGTTCCATTTTACCTTCCATGTCCTTCTCCCTTGGCTTAGGGCTTGCTATCCAATTTCTTCACCTTCTATTCTTATTCTATACGAGGATCTATCCCACTTTCAATACCATCTATTATTTTATGCATCAAGCTCTCCGTAAGAAATGACCCTATGAACATTACAAATCATCTACCGCACACTGAAATACTAAGCTTTTGTACCCAAAAACCAATCCTCAGTTATAATTTACGCATTGACAAAAATTCCCGCTATGCCCAATATACTGGAGACAAAGTTTTCTCCTGAGATGACATTATGTCAAGCGTTCTGACTCTTATTTCAGTTGCTGCGTGCAATTCAGGCACGGGTTGAATGGGGTCCGAGTCTATTTTTAGTTGTAGATTCCATGGTTCTATGTGGGTCTTTATATGGAATCTAGCATTTTTGTACGTACTTCCATGATTTCATATTTAATCAGCGCCTAAACGTGAGGTTATCACCTTATTGTTCAATTAAATCAATAGGCCATTTGTATCCGTAGTTGGTACCCTCTTAGCTCAGCTAGGAATTCGAAACAGAGTATAATGCATCCGACTTGGTGAAGTATAGCCTTGGAAAACAGTGCCTATACACATGGACTCTTAACTTATAGGTAAAATACGAAGGGGGAAACCGCCTAGAAACAACCTCGAAGCCGTCCAAGGTTAGAAGAGATGAAAATTGGCATTGGCAGATATCCAGGTAGCAGGGCAATATGGTATGTGCATACATAGCAGCAACGCTAGAAGATTCCATTCAACCCGAGCTATAGGAAATGCAACAGTCGATCCCCCTCCGCCGCAGATCAACACTTACTCGACTCAACTCAGGCATCCCATACGACTGACCCTGTAGTCTAAGTTCCCACGATGCACGCGCGAACGAGCAGGAAGGAAGACTGGTCTCCGAATCCGACGAGCTACTCGAGTCTAAACTCGACGATTCCTCGTCCGAACTGGATTCCACAAAACGTGCTGCCGGCTTACCCTTCGAGCCTGGACCCGGTCCAATCCGACTGATCCAGCCCTTGTTCCGCAATGGCGATGACGATGGCGATGACGAAATATGCAGCGCGCTCAGCGGGTCAAGAAACACAGGCAGTCTCTCCACAGGCTCACTGAACCAGCGACTTCCCAGGACCAACACGAAAGTCTTCAATGCAGGTAGACTAGCGAGGGCGTGACAGGTTTCGTGCCACTGCACCCGTCCTGCGGAGACGTATACTGCACGCACGGGGTCTTTGGTCGGGAGCCAATGGCCGTGAAACGACCAGCGGAGCTCGACATTTTGGATGCAGTTCCAATGGTCAGCTAGGATTGTTGGGCGGAGGTAGGGTAGAGACCAGGGGTTACTGAATTCAAAGGTGTTGAGTGTGTAGAGGAGATGTATAGATTCGTGATATCTTCCATACTGTCAGTACTGTGAGGTTGTAAGGGAAAAGTATATGTCCAAACATTTGTCGGCATGTCAATGCTAGTCCTAGCAGTATACCATTGCCACGAGAGTCGCGCAGATCCCCCACTTTCGCGGGCTGGGAAATTCCCCCGCCCTGACAAATTTTGCATATCTCATGATCGTTGACCGGACACACTACATGACCGAGTCGCCGGCGACTACGCTGGATAATATGTAGACGGTGACCACCTTGTACGTACTCCCATATCATCAGCCGGAGTTCAGGCGAGAGGCGCGTCAGTAGTTGGCACTGGAGTTGTATCTGCGTCTGTGATTTGACTTCTGCAATGCGGCGGGAGCGCGGGAGGGGAGCAGGCTTGTCGGCTACCAAATGCACAAGAGTAAGACCTGGATATTAGCCTAAGCTCTACCCTGGATGATCTATCATTTTTTCGGATAGAGTCATTGGCGGGTATTGGAGTTGGTACAACTGACTCTGGTACCGCTGAGCGAGCACATCCTCCCAAGAAAAAACGCCCCGTTTGATGCGTGCCATTTATGCTTTAGGAATAGGAATGAGGAGAAGAATTGAAGGAGAAAATGAGGGAATCGGGAGATACTTGAACTTTAGACAATAGGGGATGGTGCACGGAACTTGAGGCATTAAATGTTCGGGGAAATCGGCTCAAGCCATTGTCAGCATGAGCCTAGCCTAACAGGAATGTCGATTCCATCTGGACGGACAGCATTGGGTCAAAGAAACAAAGCGCAGTTCGACCTCGCATGATGTGATTCCATAGAGTCGGTGAGCGATAAAGAATAGGAGGATCCCAAGATAACGAAAACAACTCTGACTAAATTTGACCCAATAGTACGTATATCTAACATACTTTCATTTTGCTTACTTTGTGATCTATCTTACAATTAGGGACATATTATGATCATCCTATTGCATTCAATTTATCAATGATAGCGGAATTGATCTCTCTATTTTGGATTTTGGATTGTCTAAATTGCCTCAGAGGCTCAGAAACAATGACAGCCGCAGGAATCATCATCAATAGTGCTGGCTGGAGAGGAATGTTCTTTGGTGGCGCTGACACCGGTGTTGGTGCTATATTTAGCACTGGGGACTGCAATGGCGCTGGGAGTAGCAGCGGCAGTAGCAGCGACAGTAGCAGCAGCACTAGCGCCGACAGTGTAACCAACACTGAAACCAACGCTGGCGCCGACATCGATACTAGCACCGGTATCGGTACTGGTACTGGCACTGGCACTAGCACTGGAAATGGTATTGGGAATAGCACTGGCAGTAGCACTGACAGTAGTTGGTACCGCAACGGCAGTTGGCACGCCGGAGACCGCACTCAGAGTGTTAATGGGACACTTCGTTTTCAACCCAACTGTTAGCGAAGCATATCCCTCAGGCAGAAGCTCGTCAATAGTCTCTGGGGCAGGCAGCACTCCAACATAGGCGTTGAAGTTGTAGATACCGGCCTGGCAAGAAGTAACAATATCTCTCATGCTAGTTCCCGACAACACAGTCTCGCCAGATCTGGTGACCGAGAAACTTTGTTTACCGACACCCATGGGCACTGAGAAAGCAGCAATACCAGCCGGTGCCAAGAAAGTCTTCTCATGACTGCCTGATTTCACCAAGAGTTGTGCGGGTTCCTTGAGCAGCGAGACAACAAAGATCTCATCGTTCATCGTCTCCCATCCGTCCGGCCTTCCCTGGAAGTAGTTACCGCTGGAGTTGTCTGCAGCTCCCATTGTCGTGTCGGTTGCGTCGCAGTCGGTGTTTCGGGGCGAGGGACGGTACCAATAGACCAGCTTCTCTTCGGTAATGTATTGGCCTGCATCTAGACTGCCGGCCTTGTAGGCGGATATGAATGGCTTGGCCATTTCCAACCAACCTCCGTGTGGCCTAATTTGAGTATCAGTATTGAGCATTCAGTCAGGTGTAGTTAGGTGACTTACATATCCATAACCCATTTAGACGCGCCATCATCAGTATGAGGCGATGACAGTGGACCAATATAGTGCGACTCTCCATAATCGTTCCAGGTAATAATCTCTACAAATCGAGGCTGCAGAGTGAGAACCTCTCGCCAACGGTTATACCAGAGCAAGTCCGATGGGAACACCCAGTTCTTGCTGTAAGAGACCTCATCGCCAAAGTGGGTAGAGAACCATGCCGAGACCGCTATAGTGCTTTCTTAGTTTCTTATCACATTAGCTGTGGATATGGAGATCTTACGTGCGATATAAGGCTTGCCGCTTAGAGCACTAGCGTAGGAAGTGTCACCAGCGATCACGGAAATATCTTTGCCTGCTGAAGGGGCCTTGTTATTGCCGTTGCTCGGCCACCCCATCCAATTGAAAGCGGCATCAACGTTATCAAAATTGCCCTCTCCAGGATGGAAGTTCGGGGCGAAGAAGAGTTCTTGGCCAGCCGAGGAGACCATGGCATCGACATCGACACCATCGCCCGAAAAAGAAGAAACAAAAACTTTGCCATCAACCATGAGCTGAGCGGACTCACTGGCATACTTCTTGATCTTGGTACCGACGGCACTTCCCTCGCTGGTGGACCACCAGTTGAAGTCGAAAGACAGAAACACTTTCATTCCATTTTTAGCAGCGGAAGTATAGGCATATTCCAGCTGGTTATCAGAGTAGGAGTCGGTTCCAATGTTTAAAGCAAAAGCATCGATGCCAGCATCTTTTGCGCGGATCATGTCATCATCATAGTCTGCGGAGCTCTTGCGATTGCTCACGATTCCAACCTACAAGATATTAACATGAAATACGGGGAAGTTGTTCAAGTTCTCAGTTCATACCATGAAATGGCAAAAGACCAGCTTTTCACCAGATGAGGTTGAGGTTGAGCGATGCATGATTGAAGAAGGTCGATGGAAATGCCCATGAGCTGGGGCAGCATGGACCGGGACGGCCCAGGTCGAGGGCGCTAGTAAGCCGAGAAGTACAACCGAGACGAGCTTATGTAACATTCTATACCTGTCAGTTGAGTTGTCAAGAGCATATAAATCAATAGATTAAGCAATAGAATCCGTAGAATCAGTAAAATACGCACTTCAAAGCTCAGTTCCAATCCCCGGATAAAAAAAATAAATGAATGAAGCGAGGAGAAGGAAAAAGAATGATTGCCTCCTGGGCAAGTGAAATCAAGGGAAAAGAGAGTGAATGATTTGGTGATTCGGGAGCTTCCGTGGAGTTCCTTACATATTAGAAGGATTTTAGCATTAATTTTATTTTAGTTTATTTGTACATTGATTCCATCACAGTGCAGACTATGAAACAGCTAGAAAACCCCATTACCATGAAAGACATCTCCAAAAGTTAGCGCCGTGGCTGCGAAGAACCAATATGAAGGTGTGATTGGTGCATGGGGGTTTAGGTGATGCGAGTGGCTTGTGCCCAGATGACATTCTGATTTGCTATAGAAGACGATAAGATGGCCCTAGATTGAGGGACGCAAATTGCAATTTTACTACTCAAGGACTTTGCAAGTCCAGGGGTAAAAGTAAAGTCATTAAGGAGGATTAGCTAGGTTTCAGATATCCACTAATAAAAGTTTCCGAGATCTGACTAAAGGCTCTAGAGATATTTAGTAAGATAGATTCGTAGTAGATGGTACTGCACTTCTCGATAGCCGCGTTAATATCTCTCCTCGATATGTTTCAGACTGGGCCCTGCATTAAAGAAGTGATATCGACATGTAACAAAAAAAAAAGTCAAAGACTTCAGTAACAAAGCCAACTTAGAGCCTCAACCTTTACTCAAAATTATCATTTATCGGTGAGCGAACTTTGGAAATATCCCGATTCTTTCGTTATTCTAGGCAATTTCTGAGAGTACTCCCCGAGCAACGAGTCGGAACGACATCTAGGTTACTCTACATAGCCCACATGTTTGAAGTTTTTCGGAGCTCTTTGTTAGTGGGCCCAAAGGCCAAGACTGTCAAAGGTCGGACATTTCTTACTGAGTCATCACGTGGATGAGTTTGTTTCTAATTCCCAATTAGGCTTAGTCTACTTATATACCTCTATACTTACCTCTAGTTATCTACTCCTTTCTCTTTCCTCAAATCCATTAATGAGATAAGACCAATGATTACGAACATATATACTAAGCTAAGCAAGGGTGATGCTTGAAGTACTTCACGTTAGACAGGGTGATCTGCACTGCGCTCATTGACCAATAAAGGTGCCTTCCAACTAAAGGTTGAAAGGTTCCAAGGTTACCTAGGTAGGAACGTATCGAGAGAATTCAAGGATTCTGTGGTTTATACATAGGTGCTACCTACGGAGTATCAATCACTCCACGAGTCACTCCCAAATCCTTGTCTTGCTTTTTTCTAATCAACGGGTCCCAATCGGATTACGTCCGTACCTAGGTATTTAGTGTATTCGAAGCTATCCAACTTTATAGCTCACTCGGTCATTGGTGGGGTTATCACCCTTTGTTTTGATCAGTTCATTTAATGAAGTGTTCACCTTGTCGTTCATTTTTTGCCGCTGAGGAAAAACCCGCAACTAAGCTGTTTTGGGACAGCGCTAGACTATATACATCATCTTCACGTATACGGAGTACTAGTAAAAGTAATCGATCCATGGATCTCATTCTAGTAGCACTTGATTAATCTCTTTCTACCCCCCAATATTTCTTTCTGATCCATATGCATTCGAATTCTAGTCTAGATTATCAGTAAGTTCTCAGCGCTTTGACAGGTCACGTATAGTGTGCTAATCTTGTTTAGATGAAGGTCTTCAATATTTTCCGGGATGTCTGCCCAGGTTGGGCTCTTGAGTTGATGTTCGGAGAGATCAAAGGCTTCAAGCCTTCACAAAACTACAGTAAAGAAGAGATGCGCAATCGCGTTTTCCAGTATGGTAAGGGCCTTCAGTGTCCCGCCTCCACATTTGCCAACATCATTACCCGAGAGCATCTGCTTCGAGAATCCGTGCAAGAAGAGGAATTTCTTATCACGATGCGTGAGCTATTTCTTGAGATAATCCACGATTTCGGAAGGGAAAAACCTGACCTCCGGAATACTGCCTGTGAGCTTGTAAGGCTTTTCAAGAGAAATGTTGAAGATATTGAGCGAGAAATCGAAAAGGCAAAAGCAGCAATATACCAGAGGGAGTGGCAGCTCTATCATGCTGAGATGCGTCTCCCTCGACAGCCTTTGAAGGATATGTACGAGGAAATACGAGAGGATCCAGCTTGGTATCTTCAGAAGGATCTCATCGCTCAATGTATGAGAAATGGCGGATGCTGCAGCCGAGGCTGCAATTGCTGTGAGAATCGTCTTTGGAACAGTGAAAGAAGCAAGGGAGTCGGGCATTGCACAGGCCGGTGCCAATGTTGTAGGGAATCCCAGGGTAGATGTGGTTCATTCAAGCATCAAGAAAAGCCTGGAAAAGATGGTGGAGGAGATGATAAAGAAAATGGATATCGTGACCGATATAATGAGCGTGATATTTTGATACAGGCTCTTGAGTGCCCCGATCCAGCGTGTCTCCTGAAGATGATAGAAATTCACTTTTCAAAGTTGAGACGCCCTCTTATTACGGCAAGAGTCAAAGGGAGGTTGAACCCATTCAAAAGATTGTTTAAATTCGGCCACTCGAAGCTGCCTAGGGTTTGGTGACTTTTGTTATATCAGAGATTAGACTCACAAGTCTCAAATTTCTAAAAAATGCACTCACTTTCAGCATTCACTTTCGCAAGTGATAATTTGGTCAATTCATGTAGTCTGGAATATATAGATATTCTGTGCGCTAAAAGCCTTTGAGAGCCCACGGGCCTGATATGGTATGCACGCAAATTGGTACGAAAAGTAATGTTTCAAAGTGATACGACATCAGAGTAGACACTTCACCTAGTATCGTTGAAGATCTAGAGCACTGCAAAAGCCGACACATAGCTCACAGAACTATCCATCACATCTACGATATCTGAGCTACGTTCATACCTCAGAAAATGGAACTGACCCTGTTCGCCCTCCGGTCGATTCGCCGTGACAACCTCAATTGCCGCCATGATCACTCCAATGGGGTGACGACCGCAGACAGTGTTTCCCGTACGCTCGATAGTATCAAGGAACGTTTTTGCAGACCCGCTTGCGATGGCTGTCATGGTGGCAATATCAAAGGCCGAGATACTCTCGTGAATAGCCGGCTCCTTACTCGAGATCCGATCTCGCCGATTTAGGGAATGCCCAGCCGAGACCACATTGATGCTTTCCGCAACATGAAGCGGATCAATACTGGGTTGTGGTAGCACATCGCTCGACAGAGGAAGTTCGGGCCCTGGCTTTGGTGCCTGCGGAACATAATACGTATAGCGGAAGCGGAGGCCCCAATGACAAAAGTCAGAGCTTATGACGAAGGCATTGGATGGGTCGGCTACGTATGGGGCAAGTAAAGCTCCGAATGCTTTTTCTGTCGCAGAAGATGTGCTACCGACCATGATCGGGACTAATTTAGGGTATTGTGATGTCGGAGTGTTCGGGTACTGCAATTGAAGGAGGCGGTGGATGAATGGCAGGTGCATTTCGATACTGTGTTCCTCCTCGTCAACAGACTTTTTCATAGTCGTGAAGCTGATATTTGATCCATTTGGTTTAGTGGCCTGCGCTGTTCGGAGCTTAGAAATCAGTTCGGTGTCTAGAGGGAGAGGATCGTCCGAGAGCGGGGTATAATATGATGTGACTTCGGGGAGGGCCAATGTAGAGAGTGAGTGGTGATGGGAGGGGCCCAGTATAAAGATGCGTTTCCTTGAATTCAATAGTTAGAGCCGTCAATCAACCATGCGATGAATGAGTCAGGAAAGCTTACGTCTTGGATAGATCAAGTGCCTTGTACGCATAGGCTGCACAGGGTCCTGAGTAGGCATAACCAGCATGTCTAATCCCAACATTGATCAGAAAAGGCGATTTAACCCTTGTGCTATAAAGATGGGAATACATACGGCGCAATAACTACGCGAGCTCCAGGAACCGGAAGTGAGCTGACATGGTCCATCACCTCCGGTACCTGTGCTAGCCAGTCATCCAGCTCGCCAGTGAGAGTCTGGGGACTATCCGAGTACCACGAACCGGCGTGTAAAGCCTCTCTAGCAGGCATGGTGATGTGTGATAGTTTCAAATATCAGGGTTAATAGAAGGATGCTAAAGGAGCTGAGAAGCGGGGGACATCTTGGGCAGCGTCATAGCGGGGCTCGGGGCGCGGGATGCCGAACGCTCGACTATAGGATCACACTATAAACCTGACACGCGATAAAGTCCGTCCTTATAAAAAGTGGTTGTCTATGCTATTATAGGCATGATAAGTATTAATGTTCTGTGTGGCCTCACTCGTGAGAATGAAGTGGGCTAAATACGGAGAAGCGACACTCTAATATAAAGAACTTTGTGGTTATAATAAGGCAATCAAAACTTAGATATGGGAATTAGGTTAGGTCAGGTCAAGATTCTTGACCATTCTGACCCATTTGCCCATATATAAACAAAACGAGATTGATAAATTTCAATATTGAACAGACAGAACTACAAAAAAAGAGATCAGCTTTTTCCTTAACAGATTCATAAAAGAAAAAGAGAAGTAAAGAAATCCGTTTGATTTAACAGAAGCGTCAGCACCCTGATACATCAAACGAGTTCTAAATAAAATCAGGTGGGACACAATCATCTGATTCTCTAAAGTTAAAGGGTATCCTCGTCACAGTCACTCGAAGAATAAAGAGTCATGATACAGTCGCCAACATTATCCCATTCAAAGCTGCGGCGACTACTAGTCAAACGAGTATAGTTTCTATCGCCAGACGCTTCAAATGAAGAGGTCACGCTGGTCTCACATTCACTATCGCCGTAGATAGATAATTCCCAACCGCTAGTCAGACTGGGTGCTAGCAGCATCATTGCTATAGTTGGGGTTGCCCAGCGAAGAGAGGCGTGGCCAAGCTTTGAAAACTGCATGACTGTACTCGATAGTCTTTTTCCGCTCGCGGGTATATTGATTGAGGGCAGCTTTGAGGGTTTCCGGTTCCACGTCCTGCGGAATTTCGTAGAACATATCCTGGTTGAATTTGCGATCGAATAAAAGGTATCGAATAGGATAAGGCGAGTTGGCAGCGCGGTCGATTTTGAACTCTGCAAGAATTTTATCGGTCCTGGTTCGGTTCAGATTCTTGGACGTCATTTTTTTTTTCCTTCGAGGATGAGCTAATAACCTTATCAGCCTGGTAGAGTTAGTAGAACAGGGTTATTTACCTATTTTGCTTTTTCAGAATGTTATGAACCCTTTCTACTTTGGTATTTCCTATTACAGCATTATTGCCAGGGCCGGGTCTACTCTGAGAAGAGCGACGTGGCCAAGCTTTAAATACTGGATGGCTGTACTCGATGGTGTGTTTTCGCTGGCGGGTATATTGATCAAGGGCGGCCACGGCATGCGGAATCTCGTAAAATATATCCTGCCAGAACTCGCTATCGCTTAAAAGGTATCGAATAGGATAAGGCGAGTGAGCGGCACGGTCGGTTCTGAACTGTGCAAGAATAATTTCGCTGCTGGTCTGGTTCAGATTCTTGGATGTCATTTTGTATCTGTAAGGGATTAGCCATCAACGTAGCTAAAGTTAGGTAAATTAGGGAGATTACCTAGGCTCTGTCTTGACTTCCTAATCATTAATAGCACCTTTGATATTTTAATATCTGATATGAATGCTTCAGTATTTGAAGTATGAGATGTTCGATAGCTCCAGGCAACCGAAGTATGAGCCCATTATAAGATGTGTAAAATGATGACGCGATGGCACTATTTTTTTCATATTTTATTTTTTCTGCTTTTCATCTAACTATAACTTCTCAGGTCTTTACAAAGTGGTATTGCACTAGTATGATGGCGTAATTATAGTGTAATCCACTGACTACTACGGAGCAGAGTAGCATGACTATATTTTCGCACCTAAAGGAAATTTACTTACAGTATTTCCGTATGTTTGTGCTACTAGTAGAAAAGAATGTTCAAATTTTCAAAACATGGTTTTTGTTTCAACAACTCAAGATTGTCTAACTGTCAACGTGTGTAATTTCTAGCACTTCCAATATTACCCAAGGTAGCACTTCTGAGCCCACCTTAAGAGATTTCACCCTTTAAATAATACTTTGATGCAAGTCGAGATGAAGAGAAAGAGTAAACCGACATTGAAGCCATACGATTGTTTGATGGTTATAAGTAGTAGCTGCAACTAGGACTGTAGGAAGGACCTGCATACAACAGCCAATAACATGGTCTGAAAAAAGCCAGTAACTTCCCGACGGCAAATGATTGATTGATTCATCTGATAATTATATAAAGATAAAGGAGCCATACAAACGATATAGACTCTCGAGAGGCGTGGATTCTTTCTCGACTATCATCCACTCACATACCGTGATCAACCTGTGATATTTTTATTAATCCCTGTGCTTTGGCCAGAACGAGAAGGACAAGAAATATATTTACAGCTTCAATATTATTGCCAAGGGGGTCAAGCAAAAAGGCCGCAAAGTAATTTGCATGATAGTGTGTTCGTAAGCCCGGGGCACCATGGCATTCACCGCCAGCGTCAATACCTGCCTTATGAAAAGCTTCGACGGTGGCATGATCTAGTGCGGTCTTTAGTGCATATTCTTCTCAAAAGACAAGAACCAATTGTCCGCAACTCACCAGCAGCAGTAAACCCGACGTGAATGGGGCTCTGTGTCCAATCCTCCTTCGCGGAGATCCAGAAGTCAGCATGGCCATCAGGACCAAGCCCAACTGTCCCGGGAAAGCGATGAAGCTCTATATATCCTAGAGGACATAATGTCTTTATGTACCACTGGACGACTTCCTCGAACCGAGCAGACGGTGCGGTGATGATCAAGTGATTAATTTTACCAGTTCCACCCATTTTGTATTTCTTATGATATCAGGTATTCAATAATACGGGGGATTGAAGCCTTTAATAGTGGTCGATTCAAGGCAGCAGTGCTAGGCAGTAAGAGACTAAAAAGTGGGAATTCAGCGGAGCAATTAGAGTTCCGGGGAGTATACAGGCGACGGGGTGGCAGGGTCGACCCTACCACTCTACCACCCGACGAACTTTTCGTCTTATCGGCCAATAAAAACTCTGCATTTCATTTTTTGTGGGTGATATGATACATCATAATAAGTTTGTCGGGGAGCTAAAAAAAAAAAGTCGTCGGGTAGTGGTAAATAGCCATCTTATGTGGTAATATGCAAGATTTGACTTACGGTGCTTCAACCCTACCACCCCGCCACCTAGCTTCAATTTTCGACAATTTACCAGGAATTTGTAAAATGTTTCTTCCTTCATTCAACAATGAAGCAGTCAACTCAATTCAGATTTTGACAATATATATACAACTATTAAAGGAATTGCTAAGAATAACACGTTTGAACTGGTTTTAGGAACTTATTATCATTTTTTGAAGTTTTCATCTAAAATTATAAAATTTCATAACAATATATATCTATAGACTGGATCTATTTACATCTTAGTCCTTGCTAATCGATTCCTGTCTCTTACCATCTTTTACTGATCTTTACCATTGTTTACTAGACTGAAGATTTGGGTATTTGTTTTTTTCGTCTATTTATACTTCTCTACACATATCGCTTGATTTCTAAGGATGTGATCTCTGTGAAGGAGTAAAGCTAATCTTAGATTCAGAACTAGCTAGGTCACAAACTGTGTACAAAATCCTTAAGGGATGTAAGAGAGTCGGCGTGGAGTCGAGGATGAAGGGCCCTGGAGTCACGTGATCCTACTGCAGTAAGAGTGGATAATGGGCACCAAGATCCATATGGCGGGCATCAACCCGTTACAAACAGTATACATGTAACTGTGATGTCCCGTCTTTACCGACTATTCTGTGTTAGACGATGGAACACATTCGTCTCAGACAGAAGAGCGACTTGTAGGATAAATAGCTAGTCCTTACCATGAATGAAAAACCAGACTTTACAACCACTTCAAGAGAACACAAAGATATTATAGGGGCGTAAAGCGCAACCTGTAATAGGTGTCAGAAGTGGGCGTTAGCCTATCGAATAGTTATTCCACACTTGATACAGGTGTACCGACAGTATTGTATTTAATTTGAATAGATAATAGTTGATATGTTCCAAGAAATTATAAAGTCTGGTAAATAATGGTAAAGATCAGTAAAAGATGGTAAGAGACAGGAATCGATTAGCAAGGACTAAGATGTAAATAGATCCAGTCTATAGATATATATTGTTATGAAATTTTATAATTTTAGATGAAAACTTCAAAAAATGATAATAAGTTCCTAAAACCAGTTCAAACGTGTTATTCTTAGCAATTCCTTTAATAGTTGTATATATATTGTCAAAATCTGAATTGAGTTGACTGCTTCATTGTTGAATGAAGGAAGAAACATTTTACAAATTCCTGGTAAATTGTCGAAAATTGAAGCTAGGTGGCGGGGTGGTAGGGTTGAAGCACCGTAAGTCAAATCTTGCATATTACCACATAAGATGGCTATTTACCACTAGGGTCGACCCTGCCACCCCGCCGCCTGTATACTCAGTTCCGGGTATCTGTGTCTTATCAGCACACTAAACACATGTTTCCCGTGTTTGGTGTGCCACGCCCCGTCTTTTTTCCAAATCCACGCCACAACCCTCTATTTTTTCTAAATATTATATACATTGACGCCGCATCTCTCCAAAATAGAGCATATCTCTCTCCTTAACTGCCATGAATCAATGGTTTTCGTTTCCCAATCTCCCTCATCAGGACCACTTGGAGGGGGTGAAACGCTATATGCTTCAGCAATGATAATAAGTTGTCTGTCACCACTGCGACGTCTATAGGCGAAGTTAGCAAACTCCCTCCAATATGAATTGGTCACAGTACTCACATCCAACCACTGTGAGAAGTGCAGTAATATTCAATTTTCTGAAGAGTGTGTTCTTGACGAGTAATTGTTGCTCTTCATCTATAGTGATAAACTCTCGTTGAATATAGCCTTTTTAAGACATTTCAAAACATACAAGTCCTCATTTCTGCATACGAGCTTGAAGAAATTAGATGTTCCTTAAAATTAAGCCCATTTCCTGATTATTGCTACGCAATACCTTCCAGAAGCAGATATGCTGTTTAAGAGTGCTTTTTTGAGACATCGGGACCCCGCGAGTATCTGATCTAGATCAGTATATTTCTAATACTGAAGAAGTAATCAGACTTCTCAGCAGTATCCATTATCTAGGAGTTTGATTTACTGGTCCACAGTGGTATCTTACAGAATGGCGCATTTGTGATACTCTTTCTCGTATACAAAAGCACTGTAGATCGAGATCCGAACCCCCAATGATATGATTGTATGAGTCAATTTACGCTACTTAACCCTCGCCTATTTTGTCAATACAAAAGGGCAAAAGGGGTCAACTGACCTAATATTTAAATAAAGCATATTTCTAAATAGAGACATGTACGAGAAGCATGCCGTATTCGGACTAGTTCTTATGCAACCTCGAACAACAGGGTCGCGCAACCAAGGCTCTTCACAATTCAAGTTTATAACCGCTTCAGGTAATCAGTGATGGACCATAGCAACTTGACTTTATTCACATGTCGTTGCAGCTCGGGACTTCCGAGGTTTGTTGGTATGACCTTGGCAGATCCGTTAACTTTGTTGATAGTTTTGGAGCATCATGAACTTAGAACTACGGATACTTTATAACGACTTACAGAGAAAAAAACCCTCATGAATAAAGGCGTAGGATAGTGTACTACGGGACTAGACCTGAGTGGTGTTTTGCTAAAATCTCACTATGCATCGGCACTCCACCTAAGCTCTGACGAGTAGTCCGCTTCAATCCGCTATGTTAAGTACAAAATTGTTACTACTTTTAGAAATTACTTAATTGTTTCTCTTGCCTCCAAGGTGATCTTTTAACTGGAATTCACCTGTTTATTCGCAATTCAAGAAAGATCTTTTTTCCCACTATGGAAGCTGGATTACAGCAGCAGCTTAAACAGCTACAGCAACCAAATGCCAGCTTGGATGCTCTGGCAAGCTCAGATATTTTCAAGCCTACCCCGCGGAGTTATAGCCTGAATGACTCTACCAGACTGACTTACCAGAGGGCGAAAGCATTTGCCAATGCCTATGGTATGTCACTCTCTTTTCATTCACCGCCACCTACCTAAGTAGCCCTGGAGTTATATATGTACGTCTACTAAGCGAATACTTGTGCAGGTTTGACACTCAAGGATGTGCTATATCTCACCCCTAAGTTCTGGAAGCTGCACCGAGAGCCTCTGGTAGCACTTGATGGAGGAGCCTTTACCCTGCTCAGTATTCAATGTAATCTTTTTGTGGGCACACTGGCTCCTTTTGCCTTGGAGCGTACTGAGCTTCAGCCAATTCTTCAATCTGCTTTGGACTTTGACATCTCGTAAGTATTTTGCTTAAGATGATTTATGTGATGGCTCATCTTCCAATTTGAAGCTGACATTAGCTTGATATTCAGGGCACAATTCATGTTGACCGAAGTCAGTCATGGATTGGATGCACGAAATATCCAGACAACTGCAACGGTTCTCCCCAGTGGTGAAATTGATCTCCACACTCCATCCCCAAACGATGCAAAGTAAGCCGAGAATATCACATTCCATTCATGATTTGCCATGTGATACTTAAAAGATAGCCAGGGTTATGCCGCCGACTACTACCAGGGGTGGTATTCCAGTAGTTGCAATTGTGATGGCTCGTCTTGTGAATAGGAATAAAGACTGTGGAATCCGGCCGTTTCTAGTTCAGCTTGGAAGTGGAAAAGAAATGTGCAAGGGTATCGTGTCGAAGTAATTCTCCAACCTCTCCAATTGTAGTTGCTTGAAGTTTGAGTGAAGGCTGATTCATGAAAAGAGCCTTACCTCTTCGGACTGGCACACACCCGGTCGACCATGCTATCACATACTTTGACCATGTTCGCCTACCAATATCTGCCCTACTGGGTAGCACAGAAGAGATTCAGAACCAACGAGAGAGCTTTTTCAAGTCAATTCATCGCGTTGCAGTCGGAACTCTCTTCCTCTCGGGCTGTGTTATTCCATTTCTCAAACTTGCCGCCTTCAATGGCGCAAGTTTCAGCCAGAACAGGCTTGTCAGTGGAAACAATGGAAGCCCAGTAGCTGTGATTGAGTTCCGGACTCAACAAATGCCCATCCTCCACGCTGTCGCCCAGTATAGTGTGTTAGAACCATTCCTTATTTCTGCAGCAAATGCATTCAGAAATCAGAGTTTGGACCCTAGAGTGCGTCACGGGATAGCCACAGCCTTCAAAGCAGTGGCACTGGGCCATTTCAGCAAGAGTGTGAAGGCCATAAATGAACGATGTGGTTGGCAAGGACATTATGAGAGTAATCAGATTCTTCAGTTGGAGGTAAGAACCAAGATCACCCACCCGTGAACTCTAGTTCAAGTTAACCAATCTTTCTATAGCTTGAAATGCGCGGTGCATCAACGGCAGAGGGTGATATCCGAGTTCTTGCCATCCGTATGTACTTAAATTGATCAAGATTAATTGAGAAAATCTGACACGAAGATACAGGACTTTCTTCGGAGATTTTGATTGACCGGTACCGGATGCCACCCCCCAAGGATCCTAAAACCCCTCTTGCTCGACACGAAGCCTCTTTGTTCTCTGAGGCGAGAACATTGTTGCAACAAGGTGCCAAGGGAACTCACCGCAGCAAACAGTTCAATCGGGATATTCTCCCTCTTGCTCTTCCATTGGTTGAGGCAATTGGCCACAGAATGGCATATGAAGCTGCCGTAGAAGCCAATATTGATCCGAGCCTGTTGGATCTTTATGAGTGTGGGGTTGTGAAGGAAGATTCGGCTTGGTATGTTGAGCAAGGCGGGATAAGCCGGGAGGTCCAACGTGAGATGGAAGCTCATGCAGCAGATATATTGCTTCCTAAGCTGAATGATCTTCTGTTGGCTTCTGGTGTACAGCCATATAGTCAGGCCCCCATGACCTCGAAGAACTTGTGGGATGATTTTGTTGAGGGGCTGGAGGTCTTCTCCGGAGACGCGCCTTCAGATCTCCTCTCAAATATTATCGGATCTAAGTTCTAGTTGATATTTTATCTTGGATCTAGCTTATAAAATTATCACAGCTAATAGGTAGTGAATTCAGAATTGAAAAGACAGATATTTGCCCAATCTGGGAGTTGAAATATGTAATATTGCCCAATATGGTTAGCGTAAACACGACCTCAATTCATGGACGCGCCGAGCCAATCGCATTCCGCCCCAGCCATTCTCACCTTCAGATGCAACTCTAGAGCACATTCTCTCTTCAACAATAACGACTCGGAGGAAGATACGCGCAATTGTTCCTTGCGAGCGTTCTCAGTCATATATCTGGAATCTATAATCCTCTTTCCATATCCAATCTCATGTCTCTCAAACGCAAGGCTTCGTTTACGGCAATCCCGTCCAACCCATTCGCTCCTGCGCCCAGCAAATGGGAAGCTGTCGATAATACCAAGCACCTCCATAGCCGTACAAGAAAGAGATTCCGCGACGATCGGCCTAGTGATGAACAGATATATGGTAAGTAGCCATTGTTGATAATAGTTGGTTCTCATCGCTGCTGTAATGTCGCGTGCTCGCATCAAAACAAGTGCTAACGAAGCACCAGCGAAAACCCTTCGTTGGATTTTCTCGGCGCAAAAGCAACAGGATGCCCTAGAAGCTGATGCGTGTAACGAAGCAATGGATATAGAAGAGTCACCTTTCACGGCCGAAACAGTTGATCCGCGACAACAAACCCTGCTGCAATTCTTCCAGCCACGAGCTCAACCCTCATCACCATTCAAACCGTCCCGCGAGGCACTAGCTCCACGTGCAAACGAGACAGCTATTAGCCAAGAAGACTATCTGCGGCGTGAGGCATTTCAGCAGACAAGCTCCACTGGCAGTCTCAATTCAAGCGAGACGACGAGTACGACGTTCGGCCAAATAGATACCGATATGGAAATGGAAATAGACATGGACATGGATACCGATAGCAGCGGCGAGAGTTCGAATACGGCTCCAAAGATGAACGTTCCGGGGTGGATTTAATCCCAACTACCTGACTCGTGTGGTAACAGCTGGGCGCAGGTCGCTTTTTTTGAGGTTATCCGATTCTATTCTTTATACTTCGCGAATTCTTAACAAGAGGGTGTTATCTTGTTTGTTTTGACTCTGTTTGAGAATTTGGGTGTTTATGGACCTGGTGTTTGTATTATTTTGGATGGAGCCAGGCGTAATATAATAATATTTAAGTCTCATATCTAATATTCAGTCTGAGAGGGTTTTCAGCATGTGAAATCAAAGACAAATCAATTAGGGCTAGCTTTTCGGGCAATCGCATGTCAATTTTCAGCTTTGAGCTCTAGCAACTAGCAATCGAGAATATAACAACGGGCTGGGCTGCTCAGCTCACTGCCCACCTAATCACCCTCCCCCTAAGGAGAGTTCTATCGCTGCTTTAGGGTGAGCTAGGTGCTTAAGGCTTTTGGGCTATTGGCCGCGTACCGCCATCTATGTAACGCGGCCAATAGTCAGGTGGTTGTTGCCTGGGTGAGCAGCGGGTGAGCGCTGCCTTAGCGTTGCGCGACCGTGGGGTGAGCAAGATGAGTGTGCAATAGGGTGAGCGACGGGTAAACGCCGGGTGAGACTAAGCTAATGCATGATTAAATAACTAAATATCGCACTAAATAATCCTTCACTTCTAAAAAAACCATTGAATAGTATTATCCCCCTTGAAGCAATGATCCCTTGGCATCTATACAAAGCGCCTAATGATCCATGGCTCCCTTGCCTTCATAATCTAATTCTATGTGGGTCATCCCTGCTCGGCCTGCTAGATTTATCGGGGGAAATGCATCACGCAGGCCACGATCCGGCTTTAGGTAATGAGGTTGCAGGACGGTAGATAAGGCACCAGCAATTGATGATGATTCTATAAATAGTATTATTATTTTTGCTCCAGGTCTATGATAGTGGGGGTATCTCAAGGAAAGGAAGGGTTGGCAGACCCAATATGTGAATACGTAGCGGATGACTTCTTGAGGTACAACGAACGAGCAGCGCAGCGTCATGAACCTCAGAATGCAATAAAAAGACCGTGACTGGAGAGCTAACCCTGAGCTAGTTCCAGTCGAGCTCCACCTGCGCTCCATTAAGTCTAGATTAGATACGGAACACTTACATCAACCACAAACATGTCAAACTTCAAGGTTATCTCAATATTGAACTCAAGATCGATGGTGTGAGAAGAATATGATAGGAAGTTTGGAATAAGAACTGAAGTGAGTTATTTATCATCTGAAATTTATAACTCAATAAGTTTTCATTAGCTATACTGTTACAAGCTTCACTGCAATGCGGTGTGTCCTGAACGTGCTAAGCTCTTCGTACAACATGTTCGCAAGAGCGCAAGGTCCATGACCAGACGGTCATCTGGGTTTCTCCCCAGGGCAAGGTGAGCCCCTAAGAGCTCTCCGCGAGTCATAAACATCGACGGGTTAGTGGAGTCTGGTGGGAAAATCTCAGCTGACTGGACGTGTACCGGTTGTAGGGTCCAGTTTGTATTTCTCTATGATTCCTGACGCATTGTAATTGTTATGACGTTGGGAAGGCTTGCGTAGATTCCACTTTACGAGAAAGCAAACAGAGATTGTCGGCGCACCGCCGATCAGATGGGTGCTGATATCGCGAAGAAGTTCAGGGTACGATTCGGAGTATCCTGTTTCAACAACAACCGTCGGCAGATTTGATGGTTCATTGGACATGCCCAGGTAGAGATCTGGTTGCTTCCGACTTCCATTTGAAAATCGGAGGGTTGGGGTTGCGTAAATCTCCACAGCCCTGACCTCTGCCCTAGTGAAAACACCGTGTAGGATCCAATCTGCGAATTGTTGGAAGAAATAATTGGGCATTGCTTTATGTCCAAACTCTGGCATCTTGACGATAAATACGCCCTGGGCGGGCAGAAAGGTCTTCTGCGTTAATGGATACCGGGACTCCACAAGACTCCAGAGGTTTTGACCAAGTGTTGTACTAATTTCGGTAAAGGTGAGGTGAATAGGGAGTTTCTCGAAGAAGCCATCCTGCTCTGCGAGTGATAGAGCCTGATTTGCTGTGAGAGTCTTGGACAGCGATATGATTTTCTTGTTCATCACATACTCATTGCATTTGAGGTATTCTTCTGCGCCATCACTGGATAAATCTGTATTGCTTGTGGGGGCAGTCGACTGGGTGATTTGAGTACTCGAGGTGATAGTCGAGTTGGTTGAGCGATAATGAGCAAATCTTGATTGAAAAGCAGCGAAGGTTGGCGGAGGGACAGCCTCACTTGACCGAGGAGCAGCTTCGTTTAGAGAAATAGAGTGGTTCATGGTGGCAGAGTAATTGGATTAGAAAGTATATTTGAGGGGATTTATGAAAATGATGAAACTGAAAGGAGCGTGTTGAGGGGTATAGAACGATAAGGAGGGTTTATTGATGTTACCAATTTTAACTCAAGTTTTTGCTCACCTGAATGCACCGAGTTAAAAAATTTCAACTTTCTACTGCCAAAGTAAAACCCTTTTAACCTCCTATCAACACAAAAAGATATCATCCTCAATATCTAATTCGGGTCTATATAGTATGATAGAATTTCATTGTGATACCATTATGCTAGAATTTTTTAGTATGTAAGCTTGTTCAAAGGATTAGGAAGCATATAGAAGCCATTCGCTGATTAAAGGCTATACATGGTATCAAGGCTCATGTCGCCTTCAAGCCCATTAGAAGTGGCCCCCTCGGCAAGAAGCTTTGCCTTCTTTTGATTTCTGCGTTTGAGAAGAATCCAGCATGAGGCATACAAAAATCCAGCAACCACTGTCAAGCCGGCAGAGACAGCGTTGCCAGTGATATACCTTGGGCCCTGATGACTTGGGTATAGTTGGGAAGACACCAGTGAAGACAGGTTCGCAATAGAATAGGCGATAGGCATTCCAATTGCACGCTTGGAATCTGGCTGGAGATTGATAGATATCCATGTTACAGCAAGGGTGGAAATTGGATATAGTCCTAGACAAGTTTTAGACTACGAGTAAACATCAGCAGCAAGATAGATCACACTTACCTAAAACGAGAATGAACATTCCTGCATAACCAGCAGCACCACTTGCTGAGCCGACACAGATAAGATATCCAACGACGACTGGAACACAGCAACCTATTATGAAAACACCTCGTCGGTTGACTCTGTCAGAAAAGTACACCTGAATGACAAGTGATACCAGGCCAAGAAAATAAACTGGGATAGTTAGGTAGTTGACTGAAAGAGAAGGGAACCCAAGCCCAGAGAGAATAGTGGGTAGAAAAACGTTGAATCCGTTGATAGAAACCGATGAGGTAAAGAAAGCGATACCAAGAAGGTAGACAAAAGGGTCTGTTAGAGCGATCTTGATCCACTTTCGCTCAAATTTCTCTTCTCCTCTGCGCATAATGTCTCGTTCTCTCTTAAGACGCATAATTTCTTTTTCCTCGGCATTCAAAAACCATGCCGTTTCGGCTGTTTTTGGGAGACAAAGCAAGCCGAGGGCGCCAACAAAAATCGTTATGCAGAATTCAACGATAAACAACCACCTCCAGGCTTCTAGACCGCGTCGAGTACCCATGGTTTGCACAGCATATGCAAAAAGCCCACCAAAGGCACCTGAGATACACATGGCAAGATTGGTAGACATGATGCGCTTTCCTATCAAGTTTGGAGGGTAAATAGTAGAAAAAAGATAGGCGAAGCTTTGAGCAAGACCTGCTTCGAAGGCATTTAACAGCATACGAACAGCGATAGCTTGGTGGTAGGTTTGGATAAAAGCAGTTCCAAGGGTGCAGAAGCTCCACAGGATCAATGCTGTTCCCAGAGACTTATTAGCGCCGAAACGCTTGACTGCTAAAACCCAGGGCACTTCGAAGACGATGGTGCAAACATTGGCCAGCAGAGTGATATTGCCAAATTGTCCATCCTTGAGTCCGATATCATTATCAAAGCCAAAGACTCTAGCATTACCCATCTGGTAAATATTAGAGAGTGTATTGAGGTTACTTCAAATTAAGACTTGACTCACATTGTTCTGGTCTAATGAGGATAGAACCAGGAAGACAACCGAGACCGGCAGGACAAATTTATCAAATTTTCTCAACACAGCTGCCTCTTTTTCAGGTTCGATATATATATCCGATATAATCTCGCCTACTCCATGGTTGATCTCGTTGCTGGTCTCTTCTGGGATTTTCATATCACTCTTGAGGGATTTATTGTCGGTTTCCGGAGACGACATAGCGAATATCAGAGGCAAGTCACAAGTGGGATTTTCTATGTATCTCCCCTTTGATCAATAAGGAGCAAGATGTTCGTGGGTCCTTCTGATCAAATAACTAGGTAATATATATCTGTGAATATTTATCCATGTATCAAGCGATAGATACGTCGATCTGGTTAAGATAAGGATCCTGCAACCTCGGCAGCCAGTCTCGAGACGCCACCGGACTAATCCGACTCTCAGGACGAATAAAAATCATGAGATCATGAGATCAAAGATAGATGCATATTTTATCTATTCCACCTAATCTGAGATCTGGACATTTGTTGGAATTATCTATAATATAACAACTAAAATTCCAGGCTGCAAATCAAGGTCACATAGAAAGAATAGAAGAGAACTTTACACATCTTTAATATCATCAGATCATATATAGTATAGAAAAAGATCTCAAATAAACAATAAAGGCGTACAGACACTATATAGATCCAAGATTATTGCATCTGTTGCGCATCGGAGTTTTTTGTATCCCTTGATAATCTGATCGGCTTATTCCTCGGCCTATGCCGATCGACCAGTCTGCACTTTCCAACTACTGCCCTATCTTCAGTGCTTAACTTATCACTCGAAGAAACCGATCGAGGTGAGTTTAATGAAATGTAACTGGTACTACATCTGTGATTGATAATTTGGTTGTGGGAGATACCTCAAAACTACTTTGCGAATCTGGAGTCCCAGAGAAACCAATAGAAGAAATTGAAGAGTTACGAGTACGCACACGTTCAGTTAATAGTCAATAGAAAGAGTACTGGTTTCAACCTTGATCCTGTTGTAAGCCGCTCAAATTTCCGATACAAGCTTGACTCATCTCCAGAGTATGGTGAAGAACCTCAAGAATGTCCTTGCGGAGCCTTTGTAAAGCAACCTCGTTTTGTAGAACCAAGTGGCGGCGGCCTCACTCTGGCCAGATTAGGTATAGCAGCCATTAACGTCGAAATACTTCCATCCTTTACCAAGAAACGTTCACACGATCCCTATGTTTCCGAACTAGCAGCCGAGACTTCTCGCAAATGCTGCAGACCACCTGTTCGAAATCTACTTCTAAAATCACACGTGCTATAAGCTAACTATTTGGCGGTCGCAAGTTAAGGCAGCTATTGAGAGTATATACCTCTTCATAGATGGTCACCAGAGCCTAGCAAGAAGAATTAAAAGAGATATTCTTACAACCTTTATGATACTACACCATACAAATCTCGATTTCGACATACAACTGAAAAAAATCTCATACAACATCTGCAGCTGTTTAGATGGAGCTTCCTACAGGGCTGAAAGAGCTCTTTTATTATGTCAGATATTCTGTCAAGCGACAATTTTAGCGTAGGGGAAATACTAAATTCTGCCGCGGAATGGCCTGATATCCCACAATTTTTTGTTACTTGCGTAGGATCAGTGTGATGACTCAATTTGTGCTTTGAGCTCACGGAATCAAATTATCTATCACACAGATCCAGAGCTTCAAGGTAGCATAATGTTTTAACACTCAGCGTTACTATTTAAAAAAAGAATCTAAGTTTTTCCACAATCGCATGCTGAGCTGTCGTATATCTTCTCGTTCCATTTTCGACCCGATACATGCTCATCTCATAACAACACACTCATTTCAAAATATTCAACATTCAAAAAATGTTATGTACCAAATCCAGTCCCAAGATGAGATAACTTAGGAGTCTTTATTCTTTCAGACTTCCATCTCAATCTCGACTACTTCCATTTCAGATTCATGAGAAAGAAATCTTTTCACTTTGAGCCTTTACTGCAGGCTCATCATTGACCAATTTTTCGTATACAAAAGGCTCCTCAAGCAGCTGAGCTTCGGCAAGTCCTAGCTGCCATCGGTCAAAAGCAGCGCGCGGAATGATTGGTGTCGTCCACATGCCATCGCGACGGAAGGAATTTGTAACGGCAACAGCGACATCAACTGGGATATTGGGGAAGAGTTCGGCAAGCTCGTCCTTGTATGATTCTGCGTCATGTTCCAGAACCCATTCGATACCCTTACGGAGGCCTAAGCAGAACCTCCTCTGTGCATCCAGGACTTCGGGAGTGATGGTCGCGGTCTCCCGATAGTATACGCTCCAGGGAATCTCACCTTGTGAGACCATTTGCATCGCAACTGAGATGTTGGGGTTCCGCTCAGTCATAGCCTTGGCCGAGAGGTTGTCCGTCACGAAATAGTCGCCCATTCCCCCCTCAAACAACTCACCAAGCATTTTTCCATCGAGATCCTGGATATAGTCGACAGATCTGTGGTCAACCTTGTTCTCGCGTAAGAACATCTTGAAGAATAGACCAGCGCTGGCGCCACCGATACCCTTCATCAAAACTGTCTTTCCAGCCACATCGGCGATCTTGAAGTCTTTCGCCGGGCTACGACAGAGGAGGGCAAGAGGGCAGCGATTCGCAATTTGCGCAAAGACTGTGTAGTCTTTCACCCGGTTGCGGTACATTGCCGGTACCCAAAGGCCGCCAAGGGCCATATCGGCTGAGCCATCAGCGAGCGCATCAAGTACGCCATCCCATGGGGTGGGAATAGAAACTTTGACATCTAGTCCTTGTTCCTCGAAGAATCCATGTCGGCGAGCGATATATTCAGGGAGATAATTTAGGTTGTGCCCAGTAGCAGTAAGATTGAATGGCTGCATGATGATGAATTCTTAGCAACTTCGGAAGTGAGCAAGGCACAAGAGATTGTTGTTGAGAAAAGAATGTAATTGAAAATAGCAGATCACCCAAGGTTAAATACTTCCCGATCGCAAGACCTTTACTGTTGGAGATTTCGCATCATGATGCAAGTCCGATTCGGAGTAATCCGAAGGCCGGAGATAGGAGAACAAATATCAGACCCTTTGTCGGAATAACCCTTAAACTAGGAACCTTAAAAGCGGTAGGGAACATTGTTATCGGTTCTTATCAGATTAGATCTGTTGATCTAGACGCTGGATAATCCGATGAAATGAGGGAATACCAGAAACTAATGCAAACCAAAAAACAAGAATGACCAATGAAGTAGTGTAGTTAGTGAAAGCACCACTATGATACTGATCCTGGTATATGGAATGTCAGTCAGAACCTGAACGAAGCATGTAGTTATTCATAGATTGAGATCGATACAGAACGAACACGGTTACACCTCCACTCCCTGTTCCACCCTCTGGAACCTCTGTGTTTCCCTTAGTTTCCCTAGTGTTTATGGTGGTTTCTTCCTAGCTGAATCGACCCGCACGTTCCGACCGTGCTGCCTAGAGATTATGCAAAGCTGGTGTGCTCCTGATCTAGGTCTACCCCAAGATTGGCGAATTGAAGTCAGTTCTGATAGCTGGACATCAGACGAAATAGGGCTTCGTTGCCTCCAAAGCTCTTTATCCCTGCTACTACTTCGCGTAGAAAGGGTGAATTTAGGCTTCTGATTCTAAATGGCCATAGTAGCCATCTTACTCCTGGATTTGATCGAATTTGCGAAGAAAACGATATTATTTCAATCCTCCTAGCACAGTGGCACTCAACTAGCCGGTTTATGTCGAGAAAGGTGTTCTACTTATCAAATCAATGAGAACACTAAGTAGCGGAGTGTAGACTTGACAGTAGGCTCTTCATTATTCCTTTTAATTAAATCCATAGCAGTATGACGGAATAACCTCTACCGAAAACTTTTATGTATCTTGGCCGATGCACGACTCCCGCAAAACAGCCTTGGTCGAGAAAAATAGGAATTGAATCATGCCAAACCACGAGCCTTAGCTCGTCGATCACGCATCTCTGCCGCACAACCATCTCGGTTGTAGATACCGTTCACAGACGGATGCTTCATGGCAGCCTGGGCCCATGCGAAGAATTTGGGTGCCTTTTCCTCCAAGCCAGCTACCATGGTATTTGGCAGTGGCGCATTCTCGGTGTACGGCAGCGTGAAAATACGCAAGATAAAGGAAGCGGTCAGAACCTGCAAGCCGTTTCAGCAATTATGAATCTCGGGTGCATGTGAAAATAACCAAACAAGACGCTTCAAAAGGGTCGGAGAGTAATTACCTCTGCCATGGTCAGCTTGTCACTGCCACCAAAGAACGGTTTCGCGTCTTGCAAGAGTGGCTCGAGCTCTTTGACGACGGCTTCAACATAGCGCTTGCCGAGCTCCTCGGCATCTTCATCAGTTTTGGCTTCGATTGCTCGGTAGTAGTAGACATTGGCCTTTGAAAAGTATGCTCCGACAAATAAGGCGATTCTGTGGCGTATTAGGGCATCTTGGGCTTCTCCAGTGCGCGGAGTCAAGTGCGTCGATGCGACTGAGTCGGCCAAGAACTGTGCGATTAAATCTGATTCGTAAACGATATGGTCGCCATATGTCAATGTGGGAACCTGTCCACGAGGATTGATCTTGAGATACTCGGGTGTCCTTGGTTTGCTGTAGTCAATGATCTCCTCCTCGAATGGTAGACCCAGCTCCGCCAGCACAATATGAACACGGTGTGCCCCTGTAGGAGTTTGTCAGTATGTTGCAGCAAAACAAGACTTGGAGAACAAACATGGGCAGTTTCGATTGGTAAAAAGTTTAATCGAGTCTCCAGTAGCCATGATGAATTTTCTCTACGTGGAAAATAGTGACTAAAAGAGCTTTACTCAACTTGCAGGGACAGCTATATACTCAGGTAATTTACCACTATAGACAAAGAGGGGCGACAGTTGCAAAAAAGTATTCCCAACGAAGCTGTCTATCTACCTCGTATTAAATCTGCATCGCTTTTTTCCGAAAAGGTTACTGGCTGTGATTGTTGTACTGATTAGCATTTAAGCTCCAAATCTGTCGGAAATCTCCGATCATGGATCATATGAGAAAGTTGATCATGTCTAGGCCTTATCTATCAGGCACTCACATGATAAACATTCTGTTACGGATGAAGCAACATGTCTCTTTAGATAATAAAAAATGAAAAACGGATTATTATCTTTTACTTGAAACCTTCTACTGCTTTATCCAGGTCACATTATGGATAGTGAGGGTTTCCTGTTGCACCCAGGTAGCCTATCGGGACTCTCCGAAAATCATTGAAAGCGTCGATCGGCCTCGCAACAGCTCGATACTAAAACTCTCTCTCATGATATAAGCGTTGGCGTTGGATGTAAGTTGAGCGAAGCGGGTATTTACGGGGGCTATTTCCGACTCTCATATTGGCAAATTCAAGACCTCACTTCGCAAATTATTATAAGCAGGCTCGATTGTGATGTCCCCTCAGGATCTATCATGATATTTGCGAAGGGATCAGGCCTAAATGAACAGATACGCAAAATTTTGAGATAAGAAACTATACTGATCAACAAAGAAGGCGTAATTTGTCAACCAATATGGCATACAATAGCTATGCTCAAATGACCAGTAGTCATTTTTCATTTTTCATGAATTCAATCTCTGTAAGTCTAATGGACTACGCACAGATCGTGCGTACTGCATAGTTCAAATACTCATATTTTAAAAGAAATTCTTGGATCTTACAATCGACCATGGAGGCTACCGTCAAGTAAAGCGAAGTATAATTCACCAAGGATGTAGATAACTTTATTTGAGATGTCGTTAGAGTTATAGAAATTCATTAGATCCGTTTTTTAACCTAGGAAAGTATTACAAGAAATATGAGGTCCTCCTCTTGCCATTGGGTCAAAGCTCATGTCACTAAGACCGCTGTGTTGAGGCTCAGGCCATTGAGCAGCACTACTGAACATTTCGCTGAAAACAAAACTATCAGCCGATAGCATGCCTGACATTTCCATTCCATTATAGTCATTCACTCTGCGAGACGGCTGCAGTCGTTGCAGGACGTCCTCTGCTTGTTTCTCGAACTCTTGACGGCCATGGTGTAGTTCCGCAGCATTATTATTAACTAGCCAATCGACGGTTGCTGCTGATAGCGTATCAAAAGCATCACGGCAGCCTGAAACCCCCGGGAAGTTCTCAGCCATTGCAGCGAGCGTCGAGGCGCAAGATTGAAGAGTGGAAATGCTACTCCCAACCGGACTCTGGTCTCGCACTTCTTTCGAGTGCCAAAGGCTGTATATCACCCCTAGACCGGCCATAAAGAGATGATGGGCCGATTTCCATAAGATATCAACCTTCCCTTCTCGTTGTAGGGTTTTGATACTTCCTATAAGTTGACAAGAGGCTTTAAAAGCGAGGACTGTTGATTCTGGGGATGTTTGTGGCCCGGTGGAATTGGGCCGGTACAGCAGGATGATTGCGTTATTATATAGATAGTCCCAATATGCCTGATATGCGAATATGGATGATGGGTGAGCCTTGGTAGTCTGCGGAATAGTAGCGTACCATTCTTCAAGACGCGGTTGGATATCTTGAAGCCAGACTGCATAGTTTGCCCTGGGATAGGCTATTTTCGGAGTCCACACTTGGCTGTGTTGCACATGTTTAATCTCAGATTCAAGCATTGATAAGCTAAACAGGTGGTTGTGAGCTCGTTGGCTGTAGATATCAAATGCAGTGGATTCGCTGCTAGGTGCTCCTTGATATACAGCCCATGGATTTGGAAGTGGCACACGCATGCTTTCGTCGATGATGCCAAAGGGACGACCAAGCGTGATGCATAAAATACGGTCAAATTGATATGTAGAGTACCATAAGCGTCGGTGATCGTATAACATGGCTGGCTCCACACTAGTGGCGTGATCTTCGTTTTCCCAATGTAGGCCTATGTCAATACATAAGCGTAAAGCGATACCTGTCAGATGCCATAGACTCCCCCGGGAAGGGCACAGTGCAATAAATTGAGCCAATAGAAGGATAGTGCGGAGAGTCTCGATATCACTTTCCAAGCTCGTAACAACCTTTTCGTACAAACTGATGGCTGATTTGAAGCATCCCTCACTCTGGCTTGGTCGACCTCCAGATGGGTTTGAAACGTCACAGAGGGCAATAGCGAATATCATAAAAGACATGAAAATGTCCGTTTCTACCGCTCGGTCCGGAAGGTCCCGGCCACTCGCGGCTTGATATGCGCTTTCTACAGCCTCCTCAACCCTTGAGCGACTCACAATGGGTAAATGGGGTGTTTGGTACTGAAAGTAGACATCAACCAGGTGGTCTGCAGCATGACGCGGTGGAAGCGAAGCCTCGGCTGCCATTGAAGACGACGAATAGTTATATGAGCGTGGCTCAGTAAGCAGGGGAGAGGGTAGGGCTTCGACACGGATTGCTGATATGACCAATTTGGCAAGGGTGATGCCGCCGCTCTGTCCTAAAAATCGTGGCTGTCTTGACGGCTCGACAACAACGTCACTGACGCTCTTCACCAAGTCTTGCACGTGATTTGAACTTGCATCAGACGCGGCTAGACTTCCTGGGGAGAAGTTGTCGCGTGGAGTATTCACCTCTCCATTGACCGAAGCGGACTGGGCTCGTGCTCTCAGTTCGCGGTTCTGCCGAGTCAACTTCTCGATTTCTGCCTCAAGCTCCGACACGTAGTTACGAGGAACCTGCAAGTATGCCAGGTAAGTACGGTGATATTACGGTTATTATAAGATAGACTTACCTTGGATTTATTCTGTGAGTGATATGTCATGCATGGGACACCAGCGCCTTCGCAGTTAGAGCAGCTCGGATGCCTCAAATCACACTGTTTAGCAGAATGTCAGCAATCATATCATC